AATTTATTAATATTTGATTTTTTATGTAACAGAAATTTACTATATTAATTTACTATTATTAAAAGAGTAATTAAAGAAATTTACTATTATTAAAAGATGAATAACTTTTTCAATTAGATCTAATTAACCGCGGATAAGTGTAAATTTGAAAAAATTATAATTTAGAAGTGAGCTGTGCTTGGAAGATTTTACCTCTGACGCATAAAAAGACACTGATGTATAATATTGTATTTCATAACCATAAATTATTACAATGCTAGTTATAAAATGTTTAAATTTCCTCTCTCCCTTTAAATCGCCTCTAGATAGAAAGAATTCTTTACTTTTTATTATTTGTTGTGTTCTCTCAAATCAGAATTTTGATTTTTATAAAAAAATAAAATAAAAAAAATTAGATGTGTTTTAAAAAGGAGTCTCAGCAATTTCTCCCGTTTTTTCATTTGCCTTTTTTTTTAAAAAAAAGAAATAAAACTAAGAGGAAACGGTATCTGCAGGTGTTTTTATTCTTTTATTATATAACCGTCGTTGAACAGCCGACCCAATTTTTGGATTTACGACTACCTATGTTCAATTCCGTACCCTTGTAATTCTGAACCCAATCTAGAAGACAAGGGAACTCCTGGATTAAGTATTGAGAGAAATTGCCTTCGTGGATGACTTTTTGATGGAACTAACCCGCATTCGCTTTGAATGGAGAAGAAAACCCACGAACCCTCTCACGGTTAGCCTGACGATAAGCGAACTGTAAGCCATGATCGTCTACCACTGAGGATATTTTACTTCAGCACTGTGGTCGATGCAAGCCGGATGCGGAATTCGTATCGACCAGCTTTCGCTGGGATTCGAACCTGGTTCGCGTCGTTGGAAGGCGAACGCTCTATCCCCGAGCCATCACGGCTCTATCTGCCGGTGTTGTAATAATCTGTAGCACTCGCTGTCTGTTGCTGCTACCAGAGTTACGCTGAGAGGAAAACGACGAAAAAAATTTACACTATTAGCCCGACAATACGAAATAGTCTACTACTGTATATTTTGTATGAGCATTGTGGTCAATGTAAGCCAGGACCATCAATACACGAATCAACCAACCATAGATGGGGCTCGAATCTGGGTTCCCTTGTTGGAAAGCGAACGCTCAATTTATATCTTGAGAACGATTTATAACTCATGAAAGAAATGATAAGTTAAAATAGTTTAACTTTAAAAAACTTCAGTTTGAGTTAAGTATTGATTAGACTTTTTATCGGATTTAAATGATAAAGACAGTTTTACTGCAATCTTTTTTGTAAGGTGGTGTATGCTATGCTTCAGAACGAATCGTATATTAAAATTCAATATTTTGAGGCAAAATGGTTTTCGCAGTTCGATATTTCAAAACCAATTGGTTTGCACAATTCGATATTTCAAAACCAATAGGTTTGCACAATTCGATATTTCAAAACCAATTGGTTTGCACAATTCGATATTTCAAAACCAATTGAATTGCTCCATTCGATATTTCAAAACCAATTGGTTTGCTCAATTCGATATTTCAAAACAAATTGGTTTGCAAAGTTCGGTATTTCAAATCAGACGCAGTTCGATACTTCAAATCAAATAGGTTTGTTCGATATTTTAAAACTTTTTTTTTTGTATGGAGGAAATTTCTGAACGTAAACTTCAGGCATATAATTTTACTTTTCAGATAATATGCCCGAGTGATTTTCCTGTTTAAAGATTTTAATAAGTAAAGAAAATGGTTTCAAAACATGAGGATATATCGCCACATGCTGACACACGATTCACATGTTCACCGACTTTATTTATGCATTTATTTTTTTCAATTTAAAAGGGTGAACAGCCTTATCAACCTGCATACCATCACTTCGATTCTAGTCACGAAAACAAGCCTCCTAAAATTCCTATTTCCACCTGCTTGTCTCTATATTATTCTCTTTTTTTTAACCCCTGCCGTAGAAAATATTCACACGTTTTTTGTTCGTGCTAGCGGGTGTAACCCACCTCCGATAATAAAATTCCAAAAGATCGCATAGTTTTGCATCTCTTTTATGTTGATTTTTTTTATGCAAAAATGAAAAATTGAAAGCCATTTTTGACTGAATAATTTATTAGTTTGTTTTAAGATAAATACGATCATTAACGATTTTTTCTTGAAAAAAATTCCGTATCTTGAACCTTTTAAACAAAAATTATATGTTGGGATATATGTTTAAGATAAATGATTTTTTCTTGTACTTATTTCGAAATTTAATAATTCACTACTTTTATAATATTCTTAAGTTAAAAGGTTTTTAACACAGATTGATGTAGATCGTATTTTAGCTTTGCGAAGTTCAAATTTTATAAAAATGGTCGAAGATTATTTTTCAAAGGTTTTTACGTTTTTATTGTCTCTCTAACGCGAAAATTTTAAACATTCTTTTCCACCCGCGATCCTAATGACTTCTTGAAGGGTAGGGGGAAGTATAACAGTAAGCCGGATTTTTAAATTATTCAGCATAGTGCTTTTAAAAAGCTGTTTAAGTGAAGAAAAATAAACCCCCGATTTCCATGTAGTCAATGCGACTATGTTTTGTACTGCGCAGTTATCTAGTGGAAATTTCGGAAACTCGTGACAGAAAATTATAATTAGGAATAGTTTAACTGTTTCATCTACTTGTAATATAACACTTTATTAGCTTAACCTTAGCTATTATTTTTAAAATAATCATGAATAGATAAATTGATACCAAATTTTTAGTTTTCAAATTGTTCAGCAGGAGGATCGTATGATATCGATTAAAAAAATTCCTATTCAGATTCATTTAAAATATGTTATTAAAATTGTTTTTGAAAACATTTATTTATAATGAATGAGTTGCTTATTTTGGTTATTCAATGAACGAGTACTAAAGATAAGTACTTTTTCAGTGAGATTTTTGGCAATGATTTGAGAATGATGGAAATTCTCTAAACCCGTGCCACGCCATACTCAGGCAATTTACCTCGCAGATTATTCTGGCATTTATTCTTATTTATTATTCTTATTTACTCTGGCAAATTTAATTGGCATTAATGTGTTAAGAGGACTCCATACCAGGGGAGAAACTTTTCGTCGCAAATTCATTTTCACCAGCATAACTAATTTAAAAGAAATAGTGAGTTCTGGAAAACCTGGAGTAAGCCATGAAGTTATTTCACTGAAAAAAAAAATTCAAAGTTGAAAAATACAAACAAATTGTTGAAAGAGAACTTCTATATTGCGTAATCCTAAGTTATCTTTTAACAATTTATTTTAAAGCGTTTAAAAACATTCTACACAACCTATAATAATGAGTCGCATAAATGTTGGGACGAACTTCTATGGAAATAAGAGCACATCATCGGGATTGAGACTGCATAAGAACCCATGCCCGGAAATATTCCCTATTTCGAACTGGTTCTTCGTGTGCTTCTAAACAGATCATAATAAGGGATATGTTGACATTTTCGGGCATGGATTCCAATGTAATTTAAATCCTGATGATGTGTCCTAAATCCCCTGGTAGTTTGACGCAACATTTCCGCGACCCATTGTTATGTATTATGTTTTTAAACTAGTACATTTCAACAAAAAATAGACTAAAACTAGCATTAAAAAAAAACTGTAGCTTCTGGAACAAAATTAATATCAGATTTGAAATCCCCACACCCCTATTGAGCAAGAAAGATCAAATATTTGTATCAATGCAACAAAACATTTGTTCCCCAGTGTAATCTTCCTATTTTTTATTTAAAATTTTTCATGTTTTTTTCTATCTGCACAAGGGTAGTTTACTTTAAGTATTGCCAATTTAATTATTTAATTTTCAATTCTAAATACAATGAAATGCACCGCACCGTTAAAATTTATTAGTTATTAATTAATTATCCTTATTAGTTAACTATACTTATATTCGTAATTAGTTAATTAATTATCTGTCGAATCCTTAGTCAGAAATGTTGAAGTGCATTGAACCATATTACTTTACTTAAACATACACGATAGTATGGTTCAATTTGAGCGTAAACACGGTTCGATTTAACACCTTATTTCGGTTGTAGTACCTTATAATTATTACCCTATTTCAGTGTTTCCCAAACTTATGACTTTTGTGTACCTTTTCTAAATTTGTCGTAATGCTGTGTACCACTAATAAAAAAAATGAATGTATTTTTTACTATAAAAAAATTGCACAAAAGTTAAAAATCACAACTGGCTGTTGACACCTCTTATTATTAAATGATAACTTTGCAAAAAATAGCCAATAGAAAAATACGTAATCGTAAATTTTCATGGCTAGCTTTGATTTCAAAAATTTCTTTTTCGAAATTTTCGTTTGTTGTAAGATATTTCGCATAAGAACGCGTACCCCCGCTAAACTGTTTCCGTACCCCTGGGGGTACAGTTTTTATAAAAATTTTCTTATACAGTTTTTCTTATACAGTAATTTTCTTATACAGTACAGTTTTTATAAAAATTTATATTTTTGTAAAAATTTTCTAGTTTTTCAAAGTAAAACCTTAAGTTTTTCCTCTGATCTTTGTACATTCACAGGATACCAACTTATCGTCGGACTAAGCGTGGGAGGTTTTTGTGGTTTTCCTCTTCATATAACATTGGTACTCATAAAGTCCACTTCGAAGACATGTATTGTCTCAAGATCTAGGAGTTCCCTTGTCTTCTGGGCTCAAAAATGACACGACTACATTGTACAACAGTTTAGCGTACCCCCGCTAAACTGTTTCCGTACCTCTGGGGGTACGCGTACCACACTTTGGGAAACACTACCCTATTTATTTCCTTAGAAACGTTGAATCTCTAGGTACCGAATTTTGATTCAATGTTAAACCGGTATTTCTGAAAGTATAGCATCGACATCAACGCTTGCAGTCTGAGTATATATTAAAAATTAATTGAGTTTTTACTTAGAAATCTAATTCCGAAACCGTCTATTTTGTATTGTATTTTTAAAATCTCTTTTTTTCTTCTCTCTTCTCAGCCTTAAAGCAAGACCGCAAGAGACTGAAAGCTGAAAAATTCGATCTTCTGACGCAAATGAAACAACTGTACAGTACATTGGAAGACAAAGAAGCGGAGCTCCGTGAATTTATTCGCAATTACGAACAAAAAATGAAAGAGAGTGACGAAAATATGAAACAGGTAAAAATATATTCCACTAGAAAAAAAATGCCTTTTGTCGTAATTTTCCTGACTCAACTTTCATTATATGCACTGATATTTAGTATAGGTGATATTATTTAATGATGCTAAGTATTAAGTAAATGATGAGTTGTAACTAATTAAGACTAAAAATTTATTTTTCTAATAAAAACTTATTTTTTGATAAGTTTTTTTTTTTTTTTTTTTTTTTAAAGTTTGTAGCGGATCATATTTTATGAACGTTTTTGAAATGAGGAGACAAATCCTACTTCACAAAAGAACACACAAACCTCTATCTTCGTACGGTTATTAAGTAGAAAACAACCTTTTGGTTCTTTTACAAACAGTGATCTCTATTCTATGGGGATATCTTCAAGTGACGTAATGTGGGTATCTCGAATCTGATTGGTTGTTAAAACGTGGCTATGTTTACGTTTGCAACTGTTCTTTCCAATTTCGAATTAAATTACCCCGTCAAGTATCAATTCTTCTAAAGGCTTGGTTTCTTAGGACAAGCGCCTTATCTGGGCGTCAGCGTTAAGTTGACGTTACCCTGACGCCAACAAAATACTGGTTTGTTAGCTCAAGGCCTGGTTTCTTAGGAGAAGCGTCTCAACTGGGCGTCAGCGTTAAGTTGATATGATATTGACGGCATAAAAATACCTTTTTGTTAGCTCAGCGTGAGCAGTCGGTCCAACACAGACATTATCTTGCATTGCGCATGCGTTAATAATGTAAACAAATATTTATTTTGAATTTGTATTGATTTTGTGATTGTCGACCAGTGCTTTAAAGAACAAATAATGACTTTGTCCAAGAGAAAACATATTATAGCTTATATATAACATATAAAAACATATTATAGGAAAAAGAAGCTATGTTTAATGTTAAAATTAAAATCTTGGCTGATTTCAATGCTCTGTTGTTGGCTGTTGTCCGCCATTGCTTCTGTTGTTAACGTCACGTTGTAATCCAACTGCAGTTGATTTGGACGGCAGTTGTCATTCAAGCTGAGCGTTCGATGACGTATGCTGTTAAACTCATAAATTAACCAATCAGAGGTAAACGTTCGTTTCAAGCTGACGCCGACGTTTCCTAAGAAACCAGGCCTTAAGTGATACATTCTATAATCCTTAACAAAGATTTTTTCACGATAATTTCAATTCTTTCATTATATTTTTCTTGCTTAACACATAGACAGGCACGAAGCCATGTAGAACATCAACAAATTAATTATGCATCGAAGTTGCCGAAAACAAAAATCTATCACGTTACAATAAAATACATAACAAATAATAAATCTAAGAAATAGTTATTTTTCAACAAATTCAATTCAATGTGAGATACGGAGCTGTATTTAAATAACTTTGCGCTAATTAACATTCTAAACAACGTGGAAAAATTTAACTAAACTTTGTCACACCATTTTTTTATTTATTGACACAATCAGCTGGCGCTGATGTCAAAGGTCACATGTGTGGGTATGTTTAATCTTCTTCTTCTCGAAGTGCAAGTGCCCAATTGAATATATTGAAGAAGATTTTAATTTTTTGCAGATATTTAACTTAAGGAATGCTAATTAAATGTTTATATTTGCATTTTAAAATTAGTACAGAAAATAATCTTTGTTACTCAGGAAAACTGAAAATTAAATGTTGACATCTTATCCATAATACATCATAATAAACAATTTTAAAAATGTTTGATTTTATGAATACTTTCATTATAATTATTCTCCTCAGCCACTAAATTGTAAATTATCACCTTATCTAAAATTTATTAATTTGCTCAATAAAATGATAATTTACAGGGATGGTTATCTTGTATGAAACAGTGGTTCTGAATTTTCTTCTATTTCTGTTTGCACTATTTCTAGGAGGGGGGGATTAAAATATGATAATACATTTTCATTGCTCTCAATATGTGCTCTCAATGTAATATTAACATTTGCCAATATTTGGTGCAAAAAATTTGATTCTTGCAAACTTTATTATATCTATATTTCTGTTTGCACTATTTCTAAGGGGGGGGCGGAATTAAAATATGCTAATACATTTTCATTGCTCTCAATATGTCTTCTCAATGTAATATTAACATTTGCCAATATTTGGTGCAAAAAATTTGATTCTTGCAAACTTTATTTTATCTCTCTTTATCTCTGTAAATGTCTTTATTTTGAAAATTAAATTTTGTTATAATAACCAACTTATTTGCTATTAGTTATACAAAATTAACATTTAACAATCCTATACTCCTATTTCACGCATCACCAAGTATAATTATAACAATGATTAATTATGCAGTTAATATTAATTATATAGTTAATTATTTTTAAATTTATTGTAATTATTACAGCAATGAAAGTCATAAAATAATTAAATGATATTTACTGCCATTTACTCGGTATTTTACCTAGTAAGTAAAAGCGCTGTTTCGTTAGGGTTTAAATTTTATTAGTTAATTTAACCAAATAAGCTATAATAGCTAAATGACGTCTAGTTAGTTAATAGTAAATAAATATATTAGTTATGATAACCAAATATCGTTCTATTCATTTGCTAAATAAAATTTTAATGTCTTGTTAAAAAAGTCTAATTGCATTTGTTTACACTTTTAATTGGTAATTAAGCAGTACAACTAGTGATCAAGTAAAACAGATTTCACTGTGGTTATAATAAGCAATTATATTAATTATTATAACATATTTTATTACTTGTAATAAAACTAATTACGTGTTTGGGACCATTTTAGATGGCTAAAGAACGTGAAGAGCTAGAGCAAGAGAAATGGAGTATATTGAAGAGGGCCAGGGACGAAGCAGAACGAGCTGTTCTGCTCTGTACTCAACTGGGTCTGAAGGATGCTCACATTAAAGAACTACAGGATGAAGTGAATAGGGTGAGGATCCCTCCTGTTATTTACTACTACATAATATTTCATAGCAATGCTTAACGCGCTGCTGTTTTCCATTGGCAATCGAAATTGCTTTAAAAAACTTAGCAATTATCCCATTCTTGATTTTCTTCGGATGTGATTAAAATTTAGAATTTTATTGAAACTCCATGTAAAATTTAAAAATTTATTGTAAGAATTGACAGTCAAGAAAATATTAAAAGTTTCAGTAATATCCTTGGGTTTGGTATCATCTAGATCAGGGGTGGCGAACCTTTATGCACCAACGTGCCATTTTTTTCAAAAAATTGTTTAATGAGGTCAAAGACGTGCCGTCAAATCATTTTGATTTTGTGATTATTGGGAAAATAGTAATACTAAATACTATCAACTCAAAACTCTTTATTTACTATGAAAAAAAAATTTTTTTTGCTATGTCTCAGTTGTACGCTTAATTCAACTGAAAGTAACATTAGTGTGACCTCTGTTGTTGCAGATTAGATGACAAATAAATACCTTATATTAGGTTGTAAGATGTTAGTTTAAGCAGGACTGTTAAATTTTTTTTGCTAGTTATTTATTGTTAACTTGTTTTGCTAATCCTTGTTTTTTATGGTTATTAATTGTTTTTTGGAATTAATTGTAAATTTTTTTGTTAATAATTGTTAATACGCTTTATAGTAAACTTTGTGATCAGTGGCGTGCCCAGAATATTGTGTCACGTGCCATTGGTTCGCCATCCCTGATCTAGATATTCCTTTGTTTGTGCTTAAATGAGAAAATGGACTTAGGTTAAATGGAAAGAAATGGTTATTTTGATCAAATTATTTTTTTAAACATATTTTTACTCAGTTGCGTTGCAGTTCGTTGTTTTAGTTTATATCAAGATAGCAATTCCTTATCTAGCCATAAATGTTGCAGAAATTCGTATTCATTTGGTGAAAAATGCTTGTAGTTAATGTCAAATGTGTATTTAGTGAAAGGTTTTAATGCGATGAAGTTTTAACATTCTTATGAATTTTCAATTAATCAAAATTATTGCCACTTACCTATGATATGTTCGAAGAAATATTTAAAAAGAATAATCGCTGTTTAAACATTTATAAAAAAAAATCACCATGGAAGTTTCTAAAATAGTACAATGTGTAAAAAATGCAAGAAGATAAAAAAAAATCATAAGTTAAGCGGTCAACTGCATAAGTACCAATTTTTGCAATTAAGCAAATTAGATTTTTTTTCCTGTCAATTTTCAATTATAACAAACGAAAATTTAAAAACGCTTATTTCTTTTACAAACAGAAAAAATATATAATAAATAGTGTTTCGAAGAAGAATCCTAATCCTTGTTTCTCTACTTCGTATAATTTTACACATTGCACTCCATTTTGATCAAAACTGAGTCAATTTTTTTTAACAAGTCTTATTTAAGTAAAAGTTTTAAGATTTTCATTACATTGATGCTTGTCAGTAGCATTTTCATAACAAAATAAGTTCATTTATCCGACAGCTACGGGATAAGCACATGTCTCCAGGTCATGATATTCGCCAGACAAACGGTTATGGTAGTCCAGGATCCATGTCTTACAGAACAGCTAACGGCATTGATTCAAGGGGTACTCCCACACCTACACCTGGATCAGATCCTACAACATCTCCATCCTATGCTGGGACACCCACCATTGCTTCTCAATATCCCGATGTTATGTCACCAAACAGAGGTTTGTGTCTCACTTATTTGAAACAATACGAAATTACATGCGTTTTACTATTTAAATAGGTTCATTATTTAATGATAACTTTTTTGTCGAATTCTTTGTTGTTTAAACTAACGCTATTGTATGTACATGATTATTTTTATACATGCTTGAATTTTAAAATTATCCGACAAAAAATCATAATTTTCAATAGTAATTTTTAATCATAATTCTTCGTAAATTTTAAAATTTTTCGAAATATCAGAAACGCATTTTTTCTTTCTTCCAAATGCGACATTTACATTATTTCACGAAAAAGATTTTCATAATTTGAAACAGAAATGTTTTAACCATGTGCATCTATTTCCGTAAGTTACGTTCATAGGACACATTTTGAGGAACCTCCTGAAAAATAGGGTAACGAAAAATTAAGCATTAGGGTTCCCAAATTATTTAGCGGTAAAAAAACGATCTAAATCTGATAAATCATTTCTGAGGAAGTCGGGATTAAAAACATCAAAACTTGTTTGATTGCCTAGGGTAACATATGGGAGTTAAAAACCTATTACTCGAAAATTCTTCAAGTTTCACCTGATACCTACATAACTTTTGATGATCTCAATCTTGCCTTCAATTTCGTCAGCTTTCGATTGGTTTTCTTCTCCAACCCCTAACTATTAAATGTGAATACTTTTTCGATTTCGCGAAGGATTTTAAACCTAAATTAAGGGCGGTGATTACCGAACACCCAGTAGATTTTGCTCTAGTAAAATAATAATAGGTAATGTATACAAACAAATTGGTGGTTTTGTGTTTTTGAATTGAACCATGTGTTTTTCTCTTTTTAGTGTCAATGATTCAAAGTTCTTCCCCCGACCACCGACCCTCTCTTCTCTCTAGATCTGCAGAAGATATCTTCAATTGTGATATGAGTGCAATGAACAGCGTGAAGAAAAAGTCTAAAGAGAAAAAGGGTACCTGGGGATCCATCTCACGAGTATTTTCTCGAAACAAGAAAAGGAAACCCCTCGATCCAGATCTTTTTGAGAGTGAGTATTCCCTTCTTTTTTTAATACTGATAGAGTTGAATAGATTTTTAAAAGAAAAAAGAAAATTCAATTTTGTCTGAGCGAAATTGAAAAACATAGGTTGCATCACCTTCGAAAGACGCGTGAATTTTTAGCAAACCTTTATTTGCTTCGATTAAATTGATTTTTAAAAAAAAAATCAAATTTAAAATAATCGACGGCTATAAAATGTTGATTCAACAATAAAAGTAATACAAATATGTGACAAAATTTAGTTAAACATACTGAGTTTAAAGAACTTTATGTAAAAATATTTGGGGTGATAAAACAATTTGATGTATAACTTTGAAATGTGTGAATTGTTAAATTACTCTACATCCACATGAATCTTTTCATCACAAATTGATTCTGTAGGATCAATTTAATTCAGATTCTGTTTTACAAAGTCTTTCTTCATTGATGTACTTTTGTCATTAAACAATTTTCAAAATCGGAAAAAGTGACTGGTTTTTTTTATTTTAACTTAGGCCCGCATTTTTTTTTTACTCGCCCCGTGGCGAGTGACTAATGGACCGACGGCAAGGGGACTTTAATGCATGATCCGTCTACCACTTGGGATATTTTACGTCAGCATTGTGTGGTCGGTACGAGCCGGGTGCGGAATTCGGATCGACCCGCCATCTCTCGGATTCGAATCATGACCTTTTAGCTTTGTTTATATCAATTCATAATAACCGCCTTATATGTATTTTTAGAAACATAATAAAAATTTGACTAAAAAAATATACACATTAGGGGTCGCAAAAACATCTTTCAACTCCTCTCTGTTTTCTCTATTGATAAAGGATATTTTCAGTCTCGCTAATCTCAATAATGATTCTCTAGACCTTGACAATTAATCGAATTCATATACTCTTTTTAAGAATAATCTTGAATATTTTGTTTTGTATTAAAGATTATAGGTCATCGTGGTCACCCAAAGAGAGTCCGATGAATGAAGAGAGTTATGTTCAGAAACTTCGCCTTCTGGAGGAGACCCACGGGACTCCTATGCAACACTGGAGAGCTGCCACTGTTCTCGCTTGGCTCGAGATCACCATGGACATGCCACAGTATGGAGCTGCATGTGCTGAGAATATTAAAAGTGGAAAGGTGAACAACAACAACAAATTTCACACTTCTCATTACTAAAATTTAAAAAAAAATTAACTTTAATTCTGTAAAATGTTGATTGGTGACACAAAGAATATATTTTTATGTAAACGTCAGCAGCGACAATAAATGACGGTTTTTAAGTGGGAAATAGTTTTAAATGTATTTTTCGACGTAAGACCTGATTTTTAATATATTTTTTCAAAGTATCCATACAAGGTACCGTTCAACAAGATTGTTTTAACTCTTCTCTCGAAAGGAAGGGACGGAGGAGTTTATTTGGTTGTTCGCAGTCATCCTATTACTTCATTTTAAAATTAATGCATGATTTTCCTAGAATAGTTTTGAATAGATTTTTCTATATATTTCGAATAATTTCTTTTTATTAGGAAAAAAAAATTGTGGAAAAAAAGCAAAGAAAAAACGTATTTGCAAAACTTTAATAACGTGGGAAATTTAAAGAGATTTTTTTTCCTCAAGTTATTGAAAAATTAGCAAAAATTAATATTAGTCCGGTCTGACTGCATGATGAAATCTATTTTAAAAACGATATATATCAGGAATGTCACACGTCCGGATTCCATCAACAAAATCCCGTTTTTGTAACTCTCAACGATTTTCCTTAATTCGGACGACTGGATAATTCGGTTAATTTGAACGTTGAGGAGTTACAACAAGGTTGTAACTCCTCAGCGACGGGCATACATGTGATAAATTATTATGTTTTTTTATATTTTTTATTTTTAAAAAAACTAACTAAACTGTTCTATTTTGTTCTAAAAAAAGAGTTCGTTTATTTCTCTTTGTGGCATTACACCTGATTCAAACATAACTTTGAACTTGTTTCAAAAACACTAAAATTTCCTTAGAATATATTACAGCACTGTTTATGTGTACTATGCAAAATTGACTTCTGTAATAAATTTTCAGCTTTTATTGGAGCTGTCGGACTCAGAACTAGAAGAAGGTTTAGGCATTTCTAATGTTATGCACAGGAGAAAGCTAAGGCTAGCAATAGAGGAACACAGGCAACCCTCTTTATGGTAAGCTTATCCCCACTGCATTCTAAATTATAATTATGGCGTATGGATAGTTTGACACATTTGATTGAAACATTTTCAGCCGCTATCCCAAGATCTGCCTCATGACCCACTCTTGGGTAGTGGAAGAGTTTCTACCAAGCATCGGCCTTATGTGTTACCTACCGAGCTTCTCAGAACATTTGGTGGATGGAAGGGTTCTGGATACTCTCACCAAGAAGGATCTGGAGAAGTATTTTGGCATTTCGAGAAAGTTCCATCAATTAAGTATCATGCACGCTATTCAACTACTCCGGATACTGAATTTCGATCGACAGGTGAGGACGAAGGAATCAACTTTCGTTAGTGATTAGTTTACATTTTGTGGTAACACAAGTTTTAACAATCATTAGGTTTTGTGCTAAACCGGGCTATGTATACTTTTTTCAGTCATTCCAATGACGTGTGGGTAACCAGGACAAACTCCTACTTAGATGCCCTTTTAAAAGTTAGAAGTGCAATAAAAGGAGAAAAAAAAATTCTTTAATAAGTGATAGTGGAAAGATATATTTTTTATTCCTATCTAAATTTATAAAATGTTAAATGTGGGCAGGGGGAAGGTTAAAGCTTCATTATTTCGTGACCAATGCCACGATTGATTGCCATATGGTCAATATTGCGCATAAGCTGAAATCCACCGGCCTCAAACTGGGCCTGCTTCAAGTAGTCATCGAAGATTAAAACCAATACTTCACAATGACAGCTATTCTGCTCCATATTAATATATAGTATTTTAAATTAAGTATCGAACAGAAATTATTCGATGGTAAAATATTTAAGTCTATTGGAAACCCACTTAAATGGACTATTATCCCATCTTCCCCCACTAAGTCTTTCTTTCACCATGTTGTTATAACTAATGTGTTACCAAAGCCCATCCTGCTAATAAATGCCGTAGACTTATATGGGAGATTGACATTTATTGCATTACGAGTATCATCAATATATGAATATTCGGTTATACTAATGATATATTTGCTTTTCAGATTTTAAATCAGAGACGAGTGAATAGTGAAAATATGGATATAGATCCTTTAGTGTGGACCAATCAACGAATTGTAAAATGGGCAGCAAGCGTAGATCTAGGCGAATACGCTGAAAATTTGCGAAACACTGGAGTTCACGGTGCCCTTGCAGTTCTGGAACCCTCGTTTACAGCGGACACAATTGCAACAGCCCTTGGGATACCTACTTCCAAAAATATTATTAGGAGGCATTTAACGACAGAATGGCAGAATCTAATTCAACCTGCAAGGTAATTCATTTTGTTTAAACTCACTAAGTTCAATTTAGTGGTTTATTAATGTAACCGAACTATCTAATACACAGTACGCTAAAGTAATAAGTAAACACTTTAGTAACTTTCCAGGGCTAAAGAGAGTAGAAGGGCTAGTTCACTCCGCTCTTAGAGCTGAAGCTACGATTTCCCTCCTCATGACGTCACTGTGTCCACAGATCTCGGAAGATCGCACGCAAAGATATTATGATAACTTTGCATCTTTCTCTTTGTAAAAATAAGTTAGATATTTTCTGGTTATTAGCTTTCAAACTTTACGTAATTAACACATTATTTCCATTCATAAACATAGTTTAAAAAAACTTTCTTGGCCAGTATATTAAAAAAATACCATTTTAAACTTATAAAAATATTTTACTAGTTGGTGAAAATGACACTATAAATACTTTATTTTAAAAAGTTCAGTTTTAACTTTAATTATTAAGAAAAACGAAAGCATATATCGACACTTTTTTATCTACATATTCTTTTATAACAATAAGTTGAGTTAAATTTAGAATCCCGGATTTTAAAATATGCCATTAAATTTGTTTATACTTAATTATTAGGAAACATCAACCTTAAACGCTAATTACTGAAACAAAATAATAATTTAGGTTCGTAATGACATTAAAAATTTTACAATTGTTTATAGATATTTAAATTTAAGATGATATAATTTATAGATATTAAAATTCAAGAGAATATAATTTTTAAAAGACTCATAAATATTTAGAATAACTACATTAAAAAAATATGTTATGAAATTAGGAAAATTTCAACTATATATTTTATTTATACTTTTTATTTACGCTTTAATTTTCTTTGACTTTATCCATTTTTTAATTTTTTTCACATGCCTTTCATTTTGAAGTAACGAAGCGGTTTCTATTTAGATAACGAATTTTTATAAAAGTTCTTAACGATAGATAAAACGTATTGCTGTTTTCTATTAACTGTGTCATTTCGGAATCCATTCTTTACTACATATTTGTTCATTTACTTCAGGGAACACGCGGAAAATTATATTTTTTCCTTTTGTTTTTCTATCAGAATTTGTGCAAATTGCAATCGCGCAAACTGGCATTTCGTTAATAGTTTTAAAATTTTGTAAATTCATGGCAAAAACTGAGAAAAGTCATTATAGAAAATAACAAATGTCTTAGAATATGTCACATTAGTTAGAGCTAGTAAGGCCGAACGCTCTGTTCTTGAAGTAAAAGTGCGCGAGCCTTGCGCCAAAGTGACGTCACTAGAGAAAATCGGAGAATTGGCGCGGCGAGAGTTTCTTCAAAGGAGTGAACCAGCCCTTCTATACTCTTTAGCCCTGGTAACTTTCGATCCAAATGATCGGATTTTCACGAACTAGAACTCAATCTTAATGATTCAAGAGCCTATCTTTCTTATGCTACTTAATAAGTGCAAACGATATTTTAGATTATGAAATCGTTCTCGGAATATATGTTTTTTTTTCCTAATATATGTTAATTTTTTTCGACGAATTTGGATTCTTGGTCCTTAAAATATGGCTGGATATATCTTCAATCTGGAAAACATAGTCCCATTAGGTTAGTCAGCAAAACCATCGAAAGTTTCAATCCCTTAATGTTATTTTCACTTTTTCCGTATTGCTGGTAATTTTTTAAGGGAATCAAAAAATTTTTTGCACACAATTATAAAACTTGTTTATCTAAAGATAATTCCACTTAAAAAATTATTTCTTTTAAGTTATTATTATTTAATTTACTAATGGTCAAAAAATTTTAAATATTAAAATATACAAATTTTTCTACCAATCTGATTTTGGTAATAGCAATTTTAAATTACAAAACCCAACATTTGAAGGGAATTGTGAATAGTTCATGAGAAATCAGAATTTAAAAGAACAACTTTTTTGAGATATCGAATTATGCAAAACTTAAATCATCAATACGTTCAGGATCAAAACGTTTAGGAGCTCATACTTTTGACCCTTCGCATGCTTAAACTATTGGGACCATACTTTTCAGAATGCAGCTATCCCTTTAAAAATTGCGGTTTAAGAATTCTAATCCATCGGAAAAGACGTATGCTTTTTTTTTTTTTTTTTTTTTTTGATAAAGTAAGTTTTTGTGTCTGATGTGGAAGCTGTAGTCTCATCTGCTGGAATTAATTAGAATATTTTAGGATAGGCTCGCGAAATATTTAAGATCGAGTCCTAGTGCGCGAAAATCCGATCATGTCATGATTTATCAAAAATTATTAAGAGACCACCATACTTTTGCATGGTAAAATCTATTTCGCCTTCATTGTTATTTTTAAATTTAAAGAAAACTAAGTTTAGGTAAACCAAGAGCGAACCATGAAGTTTCAAGTGCAGAATAAACTTTTTCAAAATGCAAAACAAATTATGACAGGTTCTCCACAGCTTTATCTCGAGTAACCCTGCCATAATTGGCACGCATATTTTGAAAAACTTTTTTTAGCATTCAAAACTTAATAGTTTACCTGAACTAACTCTTTGTGAAAGTGTATTTTAAATTGCTTATGTCGGTGAGAGAATTCGCTATGAAAGGTTTCTCCCGTCGTATAATGTCCTCATGAGTTGTACGCTTTTTTCCGTCACGCTGTTATCATGCAAATATGCAAAAAAAGTTAACTTATTTTTAGCTTACTTCTCAAACTAAACAGCCATAAGAAATGAAATTTTTATTCCATTTCCTGTGACTGTTTAGCTCATCTTGATTGCCTTTTTTATTGTTAATTAATTATAATTCCATCATAATTAATTAATTAAATTAAATTATTTTTTATTTATTATTATTATTGATTCATAATTATTTCCCATTATTAATCAAGAGAATATTATTTACGTTTCCCTTATAACTTAAAAAAATGAATAGATAAATTTTTAAAAAAAATACTTTTTTGTAAAGGAGATTCTCTATTTGTTTTAAGGTTGTCTCTAGAGTCTGAGAGTATGGTAGCCAAGAAATCTAAATCAGAGAAACGCCTAGCCAGTGGAAGTAGTTCCATTTCTTTAGTGTCCCAGGGGAGGAGCAGTAGTAGTGGCATTATGCCTTCATATGCAAGGCGTACACTTGATCGCTATGATCGAAGGCGGTCCAGTTGGAGGGTAAGTTATCATTTCAATCAATCCACATTTAGAAAAAGTTGACAATTATAGATATTCTGAATTAGGAATGTGATAAAAGTGTTTCAGTACTAGTGTATTCCTTTTAACTAACATAAAATGTGATAACTTAAGTGTAAATAGATATAAGAAATCAATGTTATACTTAAAAGTTTCTACAAGCATTATTTTACAATTTTTAATGTAGCAACTAAAATGTTTTAAAATTCACAACAAGTAATATTTTTTAAATATTCCAAAAAACAGTTTTCAATCTGACCAAAACATTTAAGATAAACGTGATATACTAAGGTAAAATTAGTTTTAAAAAATTTACATATTATGTTTAAAATATTTTTAATGGTTTATTCTATTGAAAATTTTCTTTTTAAGTAGCATATTTTTAAAAATTTTAAATATGCTTGATACAGTCATGCTTAAATATTTTAGCGACCTTCATTATATGTAGAAATAAATGGACAATGTTTTTTTTTTAAATTTTTCTTACGAAATAAGTCACGTTCTCTCTTTTTTATGAAAATTAAGCTCAAAGTGAAATCATTGAGAAATTTTTAAGTTTCACATTTATATAAATTAATATTTCTTTTTAATATTTATTAAAAAATTGTTGCCTATCTATCATTATAAATTCAAATGTTATGTCTATGGTATTAGTAAGGTACTTGAAGTAAAACAATTCTTTCGATTTTTATGAAACAGTTTTTGTACTGATCTAACTATTATCATAATTTCATTACAGTTTTCTACTTGGAAAAGTTCACAGGTACTTTCTCTCTTTTTTTGTGAATCAGTTTTTTCCTCCCTTCAAATATAATATGCATATAATTGTATATATAGATTTAAGAAAATCTTAAAGAGTATTTAAGTTAATTTAACATTAGTCCTAAGGAAATATTTTTACAATAACGTCTTAGGTAATCGATATTTATAGCTTAATTTTATTTTGAACAGCTTTGCATTTAATTTATGTCGTTTACCATAAATTCAGTCACTTTTCATCAAAATAGATATTTATTGTTACAATAAATGTTGGTTTCTCAAAGTGAAAAAACATTTTATGAAAGCTGCTACACTTATCAATGAATTACTAATACAAAAGAAATAACTCATTACGAAAATTAATCATTTGAATTTATTACTCCACTTAATCAAATTCTGAACAAGATTTATGTTTACAAATTAAAGTATCACATGTTTCAAACTTTATAGTATGTTAAACTAAATATATAAAAATTTTAAAGCAAAAATATAAATATCCCAATATTGTATACTTAGTCAAATTTTCTGTTCTTAAAATCAGCATAAAAAGCATAATTTTTATTTGCTATATACTTATCGCAGTCTTGCGGTACTGAAAACAAAACAAAGCTCATTATAAAGGTATATTTAGTTTATTGATAGTTTCAAGATAATTTAATCTCATTTTAAGATATTGATGAGAATTCAAATACGACAAATTTATGTGACTATTTTTTTAAAAATAAATAAGTAGGAAGCAAAAATAAGTTTGATTATAAAATTACAAAATGGGCTCAAAATAAGTAGTATGACATTCAATGTTTTTAACTTGATAAAAAGTCTTATTCAAACATCTGTGAATTAATACAGGTTTTTTTTCAATCTTAAAGCTATTTACTGCCCTGCAATAAAAGCAGGGGTCAATCCACGTTTTTCAAAAATCAGCAAACTTCATTTGTAAATGACAAATATAATTTCTGATTTTTATGTAGATTCTTCACATCACACGGTTAAAATATTATTTAGATTTAAATGTATGATACACATCTTATAAATGAATTTTATTTTTTTAAGGAATCTTTGAGATCTCTGACATCTTCTAAGAAAACCTCACCTGCAACCACCACTTCAGCGGAGAGACCTCACATTCTTCCCCTCTCACCAAAGCTGAATACAACTAGGCACCGAAGAACGTTTTCTTCACATTCCGATGTAGAAACACTCACTGTAACTCCAGTCTAAACGCTTATGTCGACGGTGGATGCATTTTTAATGCGAGCAGCAAGAATTTGGAGAATAATTATTGTTACTAAATTTCATAAGTAAATTATGACTGAAAATACTCAGAGATATAAAAAAAATTATGATATTATATATCTACATTTGCATTGCATTTAAATTTTCTTTCTCAAATAAGATTCTATTGAAATTTGGATTTTCAAATCTATAAGATTGATTTGAAATTTGGAACTGAGTTCCTTTTCTTAATGCATATGTAAAGCAAAATATTAACTTTAAATTATATATTTGTGTAAAGTGAACTATTGTCACAAAAAGAATGTATTAAAATTTTTTTGTCATTTCAATACTTTCATGCAGAATGCTTTTTTTTAAAAATATAAGTAGCAAGAATAATTATATATTAATACATTCCAATTAATAATTCATTTAAACATTGTTTCAGTTTAAATTAAAACTTTAATTTTATACTACTTTAATCATATTATCATTCAATAATACAACACAATTCTAAAATAAATTTTTTTTAGTAAATGCTTATCAGCAATGACAATAGACTGAATTTTAAAAAGCGAATAATATTAAATTAAAAAAATGAGTTTTATAAATTATTTAGAATTATTTACAAATAATTTTTACAATTAACTGCAAGGTGAAAATATATTTCGTAAATTATTTATAATGCATACATCACTAAAAATTGAAAATGTAAATGAAAATTGAATTATGAAAATATAATATTTAACTGCAAAATTGCACAGTTTTAAAATTAAAAACTAATGTATATGAATTGTGTAAACTTTTGAATAACTTTTTCTCAATAAAATGAATGTAATCTTTATTTACACTAAATTTGAATTTTATCATGATTCATTCTGTATAAATTTTATGCCATTTTAAAGCACGAATAAATGTATGTTGAGTGTAATTTGCAATCATTTACCAGAATTTAAGAATTGGTAACTTTGCATTAATTAAAATTTTCAATCATTTATCGAAATTTTCTCCGAAAAAAATATTCAACCACTCTGTGTTCTTGGTGGAAAATAAAAATGTATTGCAATTTATTATTATACTATTTGATGCAAATATTTGCTTTGCAAATGAAATGACAACTACAAATTATCTAAATTTGAATGCATCCATCTATTTGTATTATATTGTGCAGGAGTATGGAAAGCTAGCATTTTAAGTTATATTGTGCAGCAAAATGTTCTGTTAAATATGTTTTTGGCTTCCTGCTCGTTGGATTTGAAAAAATAAATACTTGTACATTAAAAGTTGGTTATTAAAGTTACTTTATTCCACTTTCCACGAGTCTTTTATTATTTTATGGATCCCTTATTATTTCATCAAAAAACATGGTAAAAACATTATTTAACAGTTGTAGCTTTGATCAAACACAACTACAAATTATCCATTTAAAAAACTTTATTATAAATCCTACAAAATTCAAGTACAAAATCAATATGAATTTTTTTTCGAAATTATTTACTAAACAAGAGTGTTACAAAAATTAAATAAATATATTTCCATCAATTAATAAAATCAAGGAATAGAGTTTAAGGTGCAAAACAAGATATTAATTTATTTTTTTTTAATTTAGACTGAAACTAATGCTGTTTTAAAAATAACAAAAATATCACAATTAATTATAAATAATTATCTCTCACTTTTTTATAAAAATAATCTAAACATGAGTAAATTAGGTATGACAATAACACTTCACAATTTTAATTAAATTTCTTTTGATCACTTAATGGCAAATTGTAAGTTTTTATTTTTAATACAGAAGTTTAGTTTCGTTGACATATGTATTACAAGCATATTTTAACTAAATTGCTTTTTAAATCATAATGCACTGTTCAGAAAATTTGTAAGCACAAAACAACTCCCTAATCTTTTGTTTCCTGAATTCGATATACTCTGTGAAATAAAATCTATCCATTTTAATCTTTTCACAATATATCTTGTATAGTTATTTTTGTAAAACAAAAGAAATTTTTGCTTTATTTATTCACAAATCTGAATACATTGATAAAAAGAATTTAAAAAAAAAACTCAAGCCAAATTATTAATAGTAAAAATTTCAGCTGATAAGTAGTAACTTTTATTGATGTATGTAAGTATCTATAGAATGCCAATATTTTATACATTGAATATAAATATAAAATGTCATATCTTTCTCATGAAAAAAGATGAAGGTGAAATAGCTATTAAATAAAGATGGAATAAAATACACCAGAACTGCTCTTTTAACGAAAAAATGTAGCATCTTAAAATCTATTCCCGAACAATAACCAAAAATTAAAGTTGAAGACTTCTATCTCTTAATATTAAAGAATAATAATAAAAAAAAAACTGCATTTTTCTGGAGAAATATGATTAAAAAAATAAAAAAAACTTCCAATCTATGCATAACTTACAAACTAACAAATGTTGATTTTACCATATTTCTTAAAGAAAATATTGCAGTTTTTTTATATTTTAACACCATGAGAGAACAGTGTTAATATGAATTACAGTTCATACAATGGTAAAACAAAATGTTAATTTATGAAGTTCTTATAACAAGACTAAAGGAAAGTAACTGCGTAGTGGAAACCTTTAATGGCAAAATAAATAGATATTTCAGAAAAAATACAAAAAACAAAAATATTCTCTTGTTTGTAAAGCAAACAATATAAAAGTAAATAATAAACAAGTTCATTTTTTTTAAAAAAAAGTTTGTACAACATAAAAATAAGATAATGAATACAAAAATAAATAAAATATATACTAGCATAAAACTTGGAATTTATTTGATCAGCTAAATATGTGCAATTATTTTACTTATTCATATTTTCCTGCACTTAGAAATATATATTTAATTGAACTATGTTTTTCTTGTACATTAAAATATATTTATTATTTCATATTATATGATTCATATAATATTTCAATATGTATCATTTCTAAAGTGTTTCAGGTATTTTTCTTCTTTTACTCAACTTGCATGAAAAAGCTCTTTATCAAACTTTATAACATCCTAGTAATATTAAATCTAGTAATTATCCTAGTAATATTAAACTTTATCTATATACATAGTTATAAATGGGTAACTCTGCAAACCTGCAATTGCACTTTCAGAGGAAAAAAATGAGTTAAATTTTTCATTTTGTTAAGTTTTTTTCCTTTTTTAACTTTGATATAAAAATTTAAATTTAAGGATCTATATAAACTCTTTAATATCCTAAGTGAGAATCTCTTATAACATCAAAACTAAGGCAAACAACGTTAAAGAGCACAAAAAGCACTCTTTAACGTTGTTTGCCTTAGTTTTGTATTTTAGCACAAAGGTCGCCCACTTGTGTACTCTTATAACATGCTTCATAGTACGACTTGTTACAAAATTTTTCTCATTTTTTACTTTTCCCTTAAAAAGCAATTACCACACTTCTTATCTCAGCTATTCATATTTTATAAGCACTATTTAGTCCAATTTGTAGTATACGGAAAGTTTCAAGAAACTATAAGTTCATTTTAAATTTCAATAATAAAAAAAAAGGAATGTCTTTGAACAAAAATAAACTCTTTCATTATACAACAGAATGAAATGTAATACATTTAGTTTAAAATTTGATGGATTGCTTAAACCATGAGTAATATCATAAATAATCTAATGATGGATAACTATTAAAATTTCTGTAATTTTTGCACAATCACAAGAGTATGAAAGACAGAATGTTTTATAAAATTTCAGCAAACTTAATTAATTTAAGTAGTATGATAAATTAATCCTTTAACAGTCATAAAATGCATTTTTACAAACTATTGTATAAAATTTCATAAAACTTATATAATTATAGTATTTTGATAAATTAACCCTGTTAGAGTCCTAACATACAGTTTTACAGAGTGTTGTACAAAACTTTATGAAAAATAAATAAAGTTTTATGATAAATTAACCCTTAAACCTCTGCTTAGGCAATTTTGTACAAAAAATTTCATATTGAGCAAAGGTTTTCCATTGAATAACATGAAAGTGAAGAAATTAGACAACAATTGAAGAAATTTAGTAGAGAAATCCACTTTCATTAATATTTTTAAAAAATCAATAAAAATAAAATAAAATTGGGCAAACAAAATGTAGCAGTCTATCCGACTACATACCAATACATAAAAATGCATCAAATCTTTACATTAGTGTTTGTCTTTCCAATGTAATTCAATTAAGTTGAAAAATGTATTTGATACAAAGAAGAATAGTTAAAATTATTTTTCATTTCAATATCTGATTTTATTTTAAAATTCAGAATCATACCAACTCACTAAAGTTTATTAAAGAGAAATTAAAAAAAAAAAGTAGCTGATAATTCTGTATGTTGAACAATTACACTGCTTTTTACCTCATTTTTTAAATATTACATGAATCAACATAGTTGATGCACAAAATGCTCATTTTAATTCAAAATTTAGTCATTCTAAATCTTGGATAGTTTAAACTAATGTTTATCCCCTTACATTTTCTAAACTTCAAAATATAATTTCTTTAAATATAATTTCTTTAAATATAATTTCGTTTAATTTAAACTTTGGAAAAGAGAATATTATCGGCATACAAATATTCATTCTAAAAAATAATAAAATACTTTCTATTTATTTATTTGCAAATGCGTTTTGTAATCAGTTTTTAGATTTAATGCAGTTTGTATTTTGAGGAACATTAAACTGAACATAATTATACACATAAAATACAGCTAATTCTTAAAAATTTAATTTAAGTGTTAAACAATAGAGTTTAAAATTTAAATTTATTTATTAAACTTTATTTTTTTTTATTTTAAGAATGCATATGTTTGAGGGTTAGAATTTTCTGAATTTAGCATTCAATTTATATTAAAAAGTATCTAACTTCTAGAGTCAAAACCACTAGCTTTTTAAACAAGTATTAACCCTTCCTCAATGGGAGTTGCAAATGCACGCTTATCGCTGAAGCCAAGAGTTTCATTCATGAAAGCCTATTCAGAGCCAGAGGGGGTTTTCCTGTAATGCCTAAATCCTTGAAATCACCAAAATATGAGTGTGTTATTTATTTATGTACTGTAAAGTAGATAAACGACATACCCTGCATATATTTTTTATTCGTATACTTTATTTATTTATGATTTTTTGTGTTTAAATACATTTATGCACAATTTCTGTTATTTCGAGTTAAGTAATTTTTCAACATTGTAATGGTAAAAACAGAAAAATTACACGTGTAATAGATCTAGCTTTCAACTGAAAACTGGACTGCAAGCCCAAATAAACAACAGTCTATCAAAAATAAGCTCTCCCACTTACTATAAATAAATACCACATAGTTCAAAGCTCAAAAAGTCGTTTTAAAGCATGCAATTCAGAAACATACCTTTTTCCTCATGTTTATATAATCAAAAATTTAGTGCATGCAAGTCACATGTTTCTCATTTCGAGTAGAAGGGTCAACTCTACGCATATCTTAAATCCTATGGACATACAATGCCATCTTGTGCCAAAATTTATAGCTTTTAAAACGCTCCACAACATCGTCTAAACATGTAGCCGTAAAAGATTTGAATTCTACAAATATAGAAGTTTCTTTCAAAGATATGTACTAACATGGATATTCACTGTATATAATTAAGAAGTTCCTGCAATTTAAAAAAAAAAATTCTTCCGAAATAATCTAGGTGAAACATTTAAATCTTATAAGAGGAGGACAAAGTTAGAAAATTATAAATATTTAGAGAACATAATATTATTAAATTCCCTAAGATACAGTGACTCAAATGGGCAGGTCAGGTAGTTAGAATGCACGAGGATAGTGGAGGAAAAGATTTTTTTTTTTACTAAATCCATGGTGAAAAAACCTAAAGGAAGACTCAGGCAAAAGTAGACCGATAACGAAAAGCTTAGGATATCACTACTGAAAATGACAAAATATTAAAAAATGACAATTAAAAATATGTCCATTAATTGCCATCCAATTACCATTTTAATTATCAAACAGACCCCATGTTCTCCAAAAACACATGCTTTCAACTTCTCATATAAATTATTACGCAGTAAAGCTGCAATAATCCCTGAAACATTTAGGCTAATTAACGCTGATACAAAATTAATTTATATATATTTGGTTCTCAAAGGTTTCTTTCCAGTTAAATTAATTTCATATTGCTCTTTTTAATTTATGTCCAAAAATATTTAAAAATAATCTAATTAGTATGATTTAATCACAGTTGCAATTATTTCATATTTATTTCGTAACCAGTAAATGTTACGTTTGTGAACAAACATAATTTTTTTCTTTTTTAGAATTACTGGTTCAAAAACTCACCACCTAAAATTTTTTTGCGACACCTATTGTTAAAAACGTTATTTACAATATGAAATTACTTGATTCTGAAAAGGATCTTAAGGGCAAGATTTTCTTTTTAAGACACTGAAAAGGATCTTAAAAGTAAAAATTTAAAAAACATTTTCAAAAAGTATCTTTTAAATTAAATCTCATCTAATAAATTAAATCTATCGCTAATAAGTTAAATCACCACATTCTGCCTAGCTCATTATGTAAAGAAAATACAGGTTAAAGGTAATTACATTGTAAGTGAATTATACAGTATACTTTCTTAGAGATGCTTATAAGTATAATGAGAATATTTTTTTAGAAATTAAGTAGAAATATTAGATTACTTTGATTTTTAATTTCATTAATATAATAACAAAAGCAACTGATAGTCAGCATAGCCAACTTCATTAGTAAACCCATAACTCTTGACTAATGATCGTCTTTCATAACAATATGTACAGTATAAAATTAAATAATTAATTTTTCAATATGACATGTACAAACTCCATAAAAATATTAGTATTTGTTTGAATACAATAGTTTGTTAGTTTTTAATATCAGACCCTAATGCCATACCTGGGCCATTAAGAAAGGCACAATCATATGAGAATTAACTTCTTAATTTTAACTTCTTAAAACATATCAGTGAATTAACCAAAGAAGGACACTTTCTTGAAAGACTCTGCTTGTAAATCTCAGATCTAACTCTGGCCAGAAATCAGAATACAGTTTTGAAGCATGGGTACCGAATATGTCTAAAACATGTCTGTTGATTTCACCAATCCTAAAATAAGTATAACAAAATAAGGATTCCATGAAATTTGAATAACATTAATTTAAATTATTTGATGAAATAAAAAATAGTTTATGATATAAAAATAGTCTTTTATTATAAAAAATAAAAATAAAATATTAATGAAAATAATTAATGATTAATAGTTTTAACAATTTTAAGATATATGGAAATAATATTGATCAATAATCTCTTCCCCCCCCCCACCAAATCAGCTGTAAAAGGGGTGGAGATAATATACTTTTAATGATCTTTATTTAATTTTCATAAATGAATTGTTGTCGATTTTTCGAAAATTAATGTTAATTTTTCAGAATTAATTCTTTTTGGCAGTATTTTTATAAACACATAAAATTTAAAGTTATCGTCCAATCAGAATTCGAGTAATGTAGCACACGGTATTTTATCCATTGATTTTTTTTAACACCTATACAAATACAATTCTGCAAATAAGGATTTTCTGAAAGGTTTCAAACATTTGTTCAATTCTAGATTTTTGATAAATATCTTTGTTTTTGCTCATTTTAGGTAAAGATAATATTTTAGTCTCATCTAAATCAGTTCTGTTCAGTTCTGCTACAATAATAAAAATGAATATTTTAAAAAAAATCCAAAAATAGACAAATGAAAAGCATTACATTATTTATATAAAATGACTAATCACGTTATTTCATTGCTTTATATTTTAGATAAAAAAAACTATAGAAGTTCTAAAAGTTAACAACATCGTTTTAAACAATCTGATAAAGCAGTGCTTTCCTTACTGTTTTCTTTATTTTTATTTTATTTTATTTTTTTGAAAGGTATTGTGCTGTGGAATGATAATCAATTTCCAAAAGTTTGTAAAAAATTCATAGCAAAAATGAAAACAAAGCATTAAAGCTAAAATCAAAAATGGCAAGGGAAGAGAGATCTTAATTCAATGCTGATTGATTAAATAATAGGAAAAGTTTAGGTTGCAGAAAAGTCTAACATAGAAACATAACATATTAACACAAACATAATTATTGAAGTCCTTAAAAAGATAATATTAATTGGATCAAAATAGTCACCAAAAATCGGCAAAAACAGGCATTGCAGTTTTGGCACCTTGGTGATTGCAGGTAAAAAACCGAGATTCAATACAGAAATATCTCCAATGAAATCAAAATTCCAACAGGCTCAGAAATTTCAGCATCCAATTAATAAAAGTACAGAACAGCAGAAATATAAATTTTTAAAATCTAATGACTGGAATTAAAAATGGTGAAGGTGACAAGTGTGTATTATTATTTTAATTTCTTCAGCTACAACTTATTTTATATTTTCTTGTTTTTTTTTACAAGTTTTAAATTGGTCTTTCTCAGAGTATATAATTTGCTAGCATTAGTAATCACTTTTTGTTATATTTTACTTTTAAACCTAAAAATAAAATTTTAATTTCAACTTTATTATATATATACCACAGTTTTACGTTGTCTAATTTGCGCATTATCCCCTTCCTACCTCATTTTCTGTTGGGTCGTGAAAATTGCTAAATTTAAATTATGCCAGATTTTAGGTTACCCCTTTTAAGTCTTGCTTTATTCATCTTTCTAACAGATCAAAATAATTTTTTCTTAACAAAGCTCGCACAAACTTTTTTCGAATTTATTCATTCTTACTTCTATGGAGAAAAAAAGGGACTTGTTTATTAGCTGTTTGAAACTGTATTAACATTTTTTCTATTTTAACTTATTGTTCTTTTGTTTGTCAGAGGGTACTGCTCTTTTGAGTCAAATTCAAAAGGGTGGTGGATTGTGCAAAGCGCAGGAAAGATGGTTAAAAGAAGTATGCGAAGGAGCTCAAATTGTAAATTTTTTTCCCAGCAAGCTAGAATAATTCAATTATTTAACGAATGTTACACTAAGCAACGGATTAGATATTTCTTGATTTTAGTAGCCTGTAAAATGCTTCTAAAGGGAATAAAATGGTCTAAAAGCTCAGAATTTAATTTCTTTAGCATTGAACAGTGTTGAATAAAATGCATTATGAATGGGTTAAATAAAGTAGACTTCTTATGTCCACTTGTTTATGTCCACTGTATCCAATGGGAACATTGGCTCTTAGGAGTAAAATTGTGTGGGTGGAGATTTTCCGAAATCGTTGATAACGTATATACCGACTACTTTTAAATTCCTTAAATATATGATTTAATGCCTGTTCCAGATGATACTGATGAAGATGAGAAAAAAATATGGTAGGATTTATCCACAACTGTTCAAGAGTTACAGAGCATAAACGCTGAAACAATATTTATTTGCAAATGTAAAGCAAAAAGCAAAATTGTAAATTTGCAAACAATAGTTAGAATTAGGGGAATATTGTAGAAATTGTATCCAAAACAAGTAAAGTTTACACTTTTTTTTAATAGCTTATCTCATAAGTGTCAATCTTTGAATAATATGTCAATTTGTTTTCACCCGATTTTACATTTTCTCGTTTTGTGCATTTTTTTTAAAAGTTAGTCTGAAGAAAAGCCTAAAATCAGGGTTCCACTGTATATATATATATATACGTGCAACCTCGAAAATCCGGACTGCTGGGGGGTTCGGAAGGTCCGGATTTCCGAATTTTAGATACCTTACTTGAATTGATAGAATTATCGAAGTATCGAATTCGCCAGGACGATTATTTCGCGATTAATCACGCGTGTGTAGACCTCCGACGTCAATTTTAACATAAATATACTCTTTAAATAATAAATAAAAGACATTAAAAATCAAACTTTCGTCATTTTCCCCCGCAATCGATCGTTTAGATAACATAATATTAGCAATTAAAACTAAAAATATAGACTTAAAACGCGAGCTGAATTTCAACTTATAACCGAAACAGATGCTTCTAGACTAGACTGTACCAGCTGATACTAACCCTGTTTTTGTTGGGGGATGAAAGAACTTGTCCTCGCCTCCTAAGCTTCAAGGTTAAAAAATAACCAGTTTTCTTTCATCACAAGGGGGGAAAACAAGGAGATGGAAGAATTCCTCCTACTGAGGGGATTCCCCTTCAGGAGGAGAAGGGATTCCCCTTTATATTCCTTGTTATCTATACAGAGCTGATAAGAATTATTGGAATTTCCTTATCAGCTATGAGCTTTCATTCATTCACCACCTCTACCTCTTCATCTACTGCTTCATTGTTGCAAAAGAGTTGTGGGATTCCCCTTCAGGAGGAGGGGATTTCCCTTTATATTCTTTGTTATCCATACAGAGCTGATAAGAATGACTGGAATTTCCTTATCAGCTATGAGCTTTCATTCACACCCCACCTCTAAATCTTCATCTACTGCTTCATTGTTGGAGAAGAGTTGTGGTTTTTCATTAAAATGGTTTTTCATTTCTGGATGCATGAGTCCGGATTTTAGAGATTTCCGGATTTCAGAAGTCCGGATTTTCGAGGTCGTACTGTATATATAAAATGCATTTCGCCCATTTGTTTTTACATTTCAAGTATGATCTTACTAGTAAATTACATGTGATAACACGTGAACGACTAGTAAATTACACGTGATCAAAACAAAAACACTTAAACAAACATAGGTTAAAAAAATATTTTGAAAATAACTGTGACTTACTTATTATGAGTCAACCGGGTAAGAAACTTGAGGTATGCAGGCTTTAAATTATGAGGCTCCAAAACTGCCTGTAATAAATAAAATAAAATATTTTGTGTTTTGTAAAAATTTAGTATGTATGAGAAAGTAATACAACAACAAAAATATGAGAAATAGAAGCAACAAACATATCTAAAAAAAATACTAATAAACCAATTCTAATAAAATTTCTAGGATAATAAACACATAAGATATTGCATTTAGTAAAATAAATAATACGATATTTTTGCATAAATGACATTTTTTAAAATTAAAATAAAATTTCAATGATTAATTAAATTTTATAAAAAAATAAAACATCTAAGTACTTATAATGCAAAACGCACGTTCAATATCAAAAACCTTTTAAGGTTAACGCAAACTTCAGGATCTTTAAGTTAAAAAAAAAATTTATGAAATCTAGCATTTGCAAGATTTTACTGTCACAGGTAAAGAAACTGAAGATTTACTGTTCTATATCAATAAGCGAAAGTATTTCTGAAAAATATTTCGTACATTTTATTATAGTTTTATGCTAGTTAGTCATTACACAAACCAGATTAAGTAACAAAAATGACTTTGTTGAATAAAATAATAAATAAATAAAACAAAAAGAATGCAAGAAATTCAGTTAAAGAAGATGTTTACTTATTTGTACTGTATTACTTATAAAGTCATAGTTTCAGTATACTTACAGCATAAAAAAGGAATGCAGTAGAAGTAGCATACAGCATTAGCATTGAGCCTTTGATGTTTGGAAGCACACCCTCATCTATACCCAACATATATCCGACCTTTATCAATAACAAAAAACATATTTTATTCAATTATATTAAATCTCTTAGTTTTAGTATTGTTAATAAATAATAAAAAGTATGATGATATAAAGATGAGTATGATATAATATAAAGTAAAAAGAGCAATTCATAAAAAAAAATGGATTTTTAACTAACTCTGTAAATTATTGAAGAAATAAAATTTAAAACAACTATCATAATCATTAGAAGTAATATGAAGTTAAATATTATACAAAAAAATAGTCTAAAATATATACTAAAATATATACTGAATTATTACTGAAATACTTACTAAATTATACATATTTTTCATCATGATTTTTTTCTGAAAACTAAATTCGGAAATATTATGTTTTACATAAACATCAAAGTTACGTAAAATACCAACATCTCAACATATAAATTTGATGATAGTAAATTAACAAATATAAATAAAGTTCAAATCTTTATATTATGAGTCATAATTTAACCTAACACTGAGTGTTGAAATTAATTTTCTTAAAAAACAATTGGTTTCCTAAAATTAAATCTATGTAAAACTCTGTCGGTAGCATAATCTGGATTTGAAGAGAAATGATTCATAAACTTCCTGAAAACTACTTAATTGGAGTTGCCAGCAGAAAAAAAAAAGAATCTGACAGTCTATAAAACTTTAATTTCTTTTGAAAATGTTTAATTGTTTATAATCCTGTGTAAAATTCTATAACACAGCACATGATTGATTTTACTTACTTCTATAAGTTTCCACATTAAGTACAGAGAAAGTGTAGGACTAGGAAAAAATTTCATAAACATGCCACCAAGGAATGCAGCCGGAAGGGCAAAAGCAGGATGATCTCTGTTAAACGACCAACGTAGAAGGCAATTAATAACCTAAAAATAAATCCAATCACAAAATCAATACATTTTACTAGGTCAATAATGATAACTAAGAGGAAAATAAACACACTGAAACTTTCAGTGGGTCACACTGCCAGGGTTCATAGGGGACACACTGCCAGACAGTGTGTCCCCTGATGAAGTACTGTTCTGCAAACACATTTATATATTATATTTTATTTTTATTTATTAAGAATTTATGTCTTACTTCTAGTTTAACCTAAAAATAAGACATTCATTAAAAACTAAAAAATAAAGGCTAACAGGCATTTTTTACCAGAATATTCTCAAACTAGAATATAGATAAAAATTACATTTAGAAACTTTTAACTTACCCAGTAAAGTTTACATTAGTAAACTTTACTGGGATGCCAGAGATCACATGAACTCTCTGTAAAGACTACTCCTCATTCTTCACCGTATATTGTATATTTTTTTCTTACTTTAATTTTATCTTTGTCTTCTTTTTGTGTTAATATGCATTTGTCATCTGTTTTCTTTGTTTGTTAATGCAATTGTGTTCCTTTTTACTCCTTGTTTATGTCCACTTAAAGCTGAACATTGTATATGGATTAATATTTCCAATAAAGCCATATGTAACAACAACAACATTAATAATTAAAGAATGATTACATTGATAGTATGTGCATGACAAGCAAAGTGTGAAATTTGGTATTCTATAGAATACTTAGGCCTTTTATGGAATACTGAAACCTGGCTAGCAGAGTGTGAATTGATTAAACATTTAAATTTTTGCTTAAGCATTCTATAAAGTACCTAAGGACAAATCATCACAGAATGATATTTTTTATAGTTTTAATCATGTATTAGCCAATGATAATTTCTTGGATCTACAAAAAGGTTCATATTTTATTTTTTCTTCTTCAATAAAAAGTTTGTTTCATAAAACTTTAATTTGTAGTTAGAATATAAGGTTTTTAATGGCAAGTTTTTATTACTTTTTTCAAAATAACATATGCTTGTTTGAGGTTTGAAACATTGTTAAATAATAACCTTTTCATGATCCTTTTTTTCATACTGTCATTTTATAGCATGCTTAAGTATTACATACAATGTCTAGGTAAAATAATAATTTTTTCTCCTTTTTACCTAAAAATGCCAGGCATCTAACAAAATGTCTAGATATTCTAACTATACATTGTTGATAACCTAAGAAAAGCAAAAGGTTATCTATTAGTGAGTTTTGACTAAGTAGATCAAGAGACAATTTCAGATGAGGCACAAGAGTTCTTTTATTGCATATATTTTTATTTGAGCTTTTAAGAGGCACATTAGTAAATGCCATTCTGAATAGAAGAGACAAATTCCTCAGACAAATAAAACAAAAAACTTTCCTGGCAATAATAGTTCCTAATATTATATAATAGGTCAATAGGCAAATAATAGGTCATAAAAAGAGGTGGTTGCTCCAAAAATTGTCATTTATTATTAACAATTTAATCAAAAAATATCTGCAAAGTAACAGCATATTTTATTGATAAAAAACGTCAAAATCAATGGTCTGTTTTGTTGTTTACTGAATATTGCATAAGTATAAGTAGTATAAGTAATACAAATTTTCCATCCACATAAATGCTGACATTATAATTTATCATTCGTATTATTCTCTCCTAGCATCTGTAGAGGCCAAGAGCAACCAAACTTTGTTTACTTTACAGCAGGCAAGACAACTTTTTAACCTTGACTGTTAGAGGGTTGCCTGATCTGAAGTTAATTTGAGAGGGCAAAAAATTTGGCACCAATAAAAATTGGTCGTTTAAGGTAAGAGTCACTTTAAAAAAGTTGTCTCTCCTAGAAATGGTACTTAGATAAATTCTTCTTGAATACCAGAAGATTTTTTTTTTATTCGTAAGATGCTTATATTCTAAAATCAGATGATTTTAAAGAACATGAGAAAATTTGCTGAGCTATTGAAACATTTTTCAGAAGGTGTCAATTTTGGGATAAACTCTTAATGATTGTTCATAACAGACTGAAAATAAAAAAAATGAAAAGAAGACTTACACGGAAAGTTCCTCCAAAACCGCCAAGGAATAATCCTAAGTTAAGTGTTTTCGTTTCAGTCAGCAATTTAAACCACAACTGAGGTTTAGACAACAATTTTTTACCAGCTGCTGCAGTTCTGATCCCCAAAAATGCTAAATAGCCAATTAAGAATGGTCGCAAAGTGCCCTGAAATAGAAACGAATAACTGGATAAAACTTACTGAATAAAACCTAATTGATAAAATGTTAATTTGGTATTATAACTTTTTATTTAAACGTATTATTAGTCAGAGAACTAAGAAAATCTAACACATGATAAAAAATATTTACACACATAAATACATTATGATAAAGATACAAATATTTAAATTTTTAGAAAAATAATTACAAAAAAGAATAAAGTTAATTTTGATTTAAAAAAAACACAGACTTTCAGAAATTAACTGAGAAACAATTTTTTAATTATCGTTTATCACTTTTAATTTTTATTCCAAGCTGTAGACTGAAATTTCCTGGACGAGCTAATATTTATCAATGAATCCATTTTTCTAGTCATGTAAAAATTTCAATCTAATTTTTTGTAGAATAAACTTATTCTAGTAGTTTCAGTGAAATATCAAAATAAAGTAATCATTTAAATCTTCTAAATTAGTTAAAATACATAAAATAAAAATATTTAAAATTTATTTCAATTTATAAATATTATCTATGTATAAAAAAAAAATTGTGTCCACGAATGCCAGAATAACTATTTACAATGAATACGGAGTTAGTTGAAGTTCAAAAATTATCTGTCTTTAACAATGAATAAGACAAGGTTCCAAGAATAAAATGGAAATTTAAAATTAATTTAGAAACTTAAATTAATTTAATTTTAAGATGCTTAACAGACATATTATATAAATAATATGTTTTCAGATATGTTAAAAAATTAATAATTTCATAAAAACAAAATATTCAATATATATATATATAATCCTGTGCTTCTCACATGAAAAGTTCCAATATTTTTAAACTTATAAACTTTTTTTTTTATATACAACAGATACAATACTTAAAATTACATATAACTTTAAAATTGCTAATTTTTCAGTGATATGTTAATAACTCCAGTTAGTATTCTGAATTAATATAATTTTAAAACTATCAGAATAGATTGCTTTTAGGACTTGCAGTCTATATGGTCTGTATTGGTATCACATTAGAAAAGCTATTGTAAAGTTATAAGAAAGATACTTTATCCAATCAAAAGTAATAGAAAAATTTAAGACACTTAGATTTTTTTTACAGTTTCAGGATGGCCCCAATGGCTTAAAAGCCTAAATTGGCCGAATTGGTCCAAAAATAAATGGTATTACAAATACAAAGGAAGGCTATATAAATCTAAACATAAGATGATAAGATGAAGATGAAGATAAAAGCAGCTTGAAGATGAAGATAAAAGCAGAAAATATTAAAAAATGAAAATAAATATCAATCTTGCAATAATAAAGAAATAATAAATTGGCAGTCAGCAAAATCAACACAAATACAGGAAAAATAAAAAGATATACAATCACTTTTTTTCCCAACTTATTAACAAAAGCTTTAGCTTTATTATAGCGAAGTTTCAGTTTTATTATAGCTTTAGCTAGGCTAAAGCTTTGACTTAGCTTTAAAAAGTACATTTTGCATAAAAACTGGAATACAATAACAACCAAAAGTAAATGAGGAAGTGCAGATTGAAATACTTAAGTTTTTAAATTAAATTATAGCTGAAACCAATGATATGCCAGAAATCAGGCTTAATGCAAGTAGTCACAGCATTTTGCACAGAAGAAATTAACAAGAGTAAAGTAATAACACAATAAGATGTAACTTAACTTTACATGCGTAAAACTGTGGCCATGTCAATGGCCGAGACACATGGAGAGAATGAATAATAACCAATGCACAAGAAAAAATTTTAAAGTTTGATGGCAAGGTCAACAAAAACTGAGAACTCCTTTTTCAAAATAGATGAATGGCCAAAGTTCAGAAACCCCAAGAGCTTAAAAGTAACAAATTAAAAAACTAAACCATGAGACAGATTATTTTGGAGTTGAATTGTTAGGGAAGCCATTGTCCAATATGGACTCTATCAAAAAGAAATAAAATGTAACCACAAAAATTTTTATAGCCTATAAAAAGTAACAGCATCTTTCACAAAATTGTGGGAAGAACATAATTTTTTTTTTTTTAAATAGAGTGCTAAATTATAAGTAGTTCATTTCTTAAGAAACATCTTACATTAAGAAAAAGGATATAATCATCAATAATGAAATAAAATAAAATATTTAGAACTTTATTTTTCAAATAAACTAAAGTGTAAAAAGTATTTTGATCAGAGTAAATGTTAAAATAGTGAGGTGTATCACTTTTGAGCGAAGTGAGAGGAATTTTCAATGGGGCTAGAAGTATACAGAGTGCAGCAAAATACTGCATGAGAAAAGAGTCGCGATAAATTTTGTTTTACCTACATTAGTAATTTAAGATTTAAAAAATAGAAAAAACAAATTGAGTTCAGGTAAACCCAGAGTAAACCATGAAATTGCAAATGTAGTAATTTGTTTTTAAAATATCAAAAGGCAAACAAATTATGGAGGGATTACTCAAGATTATGCTATAGGGAAATAATCTTGCCATAATTTATTCTCCTTTTGATTTTTAGAAAACAAATTTCATGGTTCAACTTCAAGGTTTACTCTGAGCTTACCTGAAATCAATTTTTCTATGATTTAAACTTTAAATTAGTTATAGAGATGAAATAGAATTTATCATAAAAAGTTCCTCCTGCGGTATAGAGTCCTCTTAATAGAACATAGCAATAAAAGTGACAAGATAATCGTGAGAGAAAACAATTACCTTCAAAACATACTGCAAACAACCAGATTTATGAGGGCACGATGCATGTTTACTATTACCAAAAACTTTCTGGAAGAATGATCTGTGCGCATCATCAACAATTTCTTCAATATTGCTTAATCGGGAAATACCTTCGGGTATTTTATTTGGAATAATACTGGTTTGTTTGGAAGCACTAACATTGCGAGGTTTAGCTTCATCCTTGCCAAACACAAACCTTTAAAGAACAAGAGTCATTTAAAGTTTAATAAGTTAAGCAAATATAAAAATTTTTATGCACAACAGATTATTAACATACATCAAGTAAAATAATTAACATTGGTACATAAAATTAAATTTCCTATAGGTGTAGACAAGTATGCTAGAGAAATTTTTATTATGCTAATTACTACATACCTTTTAACATTTAACCGAAATTCCTTAATATAAAATTTTCTTTGAAGCGAAAATACTTAATTTCAGTTTTTAGCTAGAAAATAAATAAAATTTGAGATAATAAATAAAGATGAGATGCTTTATTATATTTAGAGTCAATAAAATTTCTAAAATGAAAAAACTAGTTGAAATATACTTTTGATTTAATAAAAGAACATGATAATAACAAAGGCATACTTATTTAATATTTTTAACAATATGAAAAGTGAAATTTTTTTCCAGCAATGATTTTTAAGAAAACAGAATCTAATTAAATCCAAGGGTCGTCTATACTTTTTAAAAATAGATATAAGTGACATCCATAAATATTAAACTTTATTTTAATACTTTTCTAACAACTTTTTTATAAATAAACCTTTAGTTTAAACTAAATAACATCAAATATGTTAAACTTTTGGTATTTTTATAGAAATACTCAGTTTTCTGAGAATACAGATGCAATAAAACAAGAATTTTATATTAGAAATGACTTAATGAGTTATAAATTATTTTTTAATAAATCAAAGTTCATTTATTTTTATGCTTACTTGAAAGCAGCACTCACAAAATCTTTAGAAAATCCATATCGTCTAAAAAGAAATAATAAATATAAGATCACTTAGGACAAATAAGTTTAATTTGACAAACCAAACAAACATTTAAAAAAAGTTAGAAATTTTAGTAATATCAATATTATTATAAACAATTAATAATATTTATATAAACAATATTTATATAAACAATATTTATATAATTATAATAAACATAGCAAACAATTAACAATATTTTTTTATTAAATTATTATAAAATAGATACTTTTCAAATGCTTCTAAAAACTTGAAAATAAGAATAATAACAATAAAAAGAGAAAAAAAAATTATATTCAGAGTGAGTAGTAAGGGGTATAAAAATGCCTGACACAATTTTACAGGAAAATGATATTATATCAATGTACTACAGTGAAACCTGCCAAGTTGACCACCCTTGTAAGTTGGGCACCTGCATAAGTTGACCTCAATTATCAATAATGGAATTTTCCCTATATAATACAAAGAAGCAAAACCTTTGTAGCTTGACCACCTGTCTATCTTGTATGTTGACCACTGAAATAAGTCAATTTTGTCCAGGAGTATTATGAAATTCTATTCTAAAACCCTCATAAGTTGACCAGAAAAAAAAAATTCAGAAAATTTTCTGTCATTTTTGCAATGTATGTTAAAATTTCACTTGTTTGGTGAAATAGTGTAAAAAGCTAATCTAAACCCTTTTGTGAGTTGACCATCAGGGGAAACTGTAAGGGGTCAGCTTTTGACCATTTCTTTCATCTGTTCATTGAAAACAGGTGTGTTAGTTGAAAAGTTGCTCTTCCAGTTGAAATTGTGAGCATTTGAATAAATGAATGCTCTGAAATATGCTTTGATCCTTTATTTATGGTCTTTGATCTTTAAGTGAAGTAAATAAATTTTATAATGTTCAAATAATTTTATTTTGTTAAAGTTTTCAAATTACATGTTTTCGTGTTCTTTTAAGAAATTATATTTATTAAGCACTTCACATGCATAACTAACGAAATAATTTTTTTTTAAAAAATTAGTTTAATATTAGAATTTTATGTATCAAATTGAGGTTCATTCAGGTTTAAACACATTTCTTAAGATATTCATTAGCATATTTTCTGAAAAAAATTTTAAAGTCAAGTAAAAATAATAAATAAATAAATATATAGCAACATGATATAGGAAACAAAAAAGTAAACAGTGACCCACCCCCTCCATAAGTCGACCACTAAAACAATGCACCACAAGTGGTCAACTTAAACAAGTTTTACTGTACTTTAAAACTTGTTAGGTTTGATTATAAGACATTTGAATTAAGAAATGTTTTTACTCTAAGTAAAGTTAGTCTACATAAATTTTTCCACTCCAAGACTGTCAATATTTCATGCTCAGCCAGGCGTATTAGTTTACAAAATATGTGCCCGAATGAAATTTTACATGTCCAAACATCTTTTTCTTATGCATGTTAATGTAACAAATTAATGTACTAATCTAACAAAAAAAATTATACAGCTTTATTTTTTATTTTACATATAAATCAGAAAGGTATTATTAACAAATAAGTATTGAGTTAGAATAAATAGTGATGGAGCAGAGCATCACTATTAACTGAGAAGTAATTATTATAAGAAATATTAAGAATTGACAGCAAGTGCATGCTCTTCTAAATGAGCATTTCTTCTTGAAACAATCCAGGTTTAATTGCCGCAAAACAATTTTTCTTAAAATCGATTCAAATAAATAAAAATAAACATAACTAGAGAAACAAAAAAGCACAATCTGACTTTGTTTAATAAATTCGTGTTTATATAATTAAACACATTAACATTTAGGCCTCATCAAATTAAAATTAGGTCTTATCTTTACCTTTTTATTCTCTCTAATTTTAGTACAATAAATATGCAGTGGAAATTTTACAGTATTTTTGATAAAATATTTACATGTCCAGCCAGACATGTAAATACACAAAAAAAAAAAAATCAATTCATTCCTGATTGGAATTTTTAAAAGCCCTGTCTTCTTACAAGAGATAGGGCAGATTTTGTACTTTTAACAACAATAACAAAGAGTTTCCGTTTGCATTTTTTGTCAAAAATACAAAATAAAAATTTTTCTTTATAAAAACTTTATTAATAACTTTTTAAAGTTTTTTTTCTCCTTCAGAACAAAAATAAAAGCACAATAATCAGTAAAGTTATAATTGTTTTAAATATTTACTTCAAGATATTACTTTTAAGCCCATTTACAATACCTACATATCCTTTCACGTTTTTTTTCCTGCATTAAAAACTGTCTTTCCCTTAGTTATTCAATCAAAAAGTTGGATATTGAGGAGGAATTTTGATATAAATTTGAATTGCAAAGCACTCAGTTAGTTATGCACAAAAAATAAGAAGAAAAGTATATTTACCGAACAATAAATAGAAATACTGCCATTGTAGAACTGAAAAGGAAAATCTGGAAAAGAAAGTAAATAATTATTTTGCCAAAAAAAAAGCATTAGAGTATAATTACAAAATAAAGTTAATACAATGCTTGCTTTTGATTAAATACTACAATAAACTATCAGTAACATTTTACATAAAACAATACTAAATAAGATTAAAAAGTATTTCTTTGCAACTATCTTATTTAAGTTTGAATAATGCTAACAACTTTAATTAATAATAAATTCAGTGAAAAACAAAAGTGGAAATTTTTTAATCAAAGATTCCATTCTTCTCAGTTAATGAATCATTAGTAGATACACGCAAAAACATAATAACATAAAGATTATTCCTAACAACTGTTATTAGAATTAGAATATGAAAAAGCCTTTTTTCCTTACTTCCCCATTAGGATAAGATCTTACGATTCCCCGAGCAGTTGCCATTCTAAAAAGAGTTTCAGATGCCTGCAACAAAACAAAAATATTTTGAAATATATATATAACATTGCAATGAATATCATTTGTAACAACAAAGGCAGAATAAAGTCATGTATTAATATCTGAACTTGGGAAAAATTAAGAACATATTAAAAAAAATATCCAACTCCAAAAGTAAGGCAGAGAAATTTTTTATTTAAAAAGTTTAAAAAAAAAGCAAGAACTTTTAATAAATATTTCAATTAAAAAATTACACATGACGATTCAGATACTTTATAATATATTAAATGAAAATTTAATCTACCTGATCATCCTAACAGCTTAGAATAAATCATAATGTATCATTTTATAAATTTAAAATTTTGAATGAACAATACAGAAAACAAAATGAAACAGACAAAATATAGAAACAATGAAAATTATCTTGATAAATGTCAAGATTTAAAGGTTATCTTATAACAATTACAGTACTTCTCAAGTAATTTTACAATAAAAACTAAAGAAGCTTACAATGGATAAATACTTACCTTGGATAATTAAAAAATTTTCTCTTTAATATTCAAATTACATTACAAACATGCAGGATTTTACAATTAAGTATGTACAAAGCAATTATAAAGAAAACAAGCAGTTATTTTTACAAACTAAGTAAAAATGCGAGAATCAAACTGCAATTTCAATTAGTTTTTTTTTTCTTTTTAAGGAAAAAAAACTGTAATTTTGTGATACTAAATGAGTATATGCATCCTACTTTTTTTCCTACAAATATTTGAAATAGCTAACAGAGAACTTATATTTCCCCCCATAAAATAATTATGAATACCTGAAACAATAAAAATTTTGTAGTTATTGTTTTATATGTTCTTGTTTAAAAGTATAAGTTTTGCCATGCAAAAGGAGTTTAATTAATTTCTGATGTGGCTTAACTAACTATGAAATTTAGTTTTATTTTCATTTAAAACATACGATTTTCCATACTAAGATAAAATTAAGTTGTAGCTCAACTCTAAAGTAGGAATGACCAGCTCCCACTAAAGAATGACTTTTATAGAAAATATTCCTGTCAAAAGATATGTGTTTTGCTGTGAAAATGTGTGGAATTTACTTGCCTAAGCGTGTCTTCTAACATTAAAATTCAATCTAAAAGAACTAAAATATGAGAATCTTCCAATATCAGATAAATTTGCAGCTCAACTACAAACCACCATTTTAAAACATGACTCTTGTTGGAAGGATTTATGTCCAAAAATACCCTTAACTATTACATTTTTGAGCTCACCACTAAACTACAATTATTACTAAATTACATGCTCTGTTTTCAGAATCAACAAAAATTCTTTTAAAGTCTGGTTTCTTCGCTTGCTCTTCTGATTTCTTATAAGACATATATTCATGCACTGGGTGTTTAGCGATTCAAATAGAACAAAAAGATTTTGACAGAACTTGTTAATGCCAAGTTACAGATGTGAAAATCTTTATTTCAAAATTTTAATATTGTTATTGGGAAATTTTCACATTTGAGGCATTTTTAAAACTAAAACAGGGTTGCTACTCAAATAGAAGAATAAAATTTCCTACCTTTTCCAGTTCTTCAAGATATATTTTTTTTAAAAATAAATTCCAATCTAACATTGCAGTAGGTACTGTCAGTGACATGAAAAATACATATTTTGAACCACAAAAAAACTAATATTTTCTATTTATACATTATATTATATATTTTAATTTAATTAAAAATAAGCTTCATTTTTTATGCCAAATGGAGAAAACAAAGCTCCAGCAAAGATAAGGTGTTCCATGGAAATGTTGGCACAAGAATTGCATGCTTGGTATTCGCCAAATCAAGCTGAACTAATTGACTTCTCCAGATTTTGGATACTGAGTAAATGTCCTTAATTTTTTGGATAATTTCTAAAATCCCAGACTTTTTCCAGTTTTTCTGATTTTCCAGAGTGTAGCAACCCTTCTAAAATTATTTTAAAAATGACACTAAAATTGATCATTGTTAACATTAACATTGATTCTTATAAATGTTTTGAAAACATTTTAATAGTCAGCATCAAGAGTAAATTAAAATTTAGATCAGTGCGGATCTTAGAAGTCATCATTAAACTAAAAAATATGTTAACATGTAACAAGCCGAATAACTTTTACTGCAAACTTTCATCATGCCATTATGGTTCAAATATGATTCACAGACTTACTTTATACATCACAAACAGTTAATAAAAATTCACTACTGGGGTGAAATTAAACACAAGTAATTTCTGAAGAGCTTGAGACTTTTTCTAAAACTATGAGAAAGCTTATACTATCTCAGAAAAAAAACTATCTTTTTCAAATAATATAGTTCAAAAGTTTTTAAATAAGAAACTCTGGTATAGAATAGAAAATAAAAGTTTACAAATCGTTATAACAAATAGAGTATATGTATCGTGATTATCCCAATAGCTTAGGCAGAAACTTGTGAAATATCAATACAAGATATGAAACTTTGAAATAATTTATGGCAATTTCTTAAAATGAATAGTCTTTTTCTGAATTCTCTATAATATTTTTGCACATGGCAGCTCTAAATTTTCAGAACTAGCAGCAAAAAATTTTTTTTACCCTGCTTCAAATTAACTTGAAAAAACTAAATACAAACATAAAAAAATACTCACCTTTCAAAAATCCGAAAATTTTCAAAAGTAATTTTTCATTACAAAAAAAATTTTTTAAATTATTATTTCCACATGCTGAATCATGGAAGCAATATTTAAAAGTGGTGGTAATATCATCTACTGAGTAATTTTAAAAATAATTATCTTAGGTAATAGAACTGATAGTAACAGATTAGACACTTCTCTTTGACAACACAAAACAATTAATAAGTACTAGAAAATTTTAAAACAAATTCAAAGATGCATATGAAATTCATTACAAAATGCCTTTTTCAAAATATAGTGTTTTGAAGTTATTTTACATTTCAGAATAGGTAAAATTAAAAAAGGAAATTTAACTTTGTCATTTTGGACAGTCTATTTTCTAGGATTGCTTTTTGTTCAAAATATATAGAAAATAAAACGTTTGACAAATTCTTATTATGTTATACGTAACAAATCTTAATCATATGTATTTTTAGAAATCACAACATGCAACTAAATTCCATAATAAAAATATTCTTTGGTTTGACACCAAAAATACTTCGAATTTGAAATCCGCTGTATAGTATTTGGCAACAAAATTAATAATAATCAAAGAACAATATGAATATTCAATAACTTAAGATGTCAGATAGATTATTAACTCACCACATTAGTAACATACAAAGCCAGAGGACCACGTCTAAAAAGAAAAAAAAATTAAGATAGTTTCTTCGATTATAGGAAATCGTCTTTTAAATAGTTACAGCACAAAAACAAGAACAAAAAAAATATAAAAAAATAATTAAATCATCTAATATAGAACAAACATTTTTCTTATTATGATATGAATACAAGAATTCTGGAAGTATATTGATGACCTTCTGTTCTAGAACAGTTATTTAGCGAAGTAGATAGGTACAGGTTAAAATTTTGGTTAATGCAGAAATAATTAACTAAAAAGTAAATCATCCCCAAAAAAGCCCGTATGGGGATAATGGAGGTTAAATTCTCCACAATTTTGTGGCCAATGGCATGATGGTCGCACAGGCTATCTCTGCTTTTCAGACAAGCTGGCACCCATCAATTTAAAGCTGGAGGGGGGTGGGGCTTCCTAGTCTTCAAAGTGAGAGTTCAATGTCTTAATCATAAAGCAATCATAGCTCAAAATATTTTACTTTTAAATCTAAATTATAATTCTTTACAATAATTTATTAAAACAAATCAAATGCTTAAAAAACAAAAAACCTTATGGAAAACTTTAAATTTACAAACAAAACAATTTTAATACAAAAAAAGAAGAAAAAATTTGAAACTCAAAATCTGCACATGGTAAAAAATCAGATTACAAAGATCTGAACACTTAAATAAACAGAATTTTTTTTGCCCATCTCCATTAAATTGTGAAAAATGCTAAATACACATGAAGGTCAACCTAAATACTTTTTTTTTTATTTGTACCATTTTTATTCTTAACTTTTATCTCAGATATTAAAATTATTTTTTTTTATAAAAATAAATTTTTTTAAACTTAACTTTCCTTGTTGATAATGTTATGTAAAAATAATTTTCCTGTTTTGAGATTAAATTGAAAGCATGTAACATGAAAATAAATAATAAAGGAATTAGAAGTTGATTACTCTTAACAATCGACATAAAATCAATTTTTACAAAAAAGAAAGGAAAAAAAAAATTATGGTTCATAAGTCTAATGTATATTTCATACATGCATTTAGACATTTGTGAATAAAACAACTAAAAAAAAAAATTTTTTTTTATCATTATTTAATGTCATTTAATAACAAAGAGAATAATACAAACCTATTTTCTCTTTCAATTAAAATTGCAAGAAAGCTTGCCATAAAGCCTGGAAAATATGAGCAATGAAGATAATAGAATTTTCCCATAGCTCTCCTGAAAATAAAATAATAAATTATAATTTTATAATTAGAAACTTTGAAACAGTCCATGCAAAAATTCTTGTCCATTTTTAAAGTTATTTGCTATTTACAATGTGTTTTTATTTGAGTGTCTGAGTTTAGTGAGTAATTTAAACCAAATGATTAAAATTTATGATGTGAATCATGATTTCCATCGCTTCATTTTTTAAAAAAAATATCAATTATTTTAAATATTAACATAAGAAAATAAACAAATAAAAAAAAGTAGTAAGATATTTCAACTGGCTTTTAAAGAGATCTGTCACATTGAAATTATATTCTTGCATGTTTATTCAGTTAAATTCAGTTTCATTCAAAAGATTTATATTTTTAATCAATTAGTAATGTGTCTCTTCATTTAATTTGAATAGGACTTTTTCTTTTACCTTTTTTTTAAAACTTATTTGATAGAGTGCTTCTAACGATCATTCAGGATTGGTGTACATTAATCTGAGCATATACAGTTAGATTAGCTCACATTTTAAAAGGCCAAAACTTACTCGTCCTCCCTTAAATTTTTGGTAATCAATGACAAGCTGAAGAACGGAATTTTAATGCTCTGTTAATAAGTAATATGAAAATTTAATTAAATAAAAAATGAGGTTATTCATAAAAACTTTGCTTTTCTAAGCTATTGAAATCATATTTCCAAACAATCAAATATTAGCAAAATGAAACTTTTTAAACAAAACACAAAAAATGTAACCATTGTACACAATATTACAAACAAAAAAGTCCTTTATATTTAATATTATTTTACCATTAAATAAAATTTACACATAAATGTTTAAAAAAAATAACAATATTGATTTAATATTCACAAGCATAAAATCATTCATCATTACATTCATTAAAAAAAATAAATAAAAAAAACATAAAAGTGTATGCTAATTTTTCATACAGAAAAATAGATATTTTTTCAATTATAGATACAATTAAACAAGGCTTACTTACCTTAGTAAGCAGAATATAAATATAAAAGCAAATCCATTAAATCCCAGGAAACAGGATGATGTATAAATACTTTGGATAGTATTCCAAAATGCGCGAGCAGAAAATTTTCTTTGGAGTATTTGTGTCACCTACATAAAAAGGAAATTTTGTTTTAAAAATATGAATTCAACAGGTAAAATTTATTTAGGTAAAAAGTAGAGTGTGAGGATAAGTTTAAAAGTTATATTTCACTTATTTTCTCAGATTTCCTTTAAAAAAATTTCCATAACTAAATTTTAATAGATTTAGGAGAACTCAGCTTTTAATTTACTTGTAGTGGTAATTAGGCTACATCTCCCACCAGAATTTTATATAGGTATGATAGAATTCGATGGAGTGTTATCACTGGTTGAGAGACTGCTTTGAGAGAGGCCGAAAGAGTTGTATTAAGATCACCGGACTTGAGTGCTCTATTAAGATCACAGTTCCTGGCATGGTCCTTTCTGTTTTGCTATTAGCAGTTGAGTATGAACAGGGCTCCATTGTATGTGATCTAGGATAAATAGCAACAGCCTGAGGAAAATAATGTTGCAGTCACAAATAGCAAGTCAACTATTCACTATGTTCCATCGAACAAAACCCCGTGGCAGAATCTCGGTGACAAGGCGCCATTGTCGCAGAACTTTACAGAGTTCTTGCAGAAAGAATTTTTTGGGGGGGAAGTAAAAAATTTTGGTTTGCTTTTCTGCAGAAATGTACATGTAAAATTTGAATTGACATTGGTTTTCACATGGCTTTGAGACATCTTGATATATTTCAGGCGATATGGGAAATTCAAATTGTGCATTTGATCATTTACTTTTAAAGGCAATGATACTATTGACTTTTTGGCTGTAGTTAGCTTTTGATTTCCACATAGTTTTTAAAACCCAATATTTCTTATTACAACAATCAAATCTTGAAACCAAACATGCATTTAAATAACCCCTTTTTGAAGAGTCTGATTCACATGATTTCGCTGCCGATCTGTTTTTCAGTAATTACTGCTACAGATTCCATCATATTTAACCATTTTTTTAAAATGTGATGATGATTTGCAGTTAAAGTTGTAGTTAATTTACGTCGCACTAGAGCTGCACGATGGGCTATTGGCGACGGTCTGGGAAACACCTCTGAGAATGATCCGAAGAGATGCCATCACAATTTTGATCCTCTGCAGAGGGGATGGCACCCCCGCTTTGGTAGCTCGACGACCTGCATGAGCACTTTATGGTAGAACAGTTTAACGAGGACCAATACAGCACACTCTCGGTCCCTACGCAGATTGATCCAAGTGGTCACCTACCCGCACACTGACCCTAGCCAGTGATGATTGACTTCGGTGATCTGCTGGGAACCATGTCTTAATGATCAGTCCACTACGGGACGATGATGATTTGCAAAATGTGATAAAGGAAGTAATTAGTGTGTTCCCCCCCCATCCAACAAAATGTGAGAATATCCATATAATATTAGAATAAATCAACATAATATTAGAATAAGAAAAATATTATGTATTCAATTCTAAAAATTATATTGTTTTTTTTACCATAAATTAATAACATACATGTCAGTTATTATTGAAAGTATCTTTCAGAAAGATAATAGTGCTAGAGTGTTTCGTCAAAGAAAGCCCAAAAAATTCTTAAACAGGGCATCAAACTAGGTGTGTTCATATAGAGGTGGGCATGTATGTTGAGGTAGGTGTGTTCAGATCACGATCGTGGGTCGTCCATTGGGAGGCTAGGCTACCGACAATTTCAACTGTCATCTATCAAAAATTTCTATTGTCATCTATTTGTGCTGCCATCTGCTAATCACTTCAACAACAACAAAAATATTTTAAAAAAAAGAAGAAAGAAAAAAACATTGAGGATATTAAGTTGAAACCCTTGTTCCATCCACTTTCCTGATCCTTGATCATTACATCATACCTCTGCATTCTCAGTTATTTACCCTAATATGTGTAAAGAAAAAAAATCTAGAAAAAACTGGTGCAGATGCATTACAAACTAATACCTTTACTAATATTGAAATTTAAGGTTAATTCTTTGCACTACCTACATGAAATTTTAAAAATCTCTCTGATCTTCCCTCTCAAATAGTCTTTAAAATCAAATTCATTTTAAGAAATAAACTAAATGACTTTCTTTTCATTAATCAATCTCAATCCCAAAAATATTTTAACATAACATAACTAGAAAAAATGGCCCTATGAAGGGTTAAAAGGGATAGGGTTTAGTAACAACAATTTTAGGATGGGGAGTGGAGGAAAAAAAAAAACTATTTACATATTTCCTTTCAATTTTTTTGATACACACAGACAATGCAAATTATAATAAATAAATGCTAAATGTATTGAAATATTTTAAGCACTTAGAGAAACTTTATTTAATTTTTATATATTATTTTATTTTCAATACAAATTCAGAGGAAGGATTAATGATTTAAAAACAAAAGATCAAATTAAGATTAAGTCAGAAATAGTTATCGAAAAATTAAGAAATGTGAATGAGTAATTAAAACTGAAATTTCAAATTTCTATAATATATATTCCTTTTTTCTTTTTTTTCAAAGCAACAAAATTCTTATTTACACTCACAATTTTTTAAACAGAAACTGACAAATATAAAAAAAAGAAATCAAAATTAGAAAATTCAAATATGTAAAATTCAAATGTTAAAATAATATGTTAAAGAAATTGCGCACTCATTTTAAACTATTCAATTCTTAATAAGAGTAATAGAAAAACTCTTAATACGAGTATACTATTCAATTTGTAATATGAATAAAAATACAATCCAAATTTGAAAAAAAAAAATTTTTTTTTAGCCATTTAGTTTTACTTCAGAAAGTTAATATTTCATTTTCTAAATCAAACATATATAGTAACTCTTCTAATCAAACTATGGAATACAAAACAGAATCTATACATGAAAAATCTGAACATTTGTAAGAGGATTATTTTAAATTTATATCAATAATATTAATTACAGTTGTAAACTTGCTAAAAAATGATAACCTTTTGGTATTCTTATGTTTACTATCAATGTTCTTATCATCAAATAATAATGTTCCTTAATTATTGTTTAAAATCTGACAAAAAAAAACAAAAAAAACTGAACATGTAATAACATAACTAGGACTGGGCTATAAATCGATATATTGCGACATATCGATTTAACGCCTATATCGGCAAACCGATACAGCGACTTTCAATCCAAGCGATGCATCAGAAATCTGATTTAAGCCGTCGAGTGAAGAAGACGATATAACGATATAGCGATACACGCAAGGACTTTCTCTTACGTTCCGATGCCAACTCGCGCTGTGGAAGACGATATTGTTTCGTTATGTTGAGACGGCCTTGACTGATGAGCGGTAGAATCAGAATCACTTTTGAGACCTTATATCGTTATATCACATGTTCGTTTTCGCACCTTCGCGATTTGAAATCGTTTCTTGTAGATTATTTTCAATGGGATTAACTTCGTGATCGCCGTCGTAACCTTGTTCTGAACGCAATCTATTATTGAAAAGAATTTATAAAGAAAAGTTTCTTCATTAATTAGGTAAGTTTTTTATTTATTTTCTGACAAAACTTTTTTTATATTTTTAAATGTGAAAATTATCGGAAATCTAATTTAAGGCACCCATAAGGAATTAAATTACAAAGTAAATAAATTTGTTAGGTTATTTTTTTACTTTCTTTTAATTTATTAAAAACCTTTCGGATAAAACTTCTAATAATTTAATGGGCTTCTATTACTGATTTTAAATTTATAAATCTTGAGTTGTTTTTATTTTTAGAAATAAAGTTAAAACAAAACTTATTTTTTGGACATAAGTCAATAAACTTTATTTGTTCAAAAGAATTTGAAAAGTTTGCGAATTTTATTCATTTTTTTTTTTTTTTTTTTTTATCAATTACTACTTCGTTTTATTAGAGAGTAAAATCATTATTTTTTTTTAATTTTCGTTTTATATTATTAGTTAATTAGCTAAATATATTACCGAATATCACAATTCTTTTGTTTTTATTTTTAAGAATTTAATTAAGAAACTTTGCCTTACTTTGTTTTTCGTTCATAATTCGGTCATTATTTAATTTAATTTAATTATTTATATGAAATAATAATAAAAATAGTGTTTAAGAAGCATTTTTTTTCTAAAATTTATTTAGCTCTTTGTTTTAAGCATACAAATAATTTTTTAACGAACTTATTTTTTAAATTTTGTTCCTATGCTGTTAGGTAAATATATTGATAAATTTCACTTTTATTTATTTTTTTATTTTTAAACTAAGAAATCTTTTGTTATTTGCGTGATCATTTTTAGAAAATATAACAAAACTTGTGTTTACTTCTTCATTAAGAATTTGAACATTACGATCGAACTTAATAATTCTGTAATTATTTACGCATAATAGTACAAGCAAATATTGATTTGTTAAAAAAAGTTTTTTTTTTTTAAAAAAAAAAAATATTTTTAACACTTTGTTTTAAGTGTATAATGAATTTCTTAACAAACTTTTTTTTTAATTTTTTAAATTTTCTTTCAATAATTTCAGCTAGATATCTTTATAAAATTCCCTTTTTATTTTTAAACTGAGAAATCTTTCAGAGAACGAAAATTTTAAGAAATTATTACAAATCTTATGTTTACTTTTTAGTTTAAAATTCGAACATTTTTAATTTTAAACTTCGGCTTTTAGTCAATCTAACTTTTATTTTAATTAAAATATATTTTGAAATTTTAAAATCAGCTTTTGTTTAATAACAATATTTTTTTTCATTAAGGGTGTTTTAGGGGTTAACTTAAATTAAGACTGCTTATACCTTATAAACGATAAAGAAGTGCAAATATTTCATTCTGTATCTACACACATTTTTTCAATAAATATTTTAAGTAAGATTTGTACATCTTAGTCAATTTATTTAATATCTTTCTTTAGCAAAACATATATATTTTCAATTTATAAATTGATTTAAATCAATATGCGTATGAAGTCTTGATAGAAATCTGACTTTCTGTGCCTTAAAGGAAATGAAATTCAAAAATACTATATCGCGATACATCGCTATATCGCGATGCAAAACTGACGATATATCACGATATATAATTTCTAATATCGCCCTGTCCTAAACATAACCAATTGAATCAAAGACATAAAAAGCATTTCAAATAGTTAAGTTACATTAGATAGCAATTACAGAGAAAGTAATCATGAAACAATAGTTTTTGCTAAATAGATGAAAAACTATTTTATTTCTTTAAATAAACTATCCATATTCTATAAAAGTAACTTATTACAATTCGTATAAATAATTTATTTATTTTTTTTTCTGCTTGCAATTTCTTAGAAAAATTGAGAGGGACAACAATTACATTAAAAAATTCAGCCTTTTGTCCCGAAAAGAAATGGAGTAGCAATTAAATTTATTGTTTTGTAGATAGAGTTCCTTGTAACGTGAAAGTTATATATTTTATTCCACTAGAGTGATCTAGAATTGTTTCCTTTTTATCCAGTATTTTTCGTACTGGAGCAGTAATTACACAAAAGTTGGGGATGCATACAAACTGATTTGTAGAACAAACTGTGCAAATTATTCTAAGAATAATTTATTACACATATTCAGGTAGAGAGACTTACTATATCAGAATATGTACCTATGCTTTTATCTCTGCAACACATTCACAACATAGAAAATTACTTAATTAGGAAACAGTAATGACATTTTACCTACATTTTATTTTTCTTAAAAATTTAATTTAAATACAAAATGTGTCTGATACATATTTTTTTACACTTTGCTAGTATTTTAAGCAAAGCATGCCATTAATTATTGAAAATAAATATTTTATTGAGATACATATATTGCTTAAGGATGCAAAAATTAAAAAATTGAGAAAAAAATCATTTTCACAGGGGAACGTTAAACATTTACTACACTATAATTAATTTCATTTCTTTGAAAAAAAGAATGGGCATAAAATGTTTTATACATATTTATCATCTAGTTCTTTGTTTGTTTGTTTTTTTCAATTATGTAACATAACAGTTCCAGAAGCTCTTTGTTAATAAAGAAAAAAAAATCAGATAGTACTTTTAGTCAGTAGTTAGTTTAGAGAAGAATTCCTTAATAGCTTATAATTGAAATAATAATTCATTATAACAGTGCGAGTAGAAAAACTCAACATTAAACAGCCTATCACATTAAATTTTGAAATTCTGTAAATATTGAACTTATTTTCAAAAACTCAATACAGGCATACAATACTTATTAATTATTAAGCAGGCCGTAAATTTTACACAATAAATTCCAACTTATCCATTAAATTACTAAAATTAAAGCATATTTTGGTTTTTCAAAAAATAAATAATTTAAAATTCTATAAGTTTTATTAAAAACCATATTCGAAGCCTCAAAATCCCCACAAAAGTTTTTATAGAAAAATGCTGACAGCTACTATTTACACTTTCGTAAGAGAAGAATGATTTGAAACAAACCATAATAAATAGTAGTGATGGTTATCTGGTTTCTTACCAAATATAAAGGGGCATATAATTTCATTCCTTCGAATAAACAACAAAGACCAACGGATAGTGCTGCTGTATAACATTCTGGTGTCCATGTATGTCCAACTTCGTAACAATTATATGGCAGAGATAATTCCCTTAATTTACTTAGAACAGCCATTATTGCGGAAATAAGTTCAAGTCATTCATAGATAACTATCAGATATGACAGACACCTTCGAGATGAAGCAATAACACATTTAAATGATAATTAGGCACAGTTCAATTAAAATAATTATAAATATCCACTACTCGATTTCATTTATTATTGTTTATATTATTTAAACTTGCAGAGAAAAAAAGTAATAATAAAAAGTTTCTTTTTCGTTGCCTTGACGACAGCAGAATAAGAGAGCTCACGATTCATTTTGATGCCAGATTGACTAACTCATCAGTTTTGCCAAAATGAAATAAATTTTTCAAATCAGTCATTTAATGAAGAAACATACTTTAAATTACAAAGCCACTTAATATTTTTCACTCGGAATCATCTTTTAAGTTATTTCTTATTCCTTTGATTAAAAACTGTAAACATTTTGTTCTGTTGCCAAATCAAAAGTAATCTTTTCATTTCCTTTTTTAACTTCGGCTTCATCTTCACAGAACGCGCCCAATCGCAGGTAACTCTTGACGTCACAAAATAATAATATTTTTTTCATCTCTTCTTGTTTCGTTGTTTGTATGGGGTGGTGGAAGTGTAGCAATTTGCTTTATGACATTTCGGGTTACTAATTAGCAATGGATCGGATTTTATTTGTAAGAAAATTTTCTATATTACAAGGAATCGTTAGCATAACTTTTATTTTTTGTAAATGTTGAATGTTTCTTGCTTTTATTATTGTATCATATGTTCACATAATCCGGTTGAAGCTTGTAATCATATATAAACACTTCCTTCATTATCATTTTATTCTTTTCTTTATCTCACATATATAACAAAGGATATAGTAAATCTTGATAATCCACTTAATTTTATTTATTTTGAGCATTTGTCTATGCTTATATTTTTGTTGCAATTTTTGCATTCATTCGATTGAATTGCAATGCATAAATGATCTCCCATCGATTTAATATTTATAAATAACTATACTCCTTAATGTTATCGTGTAATGCTACGTTCATAACTATGATTCATGATAGTTATATTTTTCGTGCAGGTGAGATTAGGAAGTGAAAAAGGAAATAGGATGCGAATAATTGCGTTAGTTGTGTGGGTTTTGAATCAGTTAAACTTGAACAACTAAAGATGAATGTTTCATTTTATACAATTTCATGTTTTAAAGAAATTTTCCACGGCTGTTTGGGAACTAGCCTATTTGGGTAGCAGTTAAACAAGTGCCTTACTCATTTTAGAAATCGGAACTTTTAGTAACCACATTTTTTTTGTCAATGAAGATGGGTGAAGTGTGATGTTTGCTGTTAGAGACATTGCAGGCATGCACTAGCTAATTTGTCACCTGCACCCTAGTACATTATCTGGTCTTTTATTTATTAAGTTACTAACTTAGTAAAATGCCAATAATTGCTCTTTTTTATTAGGCTTCAATCCATATATATAATTGGTGTGAAATGTCTGATAAAGTTTCTCTAGATAGTGTAATAACCTGCTTAATTGAATTGATAGTGTTGGTTATCATTAAAGGGTTTCTGACAGTATAGTTCATGTAAAAAAATCAAATTGTGTTGTTAAAAAAAAAGAGGTGATCTTTTGACTTATACTTTTTAAATTTTTAGGCTTCCTTTATTAAAAAATTTCTGTTAAAGTTCTTAAAACTTTGATGGCAGGAACTTTAAATTATGATTATTTTATTTTTTGTAATTTTTTGCCTTATTTTATTTTTTTTAACAAGTTTTTTTTTAAAGAGAATTCTATTTACAATTTATTAGAATAAATAAAGTAAATGTATCTTTGTTTCCAGGTTAAATTTTTTTTTTTTTTTTTTTCAGTTTAAAAATTTTCAAGTGATTTTAACCTTATAAGAAGGAGAAATATTGAAATTAATACTAGCGAAGGTTATTACTAACATTATATTCTGTTGTTGAAGAGAGGTTTATTGATTTAGTTATAATTATTTTGATTTTTTTTCCATATTTTTATTTTATCTCTTCTTTTTTGTTTATCAAATGAATTGTTTCAATGTATAAACTCTACAAATTCGTTGTAACATTTATATGTTAATAAAGAACTTTTCTTTAAAAAAAAAGTTAGGGGTCATATGCTTCGTAAAGAAAGGCTTAAAATTTAGAAGGAGCGAAAAAAACTTAAGAAGGCTTAAAATTTAGGAAGAATTAAAATTAGATTCAAATTATCAAAAAAGAAAAAACTACAAAAAATCGGTAAATAAGAAAATAAATAACAAAACTGGGAAAGTGAAGATTTAGTTGGCAATTTTTCTCCTAATCTGATTTTATGTAAGTACAACCTCGAATATTTTAAATAAGGTACAACTAGTCAAGTTATCATTTTCATTTTGTGAGATAGCTTTGTTAATTGAGCTTGAAGTCAAAATATAAATATTTTCTTGATTAAAGTCAATCCTTTGCTCTAAATATAAACAAAAGCCAGTTCTGGAAGAGGTTTTTCCCTTTCTCAAAACATACACAAACAACTTTTTACATAATAAAATTAGGAGAACCTCTTTTCTTGCTTTTGAGATAACCTTACTTATGAGGCAAACATAGACAGACATTCAAGCTAAAACAGCTAGGAGGCTCTGCAATCTGCTGGATATGATCAAAATTCTTAAATTAATGATGTTCATTATTTTATTTATTTATTGGCATCAATAAACTATAAAAATTAAGGTAATTTTTTTAATTAGAATAGTATCCATTTGATTTTAATATTGCTAACACATTAAATAAATATTTTCCAGTTAAAGACATGTATGAAGATATTTTAACATTTATTTTGCATTACATTTTACCTAATATTGCTCAGTGAATGTTATTAATCTTCTGTAAGCTAACGAGTATTTCTGTTATGATGGCTCTACCTATATACAGTGAAACCTCTCGGGAGCGACCACCCACAGTAAAATGGTCGTTAATGGAGGTTGGTCATTCTTAGAACTTACCTCCATTGACTTCAAAATCGTTATGAAAGATACACGATTTTTCACAAATTATTTTAGTTCTAGTCAGTGTTAATTTATTGGCAAGGAAATGCCACTTGTATTGGTGTCATGAAAACCAGATTGATGAATAAAATTTAGCATCCATAAAAAAGACCTGTACTGATATAATTATGTGTAAAAAGAAAATTACCAATTATGAATGGGAGAACTATTTTAAATAAATAAACAATTATGTTTTTGTTTAAGTTTGCCTTTAATTTTATACCATAAAAATTAATTAACGTTAAAAAACGAGAAAAGGTTTGTTTGTTTGAAATGCGTATTTTTTTTTTTCTAAAATAACTTCTCTTTCAAATTTAACTTTCCACCCTAAAAAATAAGTCATGTAAAGCATCGTCTTTAGTGCACGCTGACTGCAGCATGAGGTAGTCGATCGCTTTCAGAGATTGTGAAAAAGAACTCTCTAACTAAAAGACTCACACAAATATTTTGAATACATTTCAATCTACAGTACAGAACCCGTTATCCGGAAATCAGAAAACCGGAAAACCAAAAAACCGGAACGAAATTCGATAAATTTTCCCGCTATTTTTTTTTTAAAAAAAAAAAAAGAATTTTCCTCATAAGATTTTAGGATTTTTCTTTCTTTTTTGAAAGATGTTTACCTTACCATCATTTTGGAAATAATCATTAGTGTATTACTCCATCATTTTTTCTTTTTAAGATTATTTCAAAAAAAAAAAAATTTTTTTTAGTTGGGTTTAACAATTAAAAAAAAGGACTTTTTGTAGCGATTCAGAAAACCGGAAAAATTAGTTATCCGGAATAGCGATGGTCCCGATCGTTCCGGATAATCGGTTCCCTACTGTACTTATTTGTTTTGTTAAATTGTTTTATTTTGATATTTTTTCGTGTTTCCTTATTTGACCTTTTCTGCTTTTGGTGCAGATATTTTCTCAGTTGCTGGAAGAGGTTTTAATGATGTCTCCTAAAATTTTTCTGCAACGCAAAGTCTATGGAAAAAATTCTGTGTCTCCCAAAAGTGGTCATAAATAAAGATGGTCTTTTTTGGAGGTTTCACTGTATATAAATAAGGAAGGCAGTTTTCTTCACATCTTTCCATTGATCACTATAAAAACCTATAATTGAACTAATTGAAGCATTAGAATTCCTTTTCTTGCAAAGACAGTTTTGAATTCACATATCTTATTTTTCAAAATTAGTTACTAAATAAATTTTTTTTGAAGTTGATAATAAAAATAATCTCAGTATTGACATTTATTTTTTATAATATTCTCATGTCAAAAACTCGTTTTAACTATTGAAAAACAAAATAACAAAACTCGTTTTAGTTGAAACTATCAATGCATGCATTGATAGCATCAAAATGCATTTTTTATATTAAAAATGCGTAATGAAAAATATTCAAAAAATTTTTTGCAATACTTTATGTCATTTTATTTATTGCTGCATAAGGATATTTTATTTTATTTTATAACTGTCGTTGAACAACCAACCCAATTTTGGGTTCACAGCTACTAATGTTCAACTCCGTAGCCTTGTATTCTGAGCCCAATTTAAAAGACAAGGAAACTCCTAGATCAAGTATGGGGTAAAATTTTTCTTTGTGGGAGACTTTTTGATGGAACTAACGCGCATTTACGTTATATGGAGAGGAAAACCACCAAAACTTCTCACAGTTAGCCTGACAGCAAGAGGACTCCAACCCATGATCCGTCTGCTACTGAGGATATTCTACGTCAGCACTGTGATTGGTGCAGAATTCATATCGACCAGCCATTGCGGGATTCGAGCCCGGTTCACCTCATTGGAAGGCAAAAATTCGATCCTCTGAGCCACCTCGGCTCTGATAAAGATATTGCAGACCTCGTATGGCCAAAGAAATAATTAGGAACTTTTCTTGAAAAAACTGGGTCTATGTCGCAGGCCGAAGACTTCCTGTGTACAAAATAGTAGCTGATGCACGCTAAATCTGTCCTCCAAGTTCCCATAACAAATCAATACCTATGGGGTACTGGATCGGATATTGATTGTGCTCTGGTTAAGATTAAAATTACAATCTGCAGATGGGTTGATTGTGTGAATGTGTCCTCCGTGTAAAACAGGCAGTGACGTATGTGTGTAACAGAAGTCAAGTTCTTGTTCATAAATAGGGTCTCTGGGAAAAAAGAAAAATACCTCTCTCCCTCTGCCTTAGATCTGTTAATATTGACATGCGGCATAAGACAACAATAATGGACTAAAAAGAGTAATGTAAAGGGAAAATTAATCACTAGACAATAAAATATTCCATTTTTAATTCCATATATTTGTTTTGTTCAGAACGGTAAGTTTTAACAAAAAATTTTATTAATTATATTTAAAAAAAATTTCCAGAACAAGTTTTATTTTATTTTTCCAGAAAATTTTATTAATGAAGCATTGACCAACTCATAATAGTTTGGCATCAATATTTTAAAAGATTTAAATGATACTGTTACATAAAAAAATTATTTGTATCCTTTAGTTAATTTTCTCTTGTACCAATATTTAATTAAAATTTATAATTTAGTTCAGAACTTCCTTAACAAATAATTTTAAAGTAGGGAAACAAAGTGAATATGCTACTCAGAATTTACGTTCAAAAGCGATTCCGTGGATAATACCTCAATTCCATATTTAAAAATTCCGGGATATGATTATTAAACTGTTAATTGGAATTGTTAATTTTTAAAATCACAGGAAGGTGGAAAATTAACAATAGTGAAACTATTCAACTCCACTCTAAAAAGTTGCTGCATTTACTGAAAGTAATAAATTAGCTCATACATTCCTAAATTCGTGAAGAAGAAAAAAATCTAAATGCAAAATTGTTGTTTGAGTTTTTTTCCCATTTTTGATACAATAACTGAATTCCCAAAACGTTAGAAACAAGGAATCTCGCAGCTAAGGCCTGAACTATATACAGGATGGTTCTAAAAAGATGGGCAAAATTTTAGGAAGTGATAGTACACACCCAAGCAAGCAATTTTTATCAAAGAATGCATGATCGAAAACCAAGGTTCGAAAAAACTCGGGGATTTTTGAAAAAACCCAACCCGCCTGGGTTTTATTGAAAAATCCCGGGGAAATTTGGGTTTTATTTGAAAAAACCCGGGGAAAATTGGGTTTTTTCATTTAGTGCTCATAAATTTTACTGCGAAAATATTTTTATTTATTAAATAGAGTTGTATAAGTAAACACTAAAATTTCATCTGACTTTTACCTGTAATAAAATTAAACTGGAATAAATATTTAATGGTCTTCCATGTTTTTATAATACGATTAATAGAAAGTGAAATTAAAATTACGTATAATTATAAAGAGTATCAGTTACTTGTCCCTTTTTTCAAATATTTAGATAAATATATGCATTGTTAGATACATTTTAACTTTATAGTTTCAAAGGACAAATTAATCTTAAAATTATAAAAAAGCATATATAAAAAGTTATAGCTTATTTTTTTTAAAATCAGAAAATAAAACTTTAAATTTGTTTATTGTTGTTTAATGTATCACTTAACAGAACTTTTTTTTGTTTGCTTTCAATATTTTTAAACATGATTAAAAGAAACAAAATAAATTGTATTCAAATGAAATCTTAAAAATAATATTTAAAAAATCTTAAAAGTAATGTTTTAATTTTTAACTGTTTTTTAATTGTGATAAACTTTCTCCAAATAGTTAAAAATTGTCAGCAAATGTTAAGAGTTAACTTAAAAAAAAGGTCCATTTTTTCCTTTATTATTATTATCATACAACAGATTCAAAGTGTCTACATTTCTCTCTTCGATGGTGATACACTTTTACGAGTTTTGTAGCTATATCTATTCCTCATCTATTTCGAAGTTTACTCTGCACCAAACTGAAAGTTGAAAAGTGTCTTTCGATAGAGACAGAGGATGCTAGTGCTGAGTGCAAAGAAAAAAGAATTGACAGAAATTTTGTGGAAGCTAGGGATTTTATTTACTTATTTATTTATTTTTTGCCATAATTTACTACTATTTTTTGATGAAAACTGTTGAATAACAGTGTCAAACATCATTGATTTTGGAAAGTATTCAGGATCGGAAATTTTGAATGCCATAACACGTGGCAGAAATTCTGGATGATGCTTAGAAAGACAGTTTTCTGCTAATTGGTCTTGTTCATCATTTAAAAATTGTCCCCTTGTTTTGGGATCCAGGATGCATATGCTAATAAATGATGTGGCTGAGCAGCCTGATTGAATCTTTTTACAAAATGTTTATGGGGTTCTAATTCATCACATGTTAGTAAGTTAATTCATATTTCAACAGCTTCTGAAATTGAAATGTTTTCTGATTGAAGCTTTTTTAAAGCTTAAGAAACAATTGATATCTGTTTTTCCCAATTGATAGTTTATTGGTGAATCCCAACATTATTTAATATTTTTGACATATTATTATTAGATTCATTTTGATGTTCAAGAACAATCTCTTCATATTTATGGTAATTATTGGCAAAAGCTTTTACGTGCTCATAATATGAATTCCACCTAGTATCATTGGGTCAGTCATCAAGCAGTTTTTTTAATTTGCCCATCCATGTGCTTGATGCACATTTCTAAAATATTTGTTAACTTCAACGATATGTCCAATGATAGTATTAGGAGATACTTCTTTTTGAACCAAATTAAAAAAAAACAATTTGTGAAAAAAAACACCAAGTGGGTTTTTTCAAAATGGGCCCACTTGGGGAACCCTGGTTATATGTAGTTTATATTAAGTTTAAATAACGCATTATCACCAATACATATTTGAATCTTCTTTATTAAGTACATTACATTTCATAATTTTTTAAATTAGGAATTATAAAATATAAAAGCAGTAATATAAAAGGAATAAGTTTATTAATCTTTTTGTTTTCACACACATTTATTTACTATATTTATTAAACATATGGATATTACCTATTATAAAACTATAATCTGTAAATATTCATAATCAGTAAAAACTAAAATTTCATTTGACTTGAGTTAAATAAAAAACTTAAATAAATATTTAATGGTCTTACATGTTTTTATAATAAGGTTAATAGAAAGTGAAATTAAAACTACGTATAAATATAAAGAGTATCAGTTACCTACTTGTCCCATTTGTTTTCAAATAATTAAACCTAGGAAAATGATTTCCTTTTAAGATAAATAATTTTAAAAAGTTCTCTTATAAAAAGTTTTACCTCTGTTTTTTTTTTTTTTTTTAAAGCCAGAAAATGAAACTGTTTAAATTTGTTAATGTATCACTTGGTAAAAAAAAAAAAATTGTTTCTTTTCAATTTTTTTAAACATATGAATTAATAATAATAATCTGTTTATTAATATATAAAGCATGCAACTATATTTGAAAAATTGATCTTTTCAGAGTATATTATTTAAATTTTTATTTGATTTAATATTATTAAAATATTACTTTTTGAAAACACCCACTTGAAGTTTTCAATAGTACCTACTATAAAATTATATGAAGATTCGAGTTTCTTTTACTTTACTAATATTAAAAACTTAATCATATAAATCATGCAACTCTATTTGACAAATTTATGCTGCACAATAAATTATATAAAAGTAAATGCAAAACAGTAAGTTTTAGTAAAAAAAAAATTTGTTTTGAAAAAACCCACATATCGTTCCAAGTGGGTTTTTTCAAGGTGGGCCCGCCCAATAAAACCCGGGCGGGTTTTTTCAAAGTGGGCCCACTTGGCGAACCCTGTCGAAAACTAAACGCAAAACCAGTTTTAGTAAAAAAAAAAAAAATTTGTTTTGAAAAAACCCACATATCGTTCCAAGTGGGTTTTTTCAAGGTGGGCCCGCCCAATAAAACCCGGGCGAGTTTTTTCAAAGTGGGCCCACTTGGCGAACCCTGTCGAAAACTAAACGCAAAACCACTTGAGAGCGTCAAAGTTTATGTTCTCATATGAGGAAAAAACACACAACGAACGATGAAGTTAAGTTATAAAAGCAAATTTATGTTCAATAAATGTGATTACAATAAGTGTTCAAAACAGTGGCCGGCAGCGGCTATGCACGCAGTACAACGGCGAAGAAAAGATAGCCGAACATTCTGAAACACACCAGGCATATCACGAACTTTCCGCAGTAACTCGCAACAGGAATGGAGCTTTCACGTTTGCATCAAACAACTTTCCAAATGCGCCAGCACCTTTGCGTTTTGTTTTCAACCATGCATTCTTTGCTAAAAATTGTTTGCTTGGATGTGTACTATCACTTCCTAAAATTTTCCCCAGCTTTTTAAAATCACCCTGAATATGTTGTTAGTAGACTGTCACTAATTGTCACTAACATTTTGACAATTGAATTTTGTAGTTTTTCCTTGCACTATTAATTAAAATAAAAAGATGTTGAATGAAAAATTAGATGTTTTGAGCACCAACGAATTGCAAATTGGAAGTTTCTGGACAAAAAGTTATAAATCAAGACAAATAAGGACAAAATATTTTTTGTCAGGAATTTCAGTATACCCAAAATTTTATTAAACCTGAACAGTACAAACCCTGATATTGTAACAACTTAAGGCTCTGTGTTTAAATAAATGGGGGGGGGGAGTAGTTTGTTCTTCATTCAACCATCTTTTACTGTATCATATGAAACCTATTTGCCATTTTTGTTTCTACTAAACCGTTTGATTACTAAAACATTGTAGCCTAATTCCTTTAGGTCATAAATGTATAGTCTGCTCATCTAAATTTTTGTATGGTATAGTATTTTGTAGGTTGTTTTGTCATTTTGAATAACATGTTTATATTTTTAAATTGTTTTCATTTGTTTTATATTTTATTAAAGGAAAAGATTAGGTGTTGTCGAACATGTTGACGTTGACTAAAGGATACTCAATTATGTGCTAATGTCATATTGAGGATGAATATAGAAGGTAGTAAATTAGTTTGTCTTTTTTAATGTTGTTCAGTTATTACTTGATTTGTCTAAAAGTATTTTCTTGGTAGAAGTCTGACCAAGTTTAAGTTGGCATAATTGAAAATTAAAGTTGTGAATGAAGGAAGGTTTCATTTGTAATAGGGTGTCAATGATTTAGATCAAATTATTTATGTTAGTAATTTTAATTGCTTCATTTTTTAAAATAAAAATAGTTTAATGTTTATAAAGAGAATATGAAAGGAATATATAAAGAGATCATGTGTAATATTAGTTGTAATAAAATAATTTTGAATTTTTTTACACAAGCATTATTATCTATATTAATTACTAAAACAAATGAAGAACATTGAGCTTATTTTAAAGCATTGCAAAGATAATTGATAAAAATATGTAGATGACAAATTATGAATTTTCTTTACCTTTTTGTATTTACTGTCAGAATGCTTTTGTAATTAGGATACTTTTTTTTTCCTCCCTTGAAAATAATTATGTTAAACATTAAAAGTTATCAATGACGTAACTTTAGTAAAATATTCTTGGATCTTATGATTAATATCTTATATAATAATTATATAAATTTAAATTGGCAGTAAAGTAAAATAAAAAGTCTCCTAGAGATCTAATAACTTTAAAACATTTGATATTCACTCAATAGTTCAATTTAAAAAATAAAAAAAATCTGATATATATAAAAGCTAATTTTTTCATACCCTGTTGAGCAAGAACTTTCTACTATTCCTGCGAACTCATAGTGCATAGTATTAAATGTAATATCAGAGGTCAGTACAGGCAAATTTACTACCGTTTAGCAGTACTTTCACAAATTCAACTTTAGGAAAAACTGTAGTTTCACAAAGTACTTTTGTATCCCATAATTAACGATAAATCCATATTTTTACCACATTTTTTTTTGATATTTTAATATAATTTTTAATTTTCACAAATTATACCTAAATTTTCACAAAATAGGTACCTCACAGAAAAACCCAGACAGATCCCTGAATATATTTTTCGTTTATTAGATACAACAGAGATCTAATAATCTGAGTTTCTGTCATCAAAGTTCTGCTTTTTCTAGGGCAAATAAAAAATGTTCATTTTTGGATATGACTAATATGCTTTATTGCAGAGGAAAGAAATTTAGATATTGAAAGCCTATTTTAAAAATACCTGATAATAGATTTTCTATGTAGGTGCAGTAAATTTAATTTTATATATGGATGACATGTATTGCTCTAAAAAATGTCTTTTCATTGACAAAAAAAAAAACTTACTACAATTTATATCTATATCTTAACATTACAATTTATTTATAAAGCATGATTATCCTTCTTTTAAGCTATATTCTAAAACTTACTGTCTCTTTGAACAATAGTTGTATTGAATATATTCATGTAATGATAAAAATTTCTTTTTTTGAGTTGGCATCATTTTAAACTAACTCAGATTACCAAAATTCTACAGTAAATCTGTAATCTTGATCAGTTTAATAAATTAAACCTGGTTAGTTTATTCAGCTTATTCCACAAAATATATACTTTTTTTTATTTGCAACCCATTAAATCTTTTGAATAATTGTAATTTTTTTACATTATGGAAATTTAATTTAATTTTTTTAACCGGTTGCTTTCAGAGAGAGAGAAAAAGATTTTCTCAGCTTGAAGGCTGAGGAATTTTTTTGTGAAATGGATTTTAAATAGTGAAACATTTGTATTAAAAGGTGTTTGTGCAAAACAAATCTTTAGTTCAACAACTATGTTATCAAATTTTCCTTTATGAAGCGAAATAAAACTAGGCAAGCAGAACACATTCAGATTTATTATTTTTTTTTAACTAGTAGTAGTTAAAAAAAAATGATGATAATTTATTTAATGAACGACCTGAGAATAGGCATTATATTTTGGTTAAAAAGGTTTTGAATTACTTAAAACGGTTCTAAAGGTAAAGTTTTGTGATAAAGAATTCGAATTTTTAAACTGTAGTGTAGTTGCAAACTGAAGAAATGATAAAAGAGGTGATTATCACCTTTTCAGAATGTGAGATTATGTTCAGTAATTCTCTGATATTATAGAAAAGCAAGAAACAAAGAATTGTTGGGCTCTTAACATGTGATGTAGAACTACTAATTTTGCTGAAACTGTGAGAGAATTAAGATTGATTATAAATATGTTAATTGAAAATTTTTTGTTAGTGCTCTTAACTGTTTAAATTGTGGTAAATCATCAAACTAAACTAAACATTCAAATTGGAAATTTTCTTTTGTTAGAGATATGATTTAATGATAAAATTTTAAAGACAATGTATTATTATAATGATGACAATATTTCTGATTTCTTAAAAGTTTTTTCACCATTTTCTTTGATAATAAATTTGTTTATTGAGCTTATTTTAGTGGATATAATATTGTTTTTCAAAAAGTAAAACCATTTTTGCAGGTTTTTAATTGGTGCTACAAAGGTTTTTCTTTTTAATTGTACCAGACGGCACTTGAAGTGTTCTTCAATTGCTTGTCTCGTTGTTAATAAATATTACTTTGTCCTTAGTTCTCTTGGAAACAACATAACTGCAAAATTCATGCCCCGACTACTCTATTGTTCTACATTGTTACTCGCCATTTTGCTTTCGGTTTTATAAGTGCAAATTGAAAACTACTCTAGAGCTCCACTATGTTGCTGAACCTGTTATACACTATGGGGAAATAAAATTTGTAGAATACCACCCAATTAAATCTTTTATTACCACCATTTAAAGTATAGTACATAAAATTTTCTCAGGTACACTATAAAAAATAACCATACTGCTTTAGGCAATTCCATGCTGCTTTAGCATTGCTGATATTTTACTGCAGTTCCACCATTTAGGGTGTGATATTTTCAGACTTTAAAAGCATATAAACTTAGTTAACAAAAAAATTGGGCAGTTCTTATAATTTTTGTTACAATAATGCTGGGTGTCATGTTCACTTGCTTCAATTTTTCATAACTTTCATTGGTTTAAAATATTTTTAGAATTTGAAACTGGCTGTTAGGGACATTACAAATATGTTATATCCATAACAGTGGGTTTTTAATTCCTTAAAAAAAGAATTTTATTTCTAAAATCAAAAGTGCATGTAAATGACACCAAGACTTCATTTTCAAAAAAATTTATAACCTGCTTAAATTTTATCTACCAATTTATAATTTTTTAAAGTCTTCAAATGTGACATTCATAATATACTTAATTGATTGATTTAAATTGCGTTCTTTACAGGTACCATAATGAGAAATTGTAGGTAGCTGTTGTTTTATAATCAGTAACTGGCCATCCAATGGGTAAGTGCCTTTCGTGCTGTCCAGCTACCCAGTCTGTCATCACTCAAGCTTGCGATGAAAAATTTACAGACATTGCCAGAAATGCAGAAGCTGTGGAAGATCAGCCAGGCATGAGTGATTTTCGCAGATGCGACAAAGGACGCTCCGAAACTCGAATTATAGTGAACAATTGTGCAGAATCGAACGGCAAAAATCTCAGCTTGACTGAAAAACTTATCTTTCCAATTTTAAGTACAGCATGTATTGAAAATAAACGCTCTAGTCATTCTAACCGAGAGTATTCTGAAAACAAAATCCTTACTTTATTCGAGCAGTATAAAGATCCTAACGAAAATGCCATTCTTATCGACGGCATCGAACACTTTTGCCACGATCTCAACGTCCCACCGGATGATTATCGTATTTTACTGTTAGCCTGGAAATTTAATGCCAAACATATGTTTTGCTTTACTAAAGAAGAGTTTGTAAGTGGATGTCGGAGCTTAAAAGCGGATTGCATCCAAGACATCCAGGTGAGGTTTCCCGAAATGGTTTCTGAAGCGCGTTGTCCAGAAAAATTTAAAGACTTTTATCGCTTTACTTTTAAGTTCGGATTAGAACCCGAGCAGAGAGTTTTAATGTCTGAAATGGCTATTCAACTTTGGAAGTTGGTGTTTTCAGATAATGAACCTCCAATATTGCAGCGGTGGCTGAATTTCCTAGAAAATCACCCTAGTGTTAGAGGTATCTCCAGAGACACGTGGAACATGTTTCTAAATTTTTCCGAATCTGTCGGCGACGACCTCAGTTCTTACGACGACACTGCCGCCTGGCCAAGCTTATTTGACGATTTCGTCGAATACGAAAATGACCAAACTAATCAGAATGTTGTTCCAAGCAAAGAAAAAGGTATTTTAGACGTTTAGATTAACTTGTAGGAGGTGACTTGTACATTTGTACTTAATAATTCTGCCTTAAGGTAACTATTGTGATATAATTGTGACGTGTTTGTGCTCTCCTCGTGATATTCTTTACGCTTTCACTTTTATGATGGCTATGGCTGTTTGTTTTAATTCTCTAAGTGTTTCTTTACATGCAGCTGCTAATATTTTTTAAATGAGTGGAATGGATTTTTTATTACGATTTATGTGTCCAGTGCACCTACTGCCAAGTCTCAGTGCCTTTATTTTTAAATTCTTAATTATATTGTTTTAAACACTAGTTTGGGAAATTGTTGAATATGTGGTGTGCCCCTGTAAAGACTACCTCTTCCTCTGGATTGGTGTATTTCTGTCAAATTAATAATTATTTATCATTGATCATTAAACCAGGGGTGGCATTTTGTCCAGAAGAAACCCTATTTCTTCCAGTTCACTGAAAAAAATGGAAAAAACAACAAATTGTATGAAACTAAAGATAACTCATTGTTTACTAATAAGTATAAGTATTCTAAGAAAATCTGAAATTTAAACAAATTATTTATATAGTACCAGAAAGTTTTTCTTACACTTTTCTAAAAAAAATAGTAATTTTCATATTATTTAACAGTCGTTCGGAGTATTCATAATTAACAACATTCAATTATAAAAATTAGTAAGTGATGTTTTAAATTACTTGCATTGATAAAATTTGATTGATTTTAAAACAGTTCTTTATATAATTGAATTTTACTGTATGCTCATTTCTGTAATTGAAGAACCTGTTATTTTAAGAACTTCATTAAATTCATATTTCTTTATTTTAGTTTTCGCTTATTTGAAAATTAGTTTAGAAATGGAATTGCTTGGAAATTAAAAATATTACGTTAACTTGATCGCAATTATACTATTAAAAGAAATTGTTTTAATATTTGATTTTTTTTTCTTCACTTTGAGCTGGAAGAAACTTATTTTTTCCGAAATTTGCCATCCCTGCAATACTCATAGTTCAATCATAAAAAAGAAAAAATCCATATCAAATGGGTATGGTGACATATTTTAATGTCTCTGTTTAGTGTTTCCTGTAATAAACAAATTATTAAGCCATTAAACACAATTGACAAACAATGCATTTTTTTTTTTTTACATTGACTCTTATTAACATTGTATTTCTTAGTTGAATGGCCCCATTCATAGGTGCAACTACTTTTTCTGCTCTATATACGTGATAGAACTCTTAATAATTTAATTTTTTGTAAGTCTGCGACTTGCTCTGAACTATTTTTCTTTCATAAAGAAGAGGAGAAATCTTTTATGAACCAATTGTATTTCAGCAAATAACATTTGTAAGAAATGAATGTTCTAAATAATTCTACTACAAATGATTATTAAATGGAAATTCCTTTACAGAAAATAGTAAGATAACTTATTCATTCAAGTTGCAACTCTAATTTATTGTGAGTTGTTAAATTACTTAAAAACTAACTAAATTTTAACCTGAGTATTTTATAGGTATTATGTATCATATGTTGCTGAAAGTCCATATGTTAAAGTTTAATTACTTGTTTTTAATCTCATTGTAGTTATATACTTTTTAAAATATCATTCTTTTGTTTTAAAACTTGCCTTTTGATCTTTCTGTCTTGAAAGAATGAAATTTGCTGTATTTTTGTTAAATTTAATTTTATTATACGAATAAGCTAAATAAAACACTCATTTTTTAATGCATAGCCTTTCTTTTTAAATACTTGTGAAGACTTCACTCTGTTTAAATAATCTGATATTCAAGGTACATTTTATAATTTATCAAGATGTATCATAATCATGGTTTTACTTGAGCTCAACAAACCACAAAATATAATTTCTAACATAAGTTTTGTTAACCAATCCTAACAGTAAGAAGAAGAAAATAATCTACTGAAAAATATAGGCTGCGGCGCGCTGAGATGTTAGGCTGTACGATGCATATTTCTTGATTTTATGCTCCTGAAATTGTGCTGAGCACTCGTGGAAAAAAATAAATAATGAAAAGATTTATAATAAAAATATTAATCAATATTTTAAGTCCATTTTTTTATAAAATAACTATTTAAAGGTAAAAAATCTATTGTTTCAAACAAAATGTTCTCAAATTTTAGTGAAACGAATATTTAATTTTTAATTACCTATAATTTCATAATTAGACTAAAATTCTATTCTAGAGAAAATAGTTTGCTTGTACATACCAAGTATTTTTCTCAAAAACTCAATTTCATTAATAAAAAAAAAAAGTTTTTAAAAATTTAGTATCCTTAGTTGTCACTTGGATGCCCTTCGTCCCCTCACTGNGGTTTAAACTGTCACATGTCAAAAACCTGCCAACCCTGGTTGTCACTTGGATGCCCTTCGTCCCCTCACTGCAATGCTATTGAATGTGATATATTTTGTTTTTAGGTTACCAGCAGTATGTTTTTAACAAGTATGAATTTAAAGGAATTTTTTCTGTTTTACAGTAATAGTAAATGCTATAAAAGTCAAATATTTTCACTTGCAACAACGATTCATTTAACCATTTTAAACACATCTATTAAAATTATACAATCTACTTATGCAAATTAATGTTATATTACAAAATTTTATTACTTTTGAATTTATGTGCAAATAGTAATTTAAGAAAGTAACAAGATTTTTTTTTTTTTTCAATTTTCTTTCAAGACAAATTATAAAAAAAAATTGCTTACCTGAATTAGATATGCTATGCCAACCGTTTGAATTTTATTTCTCTATTGTGACAACAAAATTTTAACATTCTTGTTTTTACTAACATGATTTGGATTACTGTTACATTTGAATAGTTAAAACACACAGAAGGCGTTTAAGTTATTTTCTTGCAATTTAAATGTGGATCAAATGGCTGTGCACATTGTCACTTCTGTTCGCACTTTATTACAAGGAAAAGTCTTAGAAAGTTAGAAGGTTCAAAAGAATGTTGTTCTATGTATAAAATTATCTATTTTTTTGCAATGATTCCTCATTAATCTATGGAAGATATTTTTGAACTAAAAATTTAAAAAGTCATCATTACTGTTTTTTTTTTAAATTAAGGTGGGATTTACCAACAGTTGCATTAGAATCCAGCAATGATTCTGAATAAATCCTGTAAATGAAGCGTTACTAGCGATAGACTATGAACAATTTAGTTAAATTTAGCAAAAACAAGTTGTTTTTTTACCAAGAAAAAACATTATGGCTAAACTGCACAGCAATTCTTAAATGTTGCTTATAATTTTATTTTTATCAGTCACATTTAGCTTAATATTTTTTTAAAGAATTCAATGAATTGGAATGATTCTTTTGCAGCAAAATCAAATAAAATCTTATCAGAACAAGATGCCTGATATCAAAAAATAAGACGAAAGGAAAAAAGTCATTTTAAATTTCATCTAATTTTAGTCATAATGAAAATTTTACTTCAGTTCAGAAGTACAGTAAGTCTTAGTATTATATAATTTGTCAGCGGATAATTATGAATGTATCATTTCAAATTTTCTGAGAGTTTTTGGAAAATATTTTTTTAAGGACTTCATCAAAATTTCATTATTTGAATAACTTATCCTTTTGCTTTGATTCCCTAAACCCATTCTACCTTTGATAAAAAAAATTTATAATTTGCATAAACTGAATTTTTCTGAAGATCGAACAAAAAATTGCAAATTATTTCTCCAAAGAAAAAATATTTGAAAAGAAATGGGAAAAAAAAATGCTCAACTATAGTTTTGTTTTTATAGTTACTGTTAATAATTATAATGTTTATCAAAGCATTTAATAAACATGACACAAAATAAACTAATACCCAACACAGCATTCAGAAGAGTTTATTTTACCTTTTATTCAGCATATGTTTTGTAGTTCATAAGAGTATACTAACTCCTTTTATTTACAATGTCTCAAAAGGCATTTATATGTACCAACAACATAAAACGTGTTGGTTAAGTATTAGCGTAGTGAGACAAACAATGGAGTCAGTTATACAGTATGAACTTTTTTTTTTCTTAAAATATAACAAAAACACACACACACAGATAAATTAATAAAAAAAAATTTATGACAATATTTGTTTTGCATCAAAGTCCACTTAAAAACAAAACATTTAATTGTTGTTTTTAAGATATTAAATAAAGTACAGTTTGCTTTATAATAATGTGAGGTGTTAAAGACACATTACTAAAAGATAGAAGCTAAACTTAAACCCATTTATTAACTGATAATTTTACACAGTGGTGTATTTAGAATTTTTCTTTAAAGCCTTTCTTAACTTAAAAATAAATTTTAGCATTTAGTGCAGTATTTTGAACAAAAATGTTGCATTATTCAATTTATAATTTCCTATAATATAGTATAAAAACAAAAAAAGTGGGATAGATTCATGATTTCAATATTTTTATTTATACTAAATGTAAAATAAAAAGTAACTATGTATGAAGAAAAAAATATTTTTGATTTAGTTATTATATAATGGAAAAGGTAAACAAAAACTTTATTTTTCTTGAAATATTTTTTTATGCCCAAAATAGGCACCTACCTGTCTCAAAAAAGAAAAAGATTCACACTGACTTTTAAAACAAACTCGCAACATATGAATAAGAAGAAAAGCAAAAATATTCAAGTAATGAACTTTTAAACACCCTCTATTTTTATGAGCATTCTGTATATTGCTAATCAAGCAAATGTAGGTAATGCAAAACAAAATACAGTACAGAACCCGTTATCCGGAAATCAGAAAACCAAAACACCCGAACGAAATTCGATAAATTTTCCCACCATTAATAAAATTTTTTTTTTTTTTCCTCATAAGATTTTAGGATTTTTCTTTCTTTTTTTAAAGATGTTTACCTTACCATCATTTTGGAAATAATTATTAGTGTATTACTTCATCGTTTTTTCTTCTTTTTAAGATTATTTCCAAATATATATATTTTTTTAGTTGGGTTTAACAATAAAAAAACGGCTTTTTGTAGCGATTCAGAAAACCGGAAAAATCAGTTATCCGGAATAGCGATGGTCCCGATCGTTCCGGATAATCGGTTCCCTACTGTATATGCACATTGCAATGTGGAACCCAATTTTTGTTACATTCATTTAACACAGTTATTGCGTAACATGTTCATTTACAACAACAAATAAGCTACATTATATAAGTAGACTAAATTTATAAAGAAATTAATTTGTTAAACAAAGTCAATAGATTGATTGAAGTGGGAGAGTATGCTAAATGACATTTAAGTGATTCTTGGTGTTTTTATACCTTTATTAAATCAGATTTTCTCAAATTTACTAAAATGTCTCATAAGCATGTTCTCTAAATTTTTCAATTTAATTTTAAAAAAATTATAAACTATTGTCAATTAATATCAATCTTAATAAACTAAATGAACATTCAAGAATAATAGTTTTATGAACAGTTAATTCATAAAATATATAGAGATGTGCTACTGTTAATGTGATTAAAATGGCTAACATACTCAATAACTGGTTAAACAAGCTAACCAAAAGACTTGGCTATTATGTTTAGTTAAATGACCATAAATTTATCACTTTAGTTTGTTATTTTGCATAATACCAAACATAATATTAACCTATTATTTGTCATTACTGAATGGCTATTTTTAAGAAAAAAGATGATATATTAAGTAAAATTAATTTGCCAAACTAATTGCTTATGAATTTGAATACATATTTGGCAATTATTAACAATTTTATAAAACCATAAAAAATTTAACAAACGAACTAATTTGTTTATTAAAATGTAAAATAAATAATAATACATAATAGCCAAATACATCTCATTAATAGTAACATGAATCCCATTAAAAAAAATTTAAAAGCAATAGTGGAGCTTTGAAAATGTACATCTTTACAATAAAATTTTTTAATCTTAAAATCTTCAAGTAAAATTCCTTTTTACAAGGTTTGGTAAAATTTACAACAGAAACCTCATTCAATTGTATACACACATTTTAAATAAGCAGTTTAATTAGATATGGTGTGCCTTTTATCTTTTTACTTAATTGCATAGTCATTACTTTTAAAAATATTTTCCAAAATAATTACAGTTTATCTTTCAAAATGAAAAGATTTTATTCAGAACAATTTTATTTCCTCCTTCTAAATAAAACAATGGTCAAGTTCTGCAACATGAAGCAAATGGAAAGCACTCTTAATTGAAAAAGGTTAAAACCGTTGCAGCACTTAAATTTAATCAGTTTTTATCTTAGACTGGAGAATGGATATATGATATATTCCCTCTGTTTCTTTTTTCACAAAAAAGTGTTGAATAAAATTTTTAATAACTAACTTGCAGTGGAAAACATTTTCAAGCTGTGCTTTTTTTTTATTGAAATAAAAATTTATAAAAAAGTATCTACATCTATTGGGAAATTGAGAATCTGAAAGGGGTAATTTAGGCAGAGAGGTCAAACCAAATCCAGTAAGAAAGTTTCCTAATATAATGAATTGAAAATTATTAGTTAACATTATAATCTATTCTATCATACTTTTGTTTTCTTACCCAATTATTTGAAATATTGATAAATTACTTATTATTAAATAAAGAACTATGTCATGTAAAAACTATGATCTGGATTTTTCGAAAAGTCAGAAGTCAAATGTTTTAAAAGTTTAACCCACTGGCGGTTTAACAAATGGGTAAAATTGAGAGAATGTTTCTCCCCAATACACTATCCCTATCTAATAACGTGGAAAAACCGGTTATGCTATGCGGAGAAGACTGCAGGTTAAAATACGACATTTACATGGAGAACCGTCAGTGGGTTAATCAATTCCCACTGCTCTAAGCTCTATGTTAAGCATGTGACTGAAGCTCTAGGTTAAGCATATGTCACTGACTCCATGTCACAGAACTCGCCTAATTAGTGTTATCAAGTCAAAGTTTTACATTTCGTTTAGTTTATCACGTAGGTAAAAATGCCTATTTCGCATTCTTCCTGATAATTTAAGTATCAGACATATAAGTTAACTCCTTATAATATTGGAAGAATTATTAACTATTCACTAAAAGAAAAAAGATACTTTAAAGTGTATGTGATAACATGTGCAATTGTTTCTGAAAATTGTTCTGAAAATCTTTCCAGTTGAAAGAATACATAAAGATGTAGTTTTAATATATATTGTTTTATAAGCATAAGTGGCAACGCAATGAATAAAAAATAAAGAAATGGTTCAAAACTCATATTATTTGAAACCGATAAAAGTTAAATATGTAGAATAGAAAAGTAATTTAAAAGGGAAGCTCCCACATTGCAACAGTCTGATATATAGAATTTATTCTTATATACATAATTTTATAGGAATTCACTGGGATATTGAACTCTGAAATAAAGTGTAATCCAGTATTGTACAGATCTCTGTCAGTACTAGACCACAAATGAGTATTATTTACAAGCATATTTCGAATGAGTTATACAAAAATATTTTATCTTTGTATAACAGAAACAAAGAGTGATTGAGCTCGTTTTAGGCAAACGGAGAAATAGTATTTTCAACCGTTTTCATATACTTCTCACTGAGAGTAAATGCACACAGTTTTTGGTTACAAACCACACGCCCACTAAGATATCTCAACTCGATGTAAAATAATGTGTTAAATTAAACTGATATACAAGTTAATTTCAACCCATTGGTGTTAGTATATGAAGGTATATACTGTAAGTGGTTAAATTCAGCACCGTGTTTTATGTTACAAGATTAACAATTGATATCAAATATATTTTCTTGAAAAAAAAAAATGCAAGGGTAAATATAACATTATGCAAATTTACTAAAATACAAATAAAGTGAAGTATGGAATATACTATTAAAACTATTAATTAGTTTCACAACCTGAATGTGTTGTAACTAACCTTGTAGGAATATTTTTAATTGAATAGCAATAATTTCTTCATGTAATCTGTAAACATTTTTAAATTCAAATATACTGTTATTACAGACTGCATTAGCCTTAAGATCCAAGGTTAAACAAAAAAAATTTCACTGCTTTTGTTACAGTCTTGGTGATTCTAACTGCAGTGAGTTTTCATTGTCATATAGAAATAAACAAATTTTCAAGTTATTACTTTAAGATGTAAGGCTAATGTCAATTTTAAATTTAAAAAAATGTTTATCTATTTAAAAATAAATATTAAGAAATTTGTAATTATTTTTTACTTTAATATTTCACAAAATGATCCAAATTATTTGACTTTTTTAAATAAAACCATAACCAAATTATAAATTAGTAGAAATTACCATAAAAAACTGAAACTCTGCATAATAAATGCAGTTTTTTTAAGGTAATTTCTACAGTAGGTTTCACAACAAGGTTAGCATACAAAATTTTATTGAAAATTATAACTCGAAAATTAATGGATTCAAAAGATCTTAAAACAATCTTTTAGAAATATATTTCTTGATTTTATTTCTACTTGGTTAGTAAAGAAGCGAAACCTTTGCTCTATTATATTGCATTTTTCAAGCAGGTAATATTTATTAAATCATCAATTTTGCGAACTAGCTAAAAAAAATGAAGATCAAAGATAGAAAGTTTTAGAAAAATGAACTAAAAACTAATTTTTATTATTATTTTTTTTTTAATTTTTGCATTAAAAAACTCAGATTTGGTCAGTAAGCTTAAGGTAGAATTGAAAAATTTAAATAAAAATAATAAGTGTTCAAAATTTTAACATATTTAATGTAATTTAGAACTAAGTACATAAAATTCAATTCTTTTAACAAAAATTCATATCAATTTTTTCTCATTGAATCAGAAATAAATTGTATCTTAGTGACAAGAATCTTCACCAATTCTAATTACTCAAGCATAAAACAAATATTACTTTAAAGTTGTTAAATTTTGCAAAATGTCCACTGGGTTATTACAAGCTCATTTTAACTTTTAAGAGAATTTTTTTTCTAATTTTTCGGGGAAAATAAAAATCACTAAAACCATTTTTGATTTGTCAAAGTATCTAACACCTGGATTTGTTTTTTTCTGTATATTCCAAACAATATAAATGACTTAGGGTAAAGAGCTGTCACTTTTTTTTGGCAGGGATAACCGAGCTTTAAATTCCAATTATTACATACTATTTTAATAGTACAATACTACTGATCCTTCCTCACATAAAAAAGAAAGCACAGAACATAGGATTCGGTCTTTTTGAACTGGATAAATAGAGGTTACTTTATATACACAAATAAGTTTCAGTTCTACTGAAAATTCCTTCTGTGAAGGCAAGTTTGTCTTCAAAAAAAGGTTAAAAAACAAAAGGTTTTAAAGTTATACATTAAAAGCCAAACATCTGCTATAAAGATTTGGTATTGAACACTAATGATAAAATGAAATGGGCCAAATGTACTTTGATATATATTCTCAATGAACATGACTTAATACTCATCAATATCACATATGCCCATTTATATTTTTGTGCAGAAGATTGAGAACAAAATCCAAATTTCAGCTACTTTGACAGATATAAAATTTTAAGCAAAATTTAAAATATAACAAAAATTCAAAAAATTACAATATAAATTTACCTCATAATCTAATCTAGATAAATTACATAAAATTTATAAATAATTTTATTAATTTAGACAAAAAAATTTTTTTTAAAGACATTACTTAAACTTCTTAATAATTACTTAAACTTGGTGTAAAATTGAAGTCATTGAAACCTTAATGGATAGCTGGTACTTAAATAAGTTAAAATAAACAAATGTTCAAAAAACACAAGTATGATTCAATATAAAGTATAATTCAATATTACATAATATTAGTCAGTTAAATGTTTTTTTTTTACTTGGAAATAGATTTAATATAAAATTTATGTTAAACATCTGATATCTATAGAATATTTATGCAAATTAAAATGTAAGTTAAAGTTTGCTTTGAATTATCTTGGATTTAAAACAGTCATTACTTATAATTCCAATAAATTCATAAGGAATAAGTATCGTCGACTAGAAAAATATTACGAGCATGTTAAACATGAAAGAAATTAAGTTAAGATAGAATCATTTCACAAATGATATGCATTAAACAGAAGAAATAGTTAAAATGGGATAAATAGTTTAAGTCATAGTGAGATCAGAATAAAATATTTTTCCCCTTTATAAGAAGTATGATATGCATAAAATAACAGACAAAATAAATCAATAACTTAAAATAGCATATTTTCTATACAACTATAGTTAAAATTACATAACATGAATAAAGAATAAAAGTTCTCATACATTTAATGTACAATATTTCAAGAGCAAATATATATATTACAAATGTACCGGTGACCTTTTTTCATAATTTCTCTCATTGGCATGGTATGTTTTGCCTATATCACAGAGTACAATATTTATAACACAATACCAATGGGTAGAAACTAGTGAAAATAAAATAAATATATCAGTCTTTCAAAATACAGTAGAACCCAACCATCCGACACTTGATCGTATAGCACTTCAGTTATCTAACACATGTTAAATGCATTTTGACAAACATTTTATTAAAATTAAAAATGACGCAACCCAACTACTATAAAAACAAATCCAAAATTCAGCTTTAGAAAAACAACTATTAAAAAATAATTGCATTGACCATTTTTTTCTAACATTGTATCATTATAATAGAAATAAAAAAAATTGTTAAGTCAACTTCTAGATTTACAGTGATTTCATTGCACTAGCTGCGAAATAAAAATAAAAAACTAATTTCTCATACACAAATTTGACTATTTTTTTTAGTGACATAGAACAAAGGTTGGATTTTTTTTTTTGGCATAAAAAAGTTAAATATTCAATTAAGATATCAAATTCTGCAAAATTTTAAGAAAATAAATCTTTTAAAGCATAATTCTGATATAACAATAAAACAAACTAGGAAATTAACACTAAAGCAGTAGGTAAATTAATATTCTTTGATTTAATACAAACTTTAAATCGAAAAAGAAAAAGCTTAAAATAAAAAATTAAGTTATAGAATAATATTTTGAAAAAGTTAGTTGCCAAGAGAATTTTCTAGTCATTTGGGCGAACTTGCACCTGGGATTTATAAGTCCCTGATTATAATCACTACTTACTTTGAGTGATTTTACCTATAGTTTAAAGTTTACACGTAAAAAAAATTGACTTACGAAAGTTCTTTGATTATCTGTTGATTTCCTACATATTCCAAAGAATATCGGATAATCGGGATTCTACTGTAATCAAACTTTTCCACAGATGAGTTTTTAAAAATTTTATGTTGTAATCAAGTGGACTGAATACAATAAATAAGTCTTTTAAAAAAAACAATCGGATAATTTTTAGAATGAAATAAAAACATAGGCTTACAATTTCATCTACTTTAAAACCCTGCCCAGCAGAGGAGAAAAGTAAGATGTAAGTAAACATGCCACAACTGAGATTTAAGAACAAACAAAGCAAATGACGATATTATTAAAACAAGATGATCAATGTAACTAAGATTCATATATATCTATAATTCTCTCAGAAAGTTATGTACAATGAGTAATCACAATCAAATTGTGGCCATACATATATACAGCTGAATGAAAAGGCAAAAAAACATTTTATCACCATTCTGATTGCTAATAATTACAAAATAATACAAATATTTTAACTTACACAAGGCAGAGTGTATCAATATTTCTTTATATATATTTTTTAACCTTTTATCTGCCCCTGTCATACACTTCAATTCTCAAGTGGCATGCTGTACAATCGATATTTGTACAAACTATATATTGAAACAATAAAATCCCTGACACTTATGCTACAGTTCATCAACCAGGGAGACTCAATGGCAATATTTTTCGATGCTAAGATTTAAATTTAATATGTTCAAGCAACAAGATTCTGTTTATGACATAAAAAAATTATGCAATTTTTATGCTCCTCCCAAAAGAGAATTTTTTTTTAAAAAAAAAAACTAATAAATAAAATACATAAATTTTGTATTCAAAATCCATAGTTTAAAAGAAAATACAATAAAATTCATAAATAATTTAAACTTTTCCCTAGAATTTTGTACAAAATAGCAGGGCTGGTTTAGTTTTACACTGCTGAATCTTCAAGACTGGTTTTGGGGTTAAATTTTTGAAAATTTGGACCAGAAGTCCCCAATGTTTTTTAATCTAAGAGTAGGATATAGAATAAAAGTATAATGGTCAGACAAGGCACCATTTTTTAAGGTAAACTTATAGCCAGAATTAACACTTTTAAACAAAATTTTATTTTATTTATTGAAGATAGAAATTTTGTTGTCGTGTTAAAAGCAGTTGCACGTTAAAATGTTGCATTGGGCACGTTAAAATGAGCACAGAAAGTGCAATAGCACCCACTGTGACTTTCTTAAAAGCAAAAGAAGTTATACCTAAAATAATTATTTTTTCAAGAAGCAGCAATTTTTCTTTTTATAAATAATGCAAAACACCGGATGTGTATGTAATCTGAATTAAATTATTATGTAAATATAAAGTATTTATATAAATAGTAAATATATTTAGAATAATTGTATATACAATAAAAATAAATTTGAAACAATAAATACTTGTTGCTTGTACATAAAAAACCTATGCACCTTGGGAAAGAGAACTAAATGGATGTTCATCTACTATAGTCTTCAACTCGAGTATGCATTTTTTAAACAGTTCATAGTTAAAACAACAAAAACAAATTAGACAGCCTGGCAGTTGTGATTTGTTGTGACTGGCAATGAGGACACAAAAGGCAGTTGAAAGACCAGTATGTTGACAACAATCGCGCTGTCAGGCAATCTTTAGGCTAGAGTGTTAAACACTCAGAGAAAGCAGTCACTGACACACTCATCAACATGAATGGAGAAAACACAAAATGAGCTAACTTCATATCACCCAACAGATTTGGTCACTCCTCCGTATCAAATTCAGAACTTTGGCCCCTTATCTTATTCATAAGCTACAAATGTTTATGGATAGACAAGACTTATCATAAGCAATAAAGGGTGTTCATCAAAGCTTTTTTTGCCAAAGAAAATTTGGAAAGAAAAAAAAAATAGTTTGAAGGCTACAAACAAGAAAAGAATCTGGAGACACAAATAACTTATTTCTTTTAAAAAAAATAAACTTCTTTAAAAAAAATTCATTCATTATTTTTTATGTTGATGAAAATCATAACAATTAATGTAACTTTTTTTGTATATTTCATAAAGTCTAAAAAATAACATTGAAAATATAAAAAAATTACAAAGCCCTTTCTTATTCCAAAAACTGATGCTTTTCTTCATCAGGATATTTTGCACCATAAATTTTATCCATAATGATGGATAAAATTTAAACTTATAGTCATGATTAATGGTTTCTAACTTAGAACAGTTAAAATAAGATTTATACTAAAAAGAACTTATTCATATGATTACAAAGCCTTCAAAGAACAACCTACATGAGTAAATTATGTTTGCTAATAGTTTTAAATGATTTTTATTATTTACCAATTGCACAAATTTTAATATTTTTGAATAACAGCAAATTTGCAAACAAAGGAACTAATAAAATTAAAAACCAAAATATTGTAGTTAAAAATGCTTAATAATTTGGTTGTTTGAAATTATTTAAAACTAACAACAGCCAAAGTATGGTGGTCTTTTAATGTCAATAACAATATTAAAAAAATACTAATTACATTAATTAATAATTATAATTCACAAAATATGCAGGAAATGAATAAGTTGGAAAAATTATAACAATTAATTGAGATTCGACATCTTTGCATATTGTGAATTCCTAAGTGTAGCGTTGCAAAATTTGTCAACAATGTGACCAATGTTGTACTTACCGATTTCACTTTAGCTTAAACAATAATTTCTTTATAAGGGAAAATAATAAGATACTATTGAAAAATATCGATAAAAATAAAAATGAATATTTTAAAAAAATACTCAAATAAAAGTAAATTTTAGGCAATGCATTTTAAACAGAAAATACAATTCTTAAACATTGGTTGTCACATAAGAAAAATATTATTGGAGAACTAAAGCTATTTTGAAATAAAGGTAATCAAAAGAAAAATCCTAAAATTATTATGCTTCAAAACAAGACCATTGGTTCTACTAATGAAAATAAATATAGCTGCAATTAAGATCCAAATTACCATCTCGGAAAAAGTCTGGATATTTAAATAGAGATTTTACTTTGTATTTCAAAGAAGTTCAATAATCTAAATGAGAGAGCACAATGACCTTCAAAGAACAAAAATTATAAAAGAAAAAGAATGATTTCATTTATTTAAAAAAAAAAATGTACAAGACCTGCTGAAGCTCAATATTTAATGACTCTATAAACCTGTCTTGATTAATATGGCAAACCAAAAGACTTAACTTGCATTTATAATATAATTGGGCATTGTATCTAGTTCGACTATAAGTTATAGCGAAAGATAATTTAAATTGCTTTATATAAATAATTTTTAAATGCATGCGTCATATTAAAAATTTAATTAAGAGCATTATTTATTATTAAAAAAAACTAAACAATGTGGAAAGCAAGACCAAATTGTGGGCAGGCTGCTATTTTAGGGTAAGAGCAAAACAAAAAAAATTATATGTTATTTATGTTTAGTTGCTCAAAATATCTACTATAAAAAAAGGTAATAATACATTTGTAGATGAATAAAGCACAGATTTAATGACCTAATCTGCCAAAATTTAGGTTTTAGAGAGTACAAAAAACCATTCAAATATGATATATATATCTATATATATATTTATTCAAATAAAATTTATGAACATAATTTAAAAAATATTGTAGTCTCTAAATAGCAAAGCATGGCAGTCGTGTGATTTATAATAAAAATGAGTTTAATAATTTAAATAATAAAACTGCCAGGCTACTTTCATATTGGAGTGTTGAACATTCTGAGAGAGCTTGTCCAGTTACCAAACAGCATCTGTGAAGTTCAATGAAAGAAACACAAGATGAGCAAATTTAATCACCCATTAGTTCAAGTCGCGGTCTTCGAGATAACGGTATTCGAAGGTGAATCCTTCCTTTTTTCTTTGGCTCCACTTCTCATAGTCAAAATAAATATAAGTTCCCTGGAGGTAGAAAAACAAATGATAACAAAATCTTAAAAGAATTAAAAAAAACAATACAAATATTTTTGAATTCATGAAATAATAAAATTGCAATTTAATTAATAGTGATTTTTTATATAAAAAAAAAATTTCTAGAATTATACTAGTTCCTAAAAAAGTATCATGGTAAATAGTAGACCACAAAATTTTGCAGTCTTAAAGTGGTATAAATTATTGAATTTGTTAAATGAAGAAAAAAGTTGATGCAAATCATCTTTTTTTGGCCAAAAAAATAAAACTTCTTATATTATTCTACTTTGAACAAATATATTCATGTCTATGTTTTTTAATTTTTTTTCAGTATTTTAAGTAATTATTTTTGAATTACAAAAATATATATAACATAAAGTAATTTTTAAAAAATTTTTTTTACCTGTTCAAACTCATCGGTGATTGTTTTAGGTTCCTCATGCCTCTGGAACCACATCATATACTTTGTATGAAACCTCCAAGATTGCTTTTTTAATGATTTAGCAGCTAAATATTGTGCTTTTGTTCCCTGAAACAAAATTGAAACATTAAAAAAAGTGAAATTTTGTTTTATATATTTTTGTTACTTTTTTTAAAAAATCAAAAGTGCTTTGCTCAGTGAATTGAACACTGCCCTAAGAATATCAAGTAATCAAGAAAATAGACATTTTTCATGCCATGTGTCAAAGAAACTATTTTTTTTTTCTGGAAAGATGGGCATTACAATGATGTGGCAGCAAAAGGTAACACTATCCATAATTTAAAATGGGCATTAAAATTATGTGCAAAATTATTTTTACAGCATAAAAAAATTAAGACCTAATATTTTTAAAGCAATCATGGATAAGTGTTGAGACCCCTAATGGCGATGGAACCTAAACAATTTCAACTAGAGCAAAATTAATAAAAATCCAAATAATTTTTCTAATAAATAAAAAATGGAAAAGTTTTTTTCTTAACATAACAACTAACCAGAACAGTCCTAAATCTACATTTTTTAATCACTAAAATAACTTTGTTGACACTGGATTTCATCTTAGGATATTTGAAGGAACATTTGAAAGAAGAAGTCTACAAAATATAAAACTATCTCTTATGAATCTAATAAAAAATGTTCCAGTGTTAATTGTTATGCTTGTAATTAAACTTAGCAACAAAAATGTCTGATGAAAATAGGAATTGTTCAAAAGCAAACATGTCATGGCAAATGCTGCTGTTTTATAATGTATAGAACTTTTATTTTCATTAAGTTCATTATGCATTAATACTTTGGTGAGTTTATTCTTGAATTGTGGGACCTGAGAGATCCCATAAAATACAACTTAAGTTGTCGACAAGGAAAATTTCATTCCTTTAACGATGCTTTCATTTATCTTGTTTATTTAAGAACCAGGAATCTAGTCTACAGTACAGAGTAGTCGGTAAAAATTAAGCGTAGACAAAAAGAAATGTTTCAAATTTGAATACTAAAGCAATGCTGTATAAACAAATGACTTCTGTCACTTCAGAGGTACCAACAATGTTGGACTATCCATCTCTCAACAGGCTATGAAGATGGAATAGTAAAGAGCAGTAATTTTGTAAATTATAGTCAACTCGCCCTCAAAACTGGTAATCTGTTTTTCTGGTCTACTCAAATTAGAAACACTTAACATACTTTAGGTCACTTGATTTTTATTAGATTAAAAATAATTGCATTTGTGAAATTTCATAAAAGCGAGCGATTCTTTATATAAAATGTTGACAAATAGAAATTTTAACCTTTCTTTTTTTTTCATTTTTAAAAAAGGGGCATTTAAAATAACAGAGTTAGGAAGGGCAAAAAGTGCGTATATATATTGCGTAATATTGATTTACTCTAACCTTATTAATTTGAAAATAACCTGTTTTCTTTTTCTTCTTTTTTTTTTGTTCCTATCCAAAGTATATACTGCAGTTATTCTAATCAAAATTGCAACATTGAAAAAATATTTTTTTTTTGGCATATAAAAGAAAAATAATTATGTTATGACATAAGATCATATTAATAAGTGTATTTAACATAATATTTTATTATAGAAATAAATGCCAAAATTGATATAAGTTATCAATTTCAGTTTTAAAAAAAAAATTATTAAAACATTATAATAAAAACCTTGACCTGAACTGAAAAACTTATATTTAGTGAAACAAAATGTTTAAACTTTCTTTTTTCAAGAGCCATAATTTAAATGAGTAAGACATTTATCTGGAGTCTCATTTATATAAGTCATAACTTTTAATTCAAATCTATTTTATTCTCTTTCTTTTATTACATTGGGTGCTTACCTCCATATAGTAAAAAATAAAAAACAGAATTTCTGCAGAAAGCCTTTGGAAGAACTCTGCATGATCATGTTGAGGATAACTTTGTGGATAATATGCTGGTGTAGGACAGGGATTTCTAGGAAGGTACTGCCTACAATTAATTAAAAGAATCATAATTAATTTATGTACATAGATATGTGTATATATATAAAACATACATCACAGTAGAAGCTTTACAATCAGGAACGCATGATAATAAGCAAATTGCAGATATGTGAATACTTGAGTACGTAATATCTCAATGATTATTAACTTATTTTCCAGAAAACACGGAAATTGTTGCAACTGCCGATTAAACTTGAAAAACGTAAATAAATTGGACATGTTCTTCTTAAACCCGAGAAATTTAAAGTAAAATAAGCGGTGGATTGAAATCTTCAAGGCGATAATAAAAGAGGAAAACCAAAAACAACTTGGCGAATGATGGTTAAAAATGAACTAAAAGCAATCAGTAAAACCAGGGTTGGGTTTTTGACGTCAAAAAGTGGTTTTTGACATGACAAGGGTATAATACTGGTTTAAACCGTCAAAAACCCGTCAAAAATGTCAAAAACTGAAGTTTGCCAAGAAAATATATAAACTTCAAAACTACCAACAGTTGCCATGCATTATATTGAAATTTAATTATACTATAGGTAATCAGCAGGTTTTAAAATATTTTTTAATTAAAATTAAGGTAAAATAACAGATTTAAAATCTCAGAAATTTATATTCAAATGCATGTGCAGAAAAATTTTGCACAAAATTTTTTTAAATATTTATATTTTGAAAAAAAAAATTTTTTTTTTTGATACTTAAGAAAATTAAAAGTTTATTACTATGCATTTTTGACATATAAGGAACATATAACTAATATTTATAAGGAACTTACAAGTTATGTTGTATAAATACAAACTTGATACAAGTGTATAAAAAATTTTTTTTAATGTTATACCGAATATCTTTATTATCCAGTATGTTAATTTGAATTTAAAAGTAGTTATATTTATGAATAATGATAAATATAATTCATATTGTTTATTATATTTATTTATAATTATTACACTTATCATTTTAAAACAATTTTTATCTCTTAATTTTTTTTTCTCCACTTGTATTAAGAATACAAATAATGCATATCTTGAAAGCAAGAAGTAATTATTCAACAGCTGAATATTTAGATATTCAACAAAACTATATAGTATTCAGCAAAATGAAATTCACAAGTATTTGGATAAACTAAATTTTCAGCATAGTAAATGAATAGGCTGAATATACTGTAAATCGACACTAACTACTCTGTGTATTTAACAGAAAGCACTTAAATTTGTATTGTCTTATGTTAAAAAGATTATTAAGAAGATTTAAAAGAATATTAAAAAGATTTTTCTTTAAAAGATGTCTAATGTACAAAACTGCTAATGTTTATCTTTAAAAATGTCTAATTTTTAGTATAATCTATACTATACACTAAATTTGGTTATAAATAAATTTCTTAATAATATCACTGCAGATTTTCAATAACACATGAAAATGAATACATAATATTACAAAAGATGTGAGCTTTCAAAAGTACAAGATTTTGGTTACTATTCAAAATATAAGTGTTTCTTCAAAATTTTAAATTTATTTTTTCTAGAACATATTTAGAAACACTATCTTTTAAAAAATATATAAATTTTATGTATTAATTAAATTTCACATATGAATATAGGTTTTTGACATTTTCGACATTTTTGACAGTGAGGTTTTTGACGTGACAGTTTAAACCATGGTTTAAACTGTCAAAAACTGTCACATGTCAAAAACCTGCCAACCCTGAGTAAAACATGAAAAGAGGAATGATAGAGGCCTTATAAATATATATATACAGGGTGATTCTAAAAAGATGGGCAAAATTTTAGGAAGTGATAGTACACACCCAAGCAAACAATTTTTATCAAAGAATGCACGGTCAAAAACAAAAAGCTAAGGTGCTGACGCATTTGGAAAGTTGTTTCATGCAAACGTTAAAGGTCCATTCCTGTTGCGAGTTACTGCGCTGTGTTACTTGTCGCTAAGCTTTCGGCTGCTGCAGGGGAAGTTGGTGTGTTTCAGAATGTTCGCCTATCTTGTCTTCGCCGTTGTACAGTGTGCATAGCCGCTGCCAGCCACTGTTTTGAACACTTATTGTAATCATATGCCAATAAATTTGCTTTTATAACTTAACTTTATCGTTCTTTGTGTGTTTTTGCCTCATATAAGAACATAAACTTTGACGCCCTCCAGCGGCTTTGCGTTTCGTTTTTGACCATGCATTCTTTGATAAAAATTGTTTGCTTGGGTGTGTACTATCACTTCCTAATATTTTGCCCATCTCTTTAGAATCACCCTGTATATAATAAAATGAGTAAAAATCATTATAGTTGCCCTCTGTTAATTTATAAAAGACAAAAAACTGAAAAGAAAACGATAAATGGAAACAGTTTTCTTACTTACTAGCACTTTATTATGACAAAATTCCTCATGTTTTATATTACTTTATTTACTGGAAAAAATGCTGGGATATAATGAAAACATCAATAAAAAAAAAGTTTATATAAAAAAGGATCGCTGAATTTGCAAATTCAAAACACTAAAAAGATAAATAGAAAACTTAAACTTAAGTCCACTTCTTATACTCTTTGTCCACTCTTTGAATACAAATATTAAGAAAGTTTAAAGACATATATGCCATTGATAACACATCTGGTTATAAATACCAAATTCATTTAAATTAATTGAATTATAAAAGCAATTTAATCACCTGAGTCTTTCGGAGTCAGATGGATGAGGCATATGCCTTTGAACACCTTCTAAAATTTTAAGATGTTGATAACATTCTTTATTAAGGGCTACAGGACCTAGGGGAGCAACTCCTAATAGAGGTGGAATATGGGCTTCTGAAAAATATATTAGGTCATAATAAGAAACTATTTACACATCAAATTACTTACAAGAAATCTTTTTCTAGGCATAATTTCATACAGCATAATACGCAATATGATTAAACATTAACTACAAATGAAATTAAATTTTAAAGTATAATTATTTTTAAAGCCAGAACTCTATTTTAAAATAAACTTGTTAATTATGCACACAAAAAAAATCTGAAAGTTGAATTTTAGAAAATAAAATTTAACTTAGCTTTCAAATGTAATAAAATCTAATCAAAAGAAAAAAGTAAAGGTATAATTAAAAAAAAAGTTTTTTTATCTGTAAAACACAATATCATTTCTTTAATATATTAAATACTGATTTATATAATGCGTGTAGTTATCATTTAATTTGCATGCACATTCTAAATGCTTAGTGCAGATCTTTTATTGATAATGAACATTTAAAAAATGAGTAGGTTCATAAATGCAACTCTATAATTGAACTTTCAGAATTAAGGCAGACCTTTACATTTCAAATCAAAAGTATTTTTAAAAACTTATTTTATGTAAACTTTTTCTAAAGTCACAAGCATGAATAATTTTTTGTCAAACCCCTAAAACACGACAAGAATAAGTGAAGAACAAACAAGCAAAAAAATAATAATAATACAGTTGAATCTGTTTATCTAGAACCTCTTTATCTCGAACCTCTTTATCTCGAAAACCTCTATATCTCGAAATTTTTAAAATTCCCTACATTTACTGTCTAAAATAAATGTATTTTCCATGTTTATGTCGATTTTTTTTTCTTCAAAACCTCTATTTCTCGAATTTCTAATAATAGAGCACAAATGTCAAAACTTTCCTTATCAGCAGAACTAGTAGACAGAGGAGAATTTCGTGAATCCACAGGAACTAAGGATGAACAGGTTGGGGGTGTTTCTTGGAATTTCAATCACTATGCCTGCACTTCCTTAACTAGAAAGGAATACAGTGATTCTAGTAGTAAGTGAGAGGTTAATGAGTAGTGACCATCAGGGGTTAGCTTTTCACCATAGATAAGAAAGCTAAGAACAGAAATTCATTTTCACCTCAAAATTGCAATCAATGGATCAAAGGATAATTAAGAGTTTTAAAGTGAACTATAGAAAACGATCTATGAGGAATTTGCGATCTTTCTAACCTCAAAAGAATAATTGAAACAAATAAGGTTATCAGTCAAAAATCTTATTTATTATTTTCAGTGTTAAATGTATGTTAAAAAACTGTTATGTAAATAGATGTATGTGGTATAATTAATTTAAAGAAATGTCTATATTTTTCTACTAAAATCAAAGCACTTTTAATCAAATTTCTTAATTAAATTTAATTTCTTTAAAGTACCTGTATAACTTGAAACCTCTCTATCTCGAATTTTTCGCCTTTCCCGTGAGATTCGAGATAAACAGGTTCGACTGTAATATGTAACAAATGAATGTCAATATTTGAAAAGATTTAATTTTAATGAAACGCTGCAAGAAAAGTTAAAAGAATATAACTAATACAGCATCAAACTATTTATACACAAAACAAAATGTGTGCTTCTGTGTGTTATATTCCGCAACTCCCTACAATATAGATAATAATAATTGGTAATAGCTAACATGTTAAAATTTTGAAATAATTTTTGTTTTTCCAGAAAAACAGAAATAAAAAGTTTTCTACACAAGAATACTGTAGATAAATAATGTAAGATTTTAATTTGATGTCTCAGAGAGAATTTTAAAGTTAGGAATTTGAATAGCTTTGTTAATATGGTTACAAAATTAAAAAAAAAAATGAAAATTAATTTTCAAAGAAGAGAAATGCATGAACGAATTTTTAAATTAAATTATAAAAAAAGTACAATCAAACCTCTTTTAACCACCAAATCTGAACTCATGTTAATGTCAGGAAATGAATGTCTTCTATAGAATTTAAATTAGAGAGAACCTCAGAACAGAGATTTTTAAACAGTGGACAAAAGTGACTACAGTTTATTGGTCTATTTTGAAAATAGGATGATTTTTTTTTTTTGGGGGGGGGGTATATTATTAATAGTGGGAGTTAGTTAACTAAACAGAGGTTTAAAAAAACTCCTACTCAAAATAAAACATTGTCAAAGTTTGATACAAGATTCTCTTGTCTCTTAACTTATGAGTTATAAGTTGTCATTGATGTCAGTCTTAATTTAAAGTCTCATTGTACGTAGACAACTCTTTCCTTGTTTTGTTTATAAGTATTTACAATAATTATAAATGTGCTTACAAAATAGATGATTAGAGAACTCAAGAAATAGAGAACTCATATTTTAAATAGGAACCCTTTTTTTTTTTTTTTAAGTAAAAAGTGATCCAGAAATTCGAAAGCCCTGGGTCCTAAGGACACAAGGTTTCCAACGAGAAGCAGAATAACTGAAAATGCAATTATAAACTGATAAGTACATTTTTTATCAGTTAATAGTTGTTTCATTTAAGTATAATAATTACACAGTAGTCAGTTACCTTTTTCAACAGAAGATGGAGATGACGGTGTAGGAAGATGAGTTTCTAAACCTGCATTTAATACAGCTTGCTCTGCCATTGACTTTAAAGAGGACATAGAATCTTCATTCTTAAAAAATAAGGAAAAAATACCTTTAAAAATTACTAAATAAAAATATATTTAAAAAGGAATCTAACAATAGAGTAAAAATTTTAAAAAAACATTGGTGTAAAATTATGTATTATTAATTATTGTTATAGTAATTTTGTAAAAAAAATACAAAAATAACGTTAGTACTAATAATTAATATATTTTTTGTAAGTCCCTGCTTTGGAAATCATCATATTATTAGTTTTGAATAAAATATAGTATTTTTTTTCACCATTAACATCTAACTTATACCAGTCATACTCAAAATATGAAAACAAATTTATATAGATTTTTTATTTGATTAATGTAAAAATTGAGATTCACTATTTTTTCATTATAAGAAAGAGGTAAAGAAAGAAATTTAGAAATAAAAAGTGAAAAAAGTGTTTAGTAAATGAACATCTTCTTAAATAATTTATTACTAAAACTGCTAATATTCGATTATCAGCCAATTTTTGTTGCATATTCGGTTAGGCTGAATAATATTGTTTTTTATTTTTAAAAAATATATCGTTTTATGAGATATTAAAAGAATAGGTGCCAAAAAGTTGACTAATAATTTCCTATAAAAAAATTTCTACACTATGTTAGATGAAATTAAGTCCTAATCCAGGAAAAATACATATTCTTTCTAAACTCCTGGCACCCTTTTATTTTTGCATGAGGTCTAGTTTATCAATTGAAAATTTATAAGTATAAAAAAAGTATTATGTTTAACATTTTTGATTTTTGTTGATATATGTGCCACAGTTGGTGCAGAAAGCAAAAGTGCCTTTTCTAGATTTAATAATATGAGGAAACTCTTTAATGTAACAATCTTTAAATAGTGAGAGGCATTTTTCATTTTTACTCATTTTTTTAAGTAGCTAGTAGAGCAAAGCACACATGCAAATTCTTTTGATGAAAAACAACATATCGTAACTATGCTTTAAACCTTGATTCCATATATATTTCGACAAGTGAAAATCAATTCAACACAAACACAAAATCCAGGCTTCCCAAAACGAGAGTTTCATTTTAGAATGAGCTCAGCTTAAACTGGCATTTATGAAGTCATACATTTTCCTCTCCTTGGATAAAATTTCCTCATCTTCTTCCAACTTTGGACTAGTACCGACTCAGTTGATGCAGAACCGCAAGTTAACATTTTTGTTTTTCTCTCTCTGAATAAAAGCTGCCGAAGCAAGATCATGATTTGTATAAACTTTTTTACAAGGGCACATGGTTTGCAAAGATTTTTATGCTGCATACTGATTTATGTAGGCATTTCGCCCTCCCCCTGAAAACTCATATTTTGCAAAATCCTTCTTTTTAGGAATTTCCCAATTTCTGAATGGAATTTGAGAGATATATTCAGATCAGGAGGAAGCATCAGAATTTGGGAGTTTCCCAAGTGAATCGGGAAAGTTGGCAGCTGTGATAAAATGACAGTAGTTTCACACTCTAATGCTACCCTGAGACTCATGTTAAATTTTGAAACTAATATTTTTATTTTCGCCATTGCTAGAATAGAAGCCACATAAGATCAAAGTTAACATTTCAAATTTAGTACTAAAAATGAAAGCACATGTAAATATTTCAAAAAAGATCAAAAGCATTTTCATGTTTAAAAGTAAATAAATCAGCATACCACTCCAGACAGAGATGGTAAGTTGTAAATCTGACTCGACACTTTAGGAGATACAGGCCCGTTCATTAGCAAACAGTTTATAGTTGACTGCGTAACTACACTTCCTATCACATTGCACGCTGAACTAGGAGGACTGCTTAGTGGCTGCGTCGAACTGCCATTGCGTGTTGCAGAAGAACCAGTGGCGGCAGCTGCACTATATAATGCATTTGTGGCAGTGGAGGAACATGTAATGGCAGATGACGTAGCAGCTATTGAGGAAGGCGGCTTTATCACACTGTCCACACATGCAGATGGGGTTGTGGAGTAATGGACGCTAGTATTTAATGAAATGGAACTTGAGGAGAAATTCTGTAGTTGCTGCTGTTGTGATTGAGAATGTTGTTGAGTAAAATTAGTTCCAGATATTTGATCTAGAATAGCTGTGGTAAACACTGTGGTAGGAGCAGACGTTGTAATGTCAGAATGGTTTAAAATAATTTCAGAACTACTACTTGTAGGAGTATCTACACAGTTCGTCGTGGGCGCACTACTGTTGATGCTGCTGTTAGTGCAATTGCTATTGGTTTCAGAAGTAGAATTGTGAGCTGGGTAAAAAAAAAAAAAAAAAATTATTTTTTAAAAACATAAAGCATTTATAAAATAATAATTTTTAATAGTATTATTTCAAAGAAATTTATTATCACTAAGAAATTTAAGACAGTATATATAATTTCCCCAACTTTCAATTATAATGAAAAGGAGACTAAAGAAGTGAAATACCTTTAGAAGATGACGTGTTACCAGCTGCAGCAATTGCATATGGTGTAGTAGGTGGAGCAGGGGACAAAACAAAATGGCTATTGTGGTGATGATTTAAAGGTGGCGAGCTACAGACACTGCTCTCAGATGAATTACTGCAAACAAATAAAAATTCAATATGATTTTTTTTTTTTTGAAAAATAAAGACAATATAAATTTTTTATTTTATTCATATAAATATTTTCAGAATTGAACTCAGTGAAAAACTTTAAATTGACAGAGAGCAGAACAGATTCTTTAAAATACTATGAAAGTCATTGCCAAGCTCAAATGCTACTTATAACCAATTTTTAAAAAAGTGTTCAATCAACAAAAAATTCAGTATTATACAATATTTAGAAAATGTCTGTATTTTTTTCAACTTAAATCTAACTATAATCTTCAATACATCAATAAGTAAAAAAAATTTACTTAAGAAGGTACCTATTATGTAATACACATAAGACATTAAAACCGTAGACCAGACTCATGACTTTTTCAGTAATCTTTTAAATGTGTTTTACCAAGAATTAAAATATTAATTTCAAAAAAAATATCTACATTAATTCTTCAAATATTCATAAATAATTTGCTTACAACATATTATCGTAAACATAACCAGTAAATAGTTTAAAAATGAATAAAATTTTAATATAGCTTATATCAAGAGATATTATTGAAGAGCATGTAATATTCATAGAAAAATATTACCTGTTATTTCTTGAAACACATGGAAGAGCTCCTTTATTATTTTGTACTGTTGTTAATAAAGATCCAGATGATTGTGCCCTAATTGCAATTGGTTTGACTGGTGTAACTGAATTTTCCTGTAAACAGTTTATTGATTCATTGTAATTTTAGATGAACACGCTCTTTTCACAGGTTAAGACAATGAAAGACGTTTAAGTTATAAATTATATAACACTTGTTTTTCAACTAATATGAAATTTATGTATATATTAAGTTTATGTATATATTAAGTTTATGTATATATTAAGTTTATGTAAAGATTAAGTTTAAGTTTATAAATCTGTATCAAGACTGTTCAAACACAAAAATAATAATTTTCTTCTCTTTCTTGCTCAATCAGAACGGGAGACACTTTCCACAATATTTTAAAGTTTAAATTTTTTCGAGTAATATGAAAATAATAATGAGTAATATTTTCATTTACCAAATATCTTAAAAAAGAAAAATTTTAAGATAACAGCATATTTTTAAAAATCTAAAAACACTAATTGGATAGTTTGACTGCCTTCAATATCCAAGAAAGAAAAAAATAATATAGTGTTATATTTCTTCCTACTCTAATATAATAGAACATTTTTGTATCTATACAAAGAAAGTCTGGTATATAATGATAATATATTATTGCTATTTTGTTAAGAACAAAAAGAGCCGAGAAAAATGAAAAAAATAAAATTTGACACATATATAAAAATAGGTGCAAAACAATAGCTCTTAAAATAAATGTTTCTGACGACACCATACACAATCATTTTAATCAGACAGAGTTCTCCCTAGGAATAAAAAAAGGGCAGGATGCTACCTCTCAGAAAAGGGCACTATTATAAATTTTGAAGGGTACTAATTTAACACCATAAAAATTCATCCAAAATCCAACAACAACAAAAATTTTGAAATTATCCTCTTTTACTATTTCATGTGTATATTTCAAAAAATAATTCTCTCTCATAAAATAATAATTCGGCATAAAATAGATAATCTCTGGGCATAATTTTCTTTCAAAAGTAAACTAAAAAAAATTTATTAATTGCTAAACAACTTGAAAGATTTTTATATAATTCAAGCTATAAATTATAACAAAATGAGCATTTAAAGTTGTATTTTAAAAGTTATTTATTTAAAAAATAAAAAAAATTTACCAGTGTTTAATTATTATTTAAACAGTGAAATAAATTTTCTTAAAAATGGAATATAAATAAAATAGCAATGGTAAGAGATGGCGGCTTATTTCTACGAAAAGGACAAAAAGGGTGCATTTACAGGGATTAAAAGACAGGCAGGGTGGAATGTCCTTCTAAAAGCATTTAGGGAGATTACTGAATTCGACACAGAGTATTTAAATAAGTTTTAAATTATCATATTTTCATAAAATATATCAATATATCATCTAGTATTCAAATAAAGGGTTTAATGCTTGCGTTAAAAAAACATTTATTTTTATATGTGATATTAGTGTGTAACTGCTTTCTCAAATAAAATTATTAACACATTTTTCTTTTTTACTTGGATATGATTACAATATCCCAACCTATACCAATCACTAACTCAAGTCATCTCTACAATAGATATAAATAAAAGACTGTAATAAAAATGTTATGATAATACGGCAGATAAATTATAAAACATTTATGCCTAAAAAAAATAGCAAAACTCCTTACAACCGTGACATTTAATGGAATATTTTACATGAAAAATCAAACTGGAATTACTTACTTCACTATTTGACTTGGAATGATTTGTTAATAAGCAAGGACTAGGAGAAGGAGAAATGGAGTTCGTAGAAGTGGGAGAATTAGACCGCTGAGAACATTCATCATCACCTAAAACGCACAAACATGAGCTTCATTGAAAGTAACATCAAAGGACTATACATTATGACAGCTTTTATAATTACTGAAAATTCAATTAAATATGCTAAATGTAGATGATAAGTCATCAATAAAATTAGCATTTTTTTTAAAAGCACATCCAACAACAAATCAGCACATATTGTGAAGAAGATAGATCGTATATATAATTCCTTCTACTATTCAAATTTTGTAACTGTGTGATTTAAAACAAAAATCTTATTGATCATTACTTGCTATTTTAGTATGTTGTCTTAAAACAGTTGTGATCTTGGCCTTTTTCTAAGTTTATGCATAGTTGTCATTTTGGGAGATCATTTTTGCAGAAGGAACATGATACGAGAGAAAATGAAGAAAAACAGTACCATATAAGATAATTTTATAGCATAGTTTTTGCTATAAATGAATTTCTGAGAGATTAGTATATTATAATTTTTCAAAAAAGAATTATTTTCAAAAAATGATTATTTAAATTTTTTTGTTCTGCTGGTTCCGCTAATTCCATTATTGAAAGAAAGAAGACAAAAAAAAGAAAGATTATCAAGGAAAAGATATATAGCTACCATTTACGTGTTGTATTGCTTTGAAAAAACTAGCTTTTACTATTCACTAATTGTAAAATATAGAACAATTTTCAGAATTTGGATTCAAACCATTGTCTTGCCAGGAAAAAAAACAATTCCAAAATACTCTTATTTTTTTATTTCTACAGCGGTTTAACTAGAGTAGGCTGGTTTACACCAATGGGGGTTTCAACCAGGGTTAAAACCGAGTCTGTCTTTTTTTTTTTTTTTAATAAAATCTGTTTAAAAAATAAGTTTTTTATTGATATAATTTCTTTTTTAAAACTTGAATATAGCCAAATGAAAAAAAGATGGAAGTTTTTCTACTCTTTTATAATTTTGAGTTTATTTGTTAATGAGAGTTTCGGTTACTACATTAACTTGCAATGTTTACATAGAATTGAGTCTCTAGAAAGAAAAAAAAAAACAATGTAAAATAAAAGGAGCAAATATAAATTAAATTGTGAGAAGTCTCCTAATAATTCTTCCAATAAAATAGATTACAACTAATTTAATGTCTCTGTTAGCTTTTAAAATTAGTTAACTCATGTAATTGTTAAGAGAGTAAAAAGTTTCTTAATTTATTATTACTTAATTTATTATTAATTTATCTATTATTATTTATTATTTCTATTTATTATGCTGCAGTTAAAAGTATAAATGGGAATGAGGTACTTTCCAAATTTTATTTTTTTAGTTTAATTTTAGAATTATATAATGTAATGTTAGAAATTTTATGGTATATATGTTTATATTCATTACAATATTTTCAAGTTGCTATTTTTATACTTTATTTAAAAAAATGGTTTAAGTTCAAAATTCTTTTAAAATATATCTTTTTTACTTATTTAATGAAACATAACTCTGCTATTTTATATTTATGCAGTCATGTATTAGTATTTAAGTTTCCTTTTCATCATTTTATTAACTTAAATATTTCTTAATTAAAACAAATGTGACTTTAGTATCTCATGCTCTTTTACTTTAAAATTTGTATTGATTCAAAAGAAAAAGAATGTTCATCCAAGCAATTAATGTTACAAAATATATACTGCAAAGAATAATGTTAATGCAAATAATGCTGAAACATAAAATTTTTATATACAATGAGCATCCAAGGAAAAACTATTTTTACACGCCCTGCAAAAATAGATAGTATAAGCTTATTTACATGTTGAAATAATAAATAAGTCGTAAAGTAATGAATAAGCACATTTAAAATCTTTAGTTATTACATATTTTTATCATATTTGTATATTTATGGAATAAAAATGAATTATTGTTTTTGAATTATTTATTTAAAATATTAATCAATTGTTAAAGAGATATCTGTAAAATGTTACTCAATAATTTAGTTACATTTAATTTAAGGCTTAAAATATTTAAGTATTTTTTTTAAATAAATAAACAAATAAAATAAAAATTTTTTTTAAAAAACTTGGTTAAAACTGTAAACCCAAAATATCTGGTTTGGATTTTTTTTTTTCCTAGGCCCATCCTTATAAAAATTAGTATCAGCTAATATTATCAAACCTAAGCTAATGTAAGAAATAATTTTAAAAATATCTCATGTCTATCTAAAATGACAAATAATAATAATTATAGGAGCCTTACTACAAAGTCTTGCTTTTGATAAGAATTCTTGCATATCTTCTAATTCAAGGTCTTCATAAATAAACTCATTTTCTTCAAAATCTGGATCTTGACAGCTTTCAATATAATATTCTACGTCCTCTTTTATTTTCTTAATTTGGTCAACATCAACAGTACTATTATCTAGCATTCGCATTAAGGTTTCTAATTGCTTAATGTGATATCTATGTTTTTCTATCCAGCCTTTTAGTTCTTCCGTCCTGTCAAGCTTCTACAAAAATTAAATTAACATGATTAAATCATTATTAAAAAATATTATACATTTCATAACTAGAGCTGTGAAGTCTGAATCAAAGACAATTTAGCAGGAGGCAACCCCAGTTAGTTAAAAGTTAAGTTCTATAGATAGAAAATAAAAAAGCATTTGACCTCATGAAAATTATTTAGACAAGTATTTATATGTGAACAAAAACATCACTAAATATGGTGACTGTTTAAAATATAACGTAACACAAAAATAAATTATTATATTTGAATGTTTTGATCTGAGGCTTGATTTAAATCTTTTAATGCATAAACTCCAAAACAAAATTTATTGTCTAGGCGTCAAAGCCTAAAGTCATTTGTATTTGCTTCCAATTTTAAGAACATTAGCAAAGAAATCTTTTTCCAACAAGACGTTTAAACATTAAAACCTCTCCGGAGCAACCACTCTCTGTCCTGCAGTAAAATGGTCATTAATAGAGGTGGTCGTTCTTTAGGGTCGTCCTTCATTAACTTCAAAATGTTATTGAAAGTACATGAATTTTCACAAGCAATTTTAAGTTCTCCCAGTGGCTTTTTGGCAAAGGAAATACCACTAGTATTGGCGTCATGAAAACCGGATTCATGAATAAAATATAGCGTCAACTAAAATGACCTTCACTGATATAATTATGTGTAAAAATAAAATTATCAATTATAAATTACAGAACTGTTCAAAACAAATAAACAATTCTGTTTTTGTTTAAATTTGCTTTTAATTTTATATCGTAAAACTTAGTAAGGTTTGCTTGAAACGAGTAGTTTTTTCTAAAATAACTTCTATTTCAAATTAAACTTTCAACTCGTACTGAAGTGAGAGTGAAACATATTTTTTAAAATGGCTTAACACAATTTCAACCATACATAGCTTTTAAAATCAATTTCAATTACTACAAACTATTAACTGGTCCATTCATTGCGTTCCCACAGTATTTAAAATTTAAGCATATGAAAAATGAATCTAAAGATAATCTAAACAGATTTTCTGAATATTGCAATATTATAGAAAAGATGATTTACTGCCTATGATGTATTGGTTAACACATCAGCTTGTTAGAAAATTCATATATTATTAATTTTACTTAAAAAATATGTAAATATAATAACCAGTAAGAAGCAGAGCATTTGTTATACGGGGATAGAAAATAACAAAGCTTGTATAATTCTTTTAAAATAAAAATTTTCCCTAATGGACTATTAGTCTAATTTTCATTTTGTGACTTAGCAAGTTATGGCTAACTGAGCTTAAAGCCAAATTGTAAATTTTTTCCTCATTAAAGTTCTCATCTTTGCTCTGAACACAAACAAAAATCAATGAAAAAAATCTGAAGCATACAGAGAGATTTTACCTTTCTCAAGCATACACAAAGCCAAGCTTGTTACATAATAAAATGGGTTGAACCTTTTTCCTAACTTCTGAGATCACCTAACTTATGAAGCAAACACAAAACTTCAAATCAAAACAGTTAAAATGCTCCACCTCATTCGCATTGTGCATTATTACCTCCTACTTAAATTTCTTACCAAAAAAATTTTTTCTGTCTATTCAAATTGTCATATTGAATTATATGTAATTAAGCAGAAAATTTGCTTTTATTAAGCTATTTTTAATGACAAATATATATATAACTGAACATATAAAGTGCTAGAGAGAACTTACATCTTTATCAATTTTTTTCTTTTTTATAACTATACTTAAAGACTCAACTTCACTTTCAAATTGATCCAATTGAATATTAAGACTTTCAATCGATGCCTGAAAAATAAAAACATACCAAAATAAGAGTGTGTATAGACGCATTTAATAATACGAATACATGTGCATTTGATATGAAACTTCATAAAATATTGATTACTTATTGTAATTTGTTTAAAGAAAACACTATTATACCTAATATGTAAATTTCAACTTTCCCTCACATACAAAATTTAACATTAAATTTTTCTACAAATCGAAAAAATTAATGAGACGAAACAAAGTAATAATAAATTTGACGATTCAGCTAATAAAGAGATTTTGAAAATTTTTCAAAATCATTAAATATAAAAAGATAAAATAAGGTTTAAAAAAAATTCATGCAAGAGAAATTGAAGTATATAAAAATAGTCAGAGCTACTTTTCTAACTCGAAATGAATATATATCTATAAAAAGGCAATACATATACCTATAAAAAAAGTACCATAACTAAAATAAGGTACTTAATTTGTTTAATATTCAAGTGCTTCAACCCCTGCATGCCACCATAGTTACCAGTTTCATTTTCAGGAGAGCAATAAAATTAACTGATTAGAAACTGTATTTTGGATCCTTTCCTTCAGCCCAAACTGAAAGTTTCAAATTTCTTCAAAACATAAACTGAGTCAAACACAAAATGGTAGTAGTTTACTTTAATAATTACTCTTGATAGCTGAATTATGATAATATAGTTAAGACTTACCGCTAACCAATTAGTAATTTCATCTTTTTCTTTTTGTGCAGGATCTAATTTTTGCGCAGCACCAAGACCTTCTTTAGAATAAGCTTTTGTTTTTGTTTCTCGTTCTACTACCTTAAATCTCTCCATTTGCTAAAATTAAAAATAAAAAAATTTACACTAACCTCTGGATACCATTTTTATTCAGTACAGGGTAATCAATAATTTTATCTTGGGGACAAATACACAATAAGACCAGGAAAATAAAATGTTGCTGTTTTGCAGTTTTACATTCAAAATACTAAGTTTACTTATGGTCAAGAATTTAAAAAAAAATTAGAAAGTGCAAATTTTCTGACAGCAATTTTAAGAAAAAGTGTAACGAGGCACACCAAAAAAATTTAGATGTAAGGATTAAATTTTCTCTTACTAAGGTAATCTTTGTCTAATTCAGGAATGACTGGCTTGCCTGAAGGCTTTATTTAGTTTCCCACAAACAGAAAATATATATATATAAACAGTTCAAAAATTTATGTACCCATCAAAAAAATACATTTGGGGTGTTCTGCCAGTCAAAGACTGACATGTTTCATTTTCCTAAGATAAATTCAGAAAGCCCATAAAAAATATGTAAAACTTAAAAGCTACCAGATTAAAAACTTCATTCAGAAACATACAAATAGGAAATAACAGTCAACCTATTTCAAGTGCTCAAAAATAGGTGCCTATTTTCAAGACTAGCCAGACGCTGCTTACTGTTTTCGAATCGGATAATCTCAATATTAAACTCACATAGACATTGAAATCCCAGCACACAAAATGCATTTCCTAGCACACAAAAATGCATTTTAAACTATTTGACAAGAGTTTTGCTTTATTTATTACATGTTATAAGATGTTTACTAACAAAATGGCTTTACTTAAGATAATACAAAAATTGTGATACCAAGATGTTTTGCAATAAAAAAGAAAGGATTTGTATGAAAATTACAAATATTTCTTTAAAATTCAAGATATAATCAATTTTCTTAAAAAAAAATACATTGAATAAAAAATACAAAAAAAAAATAATAATACAAAAAAATTAATTTGAATTAAATATTATTCAAAACGTTTTCCTAGTTATCATCAATTCGCAGGAAAAAAAAAAATTTCGACATATAAAGTGCTTAAGTGAGGAGAAGGTAATTACATTTTCGCATGCAATTACAATTTAAAACTGTCTTAAAATTTTTTCTTTTCTGATTGTTGAGTTGTATATTGAAATATATGATCTTAATGAAAAATTTATCAGCATTTAGTTAATTATGATATGACTTTTTCCTAGTTGTCTTAGGTAAAAGTTAACATTTTGAGAAAAATCACCCTTACATTGTAACTAAACAAGTAATAAATAGCTACTAAACATTTAAGTTTTATGTTAGAAGCTAATAATGCAGTCCCATTGAGGATTTAGGAATAAAAATTTTTAATATTTTTGAGAAAACTCAGGTTTTTCATCAAATACCTGGGTTTTTGATGGAAAACCGAGATGGGCTAAGCTTCTTTTTTTTTTTCAAACTCTGACAATAATGACAATTTAAAATAACAAATGAAATAGTTGTTGAAGTGAACTTGTTGTTATAAGCAATTATACATATTTAATGCTAAATTGGCAATAAAGAACTAAAAAATAAGACTTTTTACATCTTTCTTTTTATTTCAAACAACTATTTATGTTTGAAATACAGATTTAGAGTAGACTCCTTTTGCATTAAGATTGTAAATTGAATTACATAACTGCGTACTTAATGAAAGGCACAAATGCCTATGACATTAACAGGGTGCATAGCCAAATCTTTAAACAAAAAATAAGCACCTTTTAAGTAATTTTTAAGCACTCAAAAATAATTTTAAGCACTGTATGCATTAACAAAATGCAAAAAAAAAGTTTTAAAACTTTACATAATCATGATAAAATAAGTTTTTGACACGGAACTCTTTTCTTGATTATATTAGCCATTGAAAAGTGATCGAGATATTTTTCGCCTCGATTTCAGTTGGTGGAAAATGAAGCTTGAATTTGAGAATATCTAGCAAAATGCAGTAGAGTTGCACATGAGAGTGCAATAATCTCGCCGAACCCAGCTCAGTAGACGTACATGCAGACTCACAAGTATTTCATCAAACATGTAAAATGATTGCCACTTTCATACGCTATGGACCGACGGTATTAGCCAAAATGGATTGTGGTTGAATAAATTATAAAAATGTTGAATAGAACAATGTGAAAGCAAGATTTTGCATAATACGAGGCGAAAATTGACATGGTTAAGAAAAAAATCTCATTTTTGAAAAGGGAAAATTAGGCACTTTTTACCCAATGAAAAAAGCACCTGGAAAGGCTTTCAAAAAACGAGAATTGAAAATAAGAGCTTTAAGCACTTTTAAAAATGCTATGCACCATGCTTAAACAAGTTCTTGAAAGAAAAAAAAACTTTTAAAAACTAAGTTTATACAAATAGAATTAAAAAAGAGAAATTATTTCCGTTTTTGACAAATCAAAAATGAAAAATTTTATGTCTGTATGTCTGTTGCAGGTTTTCTATCCTTGAAAAGTTGAAAAAACAAAAATTATTACTCTAGCTACATATATTTGTAAATATATACATAAAAACAATATTTTGTACCGTTTCAATGAGTTTCCTATTTTCCAACAGTATCCTTTTATCTTTAATTTCACTGGATGCCATCCATGTTTTAATCTGATCTCGTAGCCTCTAAACAAAATATGAATACAAATGGTTTGAAAAAATAATGAACACATTTTTATTATTCATTGCATTATCTTTATTACTGTTTTTGATATATTTAAACTAAAATATCATTTAAAGGTAGAGATTAAATTAATTCTGCAGCCTAGGGAAAAAAGGCTATGCATTGGAAAGCAATGAGAATAGAAAATTCTGAACTTGTTTTTTATGAAAAATTTTTATGTTAATTTTTAAATTTTGCGTAACTTATAATCTATTGTTTTCTTAAACGATTTGCAATACAAAATAAAACTTTAAAGTAGATTTTTTTACATAATAGCACAAACGACAGAATTTCATATTTGTTAAAACACATATATAAAACACATTTTAGGTAAAAATGTTACAGTAACTTGTGTAGAAATTTAAAGCAAAGATAAAACAAATTTGAGAGAAAATATGACAGCAGAGTTCTTTTATTATGATATAACAATTTTTCTTTAAAAAAAAAGGTTTTTCTTTTTGAACATTGTGTTTTACAAAAAATAAGACTTCTAAATATTTGGCTCTTTAAGAGAACTATATAATTCACTAACTAGATCTCACCACATTTTTCAAAATTCACTGAAACATTTCATTAATTACATTGGAAATACACATAAAAACCCTAATAATTAAGTAATTATAAAAAATTTTATTAGATAAATATGACACAAATTATTACCTGTAGTTTCTTAATTTCTTTTTTGAGATCTGCTTCATACTTTTCTTTCTGGTTCGTATTAGTAGCATTATGAACCTGAAATGGAAAAGACTCTTTTAATAACAACTATTAACAAAAAAAATAATGTCACTTTATATTAAAAATATTAAATTTATTCCAAATTTTTTGAGGGCATCCAAGATAAAAAATGAATAAAAATATATCTAGGATAATTTAACTTAGAATTATCTCTAAAGCGAAAAAAATTATTTTTCTCATATCTTATTCTCCAAGTGATGACTAACAATATGAGGAAAAAAATATTTAATAGTTTGATCGATTATTTAGTAAAAGAATAAATACTAATTCAATCTAAAAAATATTTTTGAATGTTTTTTAAGACGTATTATTTCTACAACAACATTTAAATCATTCCATAACTGCTCAAGGAATCAATAAAAATATAAAAAAACATACTTTTCAACAAAGAAAAGAATACTAACTTTTACCTTTTGCCAGATGTCTTCAAATGTTTCAACGCCTTCACTGACTTTCTTCAGACACCGGTCGATTTCTCCTAGTTGGAAAGGGTTCCAAACACTAAATACCCATTCAATAATAGACACAACAGAATACAAGTAAAAATTAAAAATAATATGTTTCTTTTCATACTACAAAAACATCGGCAAAACGAAACTGAACGAATAATTAAATGAAAACCCAACAAATTTAGATTAATGACGCTAGTGCTTAACTAAAATATAAATAAAAGTAAACCAAATATTTATCTTCTTTTATTTTTGGCATAATTTACTTATATAACAATCATCATTACATGTTAGAACTTGAGATATTATAGGAGTTTAATTAGGAAAAAGTTTGAGTCTGTAAACGAATCTTTTTCAAAATTATTTTATTGTCACGATGGACCGTGAAAATGGAGAAATTACCCCTTAACAATAATTTTTACTTGCAAAATAGATCTTTCATAAAATTATTTCCTTATAAAACAAAGTAGATGAAAACATCAGTGAGTTAGTTTTAGTTAGTTAGCAAGAGTCGCTTATGGCTATATAACAAAAGAATAATCTGTTTTGAATTTAAAGTTAAATTGATGTATGGGCAATTCCATGATACAAAGGACAACATAATAAATATTTCATAGCATTCAACCATTAACAAATTTTAGTTTTTTCTTTTTTTAAACTAATTTAGACATAAAATCCAAAATTATAGTTTTTAAGTATTTTGTAATAATAATTAAAAATATTTATTAGAATTTTAATAGTTTTTATTTGTAACATCAGTCGCATACAAATTGTAACATCAGCCACAAGAGCTTTTCTCTATTTGCCACTTTTTATCTGCCATTTCAGACATGAGTTAGATAGATATGAGTATAAGTTATCATGAGAAATATTTCCAATTGATAACATCATTAATTGATAATTTTAGATATTATAACACTTTAAAAGACATAGTTTTAAGTTGTTTTTTTCTTAAGTACCTTATTTCACACAATTGGGGGTATAAAATGTACATTAATGTGCAGTTATTCAAGGGATTACTTAAATACCTGCTTAGAAAAGTTTAATGGCCATAAGGGATTAATATTTCTTTGCTTCCAACTTTAAAGCAGATGTTTACACAATTCTCAGAATAACTGAACACTAATATTTTCAAATCATTCATATTTCGTAAAATAACACATTTTGCAAAAAATAGAATAAAATTAAATAAATAATAACTTTCCATTTGTATTTAGAACAATGAACCCACTATTGATAGTGGCATTTAGATTCACCAGTACTGGAAGCTTACCAGAAATTTTATGAAGCTTGGGTCCACTAACTATAGGGATAAAGAAATATAGTATAAAACTCGTTGTATATCTAATTCAATCTAAAAGCGGTTTCAAATTTTTTAAAGGATAAAGATTTAGAACATGCTTAAAACCATTTTCTGTTTTTTTCCAATGTTTGTCATAACAGTGGCTAATAGAAACAAAATTTCTCAAATTAGTAGATGAAGTTAGAAATCATCAATTTTCTTTCTTGAATATATATGTAACATTTTGAAATAACACATTAATTTTTATAAAATAACTGCCTAAAAATAAAAAAATACAAGTCAATATTTTTAGGAAAGAACTCAAACATACAATATATGTTTGGAGATACAAAATTCTGCACCACGAATTTATAAATAATTCATGGCTCAAATCGTCATGTTTGTTCATTGAAAGTTTTTAATTTTATTTAAGTCTGCTTAAAAGTAAACAGCACGTTAGAAGTAATAGCCCTACTACAGCCTGTTATGGGCCAGAGGATTAATCAAACTGGCACTCATCGATCTGAAGCTGGGTGGGTTTCAAGCTGCCACTGAGAATTGAACCTATTCTCCATTGGGACAGTTCAGTGCCTTAACCACTGAACGATAATAGCTAAATAAGTATTGATACTCAGAGGGATAAAATATGTTCGAATACCCAATCGAGGTTTATGGTCGTAAATTTTTTTTTTTTTCAAAATATTTATTGTAGAAAAAATTTGCAGCTTCACAAATTATAAATTATTACTAGCTCAATATACTTTGATTTCTATTATTTTTAGCACATATGCTAGTTTATTCAAGAATTTTTTTAAAATAAAATTTTTTTTCTTTGTTAAAAAGAGCTTTGCAAAGAAACTTGACTACCTAAAAATATTTTGAAAAGCTGAGAATTTACTAAACATTTTAAAATGCTTAGCTTTAGTTGCTTTTCTTTTTATGTATGTAGTGAGAGAGAAGCTTAAGGGAGACAAATCTTCTTATTAACTATTTCTCTTAACTGTAAAAAATTTCTTAATAAAAAAAACTGAGCCATTGCCACAATTATAAAAGAAAAAAAATCTTTGATAAGATAAGCCTAGCTTAAGTCTGACATGGCCATAGGCTCAGTAAGATTTTGAGTAGGCTTGGACTCGTGATAAAATTTGAAAGTTTATGAAATCAGAAACTTTTATGAAACAGTTATTGAGCATAAAAAATTTAAATCAATAAGGTATAAAAAAAATTACAGAGATCAATTAAATTAGTTTGGTGCTTTTGTTTTGTGAGGATTATACTGATTGTCAAATGAGAAGTTACTTACATTTAGCTTAAGATTTGGATTTTTTTTTTCAATTGGAGTTTCATTGGTTTAGTTTTTCTCTTCGCTTTTTGTTTTACAGGTCAGTGATAAACAAGTTTCAGGGAGATTTCCAAATCTTGATCTCTGGCAGAATAATTGCCAAGTCTTGGAAACTTCCGGGCAGTGGCCCGCAAAAAACTTTAATAAAAAAATTACTGACAGGGGCCAACTCGAAAGGTACAATCTCTTAGCCACTCCTAGGCAAACATCTACGCGTTTTTTTTTTCCTAAAAACTTTGCAAGTTGGCACCTTGGCAATTGTAGTTGGCGCAACCGATCACGATACGGTAATATCCCCCAAGTTTTAATGACCAATCTCCCTGTTTTAACATCAAAGGCCTAGTGGCGAGAATTCAAAATTTGGCCTTTACCCAAAGTATATTTTAAATTCTAAGTAATCCTAGGTATCTCATGCTCAGGTGAGTTCAGATTAAAATTCTCAATACTCGGGTGAGTCTGGACCTCTAAAAGCAAGATTGAATTCATCTCTAGTGAGAGACTTTCTCGTTATCTTTCTTATACGCTGCTCTTCTTTTCTTTACATTGTATTTTCCTGCTGTGACATTGAAGCCAAGAATTTTACAGTGAGTCAGCAATGGAGATGTATTTTGCCTCGGCAGGTTTAGTAGAGGTTCCAACCAAGGAAATATTGCAGCTCATTAAAATACCCATTTTTTTTAAATTCAGACAAACAAACAAAAAACTTAAATTGTAAATTTAATTACACAAAATTTAATTTAAAAATTGCAATCTTAAAAAGGGCTGTGTCCTTTAATAAATGTGAAGAGAAATGAAGCCCCCTCGGTTCCACGGTCCCTACAGTTTAATAACCTTAACTCTGATGCTGTATTAATATAATGATAAGGTGGATTAAATACAAAATTAAATATTTCATAACAAAATTAATGTAAAGAATTTAATGATCTAAAACCTCCTCAGTCATGATTAACTAAGAACTTAGGATCTAAAAAAAATAGTTAAGTAAGAAATTTCCAGACTAATATTTTGAAAGCTAAAACTTGGGCAAAACAAAATTTCTTGCTTACTACAGAACAGGCATGTCCCAAATAAAATTTTAAAAAATAGCTCTTCCAAACATAAAACCTGCATGAGTTGGGGGAACATATATTATGACCTTTTGTTTGACAGCATATGTAAAACAAAAACAAGACATAACACAACAGTGATTTTTGCACATTCATAATTTTTACAATTTCAGTGCAACTGTATTCTACAATATTGCATTAAAATCGAAGCTATACATAGGTGTTAATAAAAACAGTGATGAAGTGATCTTCATAAAAAGTTGTCAACTTATTTATATTTGTGTTTATGATAGTTCAATTTTCTAAAATGTAATGTAGTCAACAGATATTAATTCTGAAGACACAACAAACCTTGTTGTTTTCTCCGATCAGCCATAGCTATGTACAGGCATGTAAAAGCGTCTGTAACATAGTAATTAGACAAAAGCACGTTCTTCAGAGTGATAAAATTAAATAACCCTGAATAAGTTTAGTTTCGTTATAAATTAGTTCGCAACCAAAATGGCTACCTCTTAGATTGGACTGTTTTTTGTATTAATGCGCAAAGCTAAATCCTTGTTTTGAGCTAAAATCAGCAATGAATTTCTCTCACAGTTCTTCAGAAGTACATATATAGTAATTTTAGATCAGAATATTTCAAGCTTTACATATGTTTAAAACGTTCTTTAAGTAGTTTTTTTTTAAACTCGGATGTATACATATGTAAAACGTCCCAACTGTTTTCATTCATTGTTTTGGTTGCTGGACAACCAACTTCACTTAGCTTCTCTTCAACTAATTAATTTTTTTCTTTTTGCATTTATTTCTAGTTATTAGAGATAAATAAAAAATAATGATATGAACAGTCTTGATTTAAAATTTAATTCTTGAAAGGACATTTTTCAAACCCAAGCAAATGTGATTATTTTAAAAGTCATTATTTCAGCATGGTTTGTCAGTTTGTGCACTCTTCGATTTTCGAAAAAACAAAAATGAGCAACTAAAAGCGTACCATGTGCTTCTTAGTGCATTGAAAAGAAAATGTAAAGTTAACAACTAAACTTTTCCGTCGTTTGAGTTTGATTTGTATGGTTTGCTCGAACATTTTTAGCTATTTACGAACTACACCCGATTCGAACTTTCCAGTTAGCATGTTTGACAATAACACTAATTTTAAAATTAAAGCATGATGATAACTGATTGAATTTAGAGAGCGAATTATTTATAATAAGTTTATAGACTTTACTTTAAATTAAATTTAAAAATTCTATAATGTCTTCTTCTTATAAATTAAAAGAATTCTCCCTGTGGAACGTATGTAGTTTGTTTCCGAAATTTGTTTATAGTTCTTAAAAACAAGAAAGAGTTGTGGTTTGTTTCCGAAATTTGTTTATAGTTCTTAAAAACAGGAAATAGTTGTAGCTTATCCTGTCTTATGTGTTAGGAAATGATTTTACCATGTTTTTGTGTTGATTTTTTTAATATAATTTTTAATTTTCACAAATTATGTCTACATTTTCACAAAATAGGTACTATGGTAATATTACTACTTTCCTGAAAGTACATGAAAACAAGATTTTAAGGTATCACTACCTATGTAAAGTGTGATGAGACACTGGTTGCATCTGTGAGCGGGAAAATAAGACTTATTTATCTGTCTTTCCTATTATATGAATAATACTTGTACCCAAGGTCGTAGTTACGATTGGAGTAATTGCCTCTCAAAATGCAAAAGTTTTTATAAAAGTAAAATTTGTTTTAATTTTTGTTTTGTTTACATTTTTAATGCTTTAAATTTTAATTAATGATCATAATAATAAATCAATCCTTCTATTGTGGACACTTCTGCAAAACAGACTCCTCTCAATACGGACATATTGTTGATTCCCTGTGAATCTTCTATGAATAAACCATTATGTACTTTCTCCGCAAAAGACCCAAATATAAATTAAACCGAACGTGGGCAGTCATTTTTGCCTTAAGACGTTATTTTCTATCTCTTCAAACCAGACATTTTTTTTCATCTAAATTTGAAGAATGTCTCTCTTGTTAATTTTGATCTGTTCATCTGGACAATACAGGTGAGAGACAACACATTATGAGACCCCAAAAGTGGAAATGACGTCTTAAGTGCTCCCGATGCTTCTTCCCCACTGAAAATTTCTTTCACATTCTTATCAATTTGAAGACTGCATTTAGTTCAGCTGAAGTCAAGAAATATAATTTTTGAGGCGTTCGTACAAATAAAAACATTTATCACTTTCAGGCACTTGATAGATGAATAGTTGTGAATATATCAAATCCATAGGTCCTTGTGCCTTACAGGCAAGCATTGCTTTTTTATTTTTTCCCCTTGAATCGTGGGAGGTTAACTTTCAAGGAGGTATTAACCGCATTTTTTAACAAGTGATAATTGGGGGGATGTAAACATAATAACTGAAAGCAACTGTGGACTTTAAGCTCCTATTCAACATCATATGTGTAACTTGAATATCTGTGCTGATAGGAAAATTATATTCATATTACTGTGGCTGCATCTTGAATTATGTATTTATATCAAACTTTTTTATATATTCTTTTTTATTGAAAAAAATATTTTTTAGAAAATATATTTTTCATGATAAAAAGATATATACAAATAAAATAAATTTTATAGCTGCATAAATACAACAATCTTGTACAGCTCATATATTTATTTTGTATTATGTAATTTTGAAAGAGTCCTATTTCTAATGCCAGAGTGCGCTAGCGTACAGTGAATTACTTCTTTCTTCAGTCAGCTCGCAATGAAAAAGATATTTTTTAAATTATTTATTCCATGAAAAGAAAAATAAATAAAGTTGAAAATATTTTTTCAAGTATAACTAAATATCCTTGTAGATAGTTATTGTGGATTATTTAATTATATCTATCTTTAAAAAATATTATAAAAACAATTTACAGTGTCAAACTTCTCTATTATGGTACCTTCCCGTAAGCAAACAACTCTCATAAAGATACAATTTTTTCCCAAGAAAGTCTGCTTCACTGAGGTTTCACTGTATTTATAAATTATTATTTATTTTAGTTTTCCTTTTAGCTTCATTATTTATTTCAAGTTTGTTTGAAACAAGATTATAACATCAATTCATTAAAAAAAAAAAAAAATTTAAGTTCTTTCTTGTTAAAAGCTATATCAATAATATTAAAAGCATCAGAGGGGCAGATATTCAAGGGGTCTCACTTAGTTTACCCAGAGGCCCCCAAGAGTCTGGCTGTGTCACTTTTTGAGACACTCATTTACAATGTTAAAGAATTTAATGTGCCACTACAAGTTTCTTGCATGCTTCTCAGTGTTGAGTTTTTGACTTCAAAAATTATCCAAAACCTGGAGCAAGTTTCTGTTTTATCATTAGAGACATTTTATTAGGTACAAATCATGTGCTATACTTGCATTATATACAACTATAAGTATGATTTATATTATATTAAATTATGATTTTAGATACATTGAATAAGATGGTTAAGTATTTTTTATTTAATTAATCTGATTGTTTATGTATTTCAATACCAAAAAAATTTGGGCTCTTGACATTAATTGTCAAAAGAATAGTTTAATGACAAAATAATTCAAGAACATGATTGATTGATCATATATAATTTTATAGGTATGTTTATTCACATTTATAATAGCTTATAATTATCATTACACTACATTTCACTACAATTTTGAGTTAAAACTTTGTCTGAAAGGGACTTTTACATGATAAATAAAGCCACAGTCAAAACCAAATAAAACTTGTATAATTTCTATTATTTTAATAAAAAATATCTGTTCTTTCCATAAAGCCTTTATCAAATTTATTTAAAAAAAGATTTAAATCTATTTGTTCATTTTATCAGGAAGTATCAGATGAAGCACTTTATAATGCTGCTCCATGGAAATTGGAGAATTTACTTGAGGTATTTGGCTTATTTAAATCTTTATTTATTTTTTCTGTGTCTTTTTTTTTTAACGAAGTATTTTTGAAATTTATATACCTTTAAAATTTTATATGTTTATATTTATACAGTTCATTTGTCACTTTTATTTCTTTTTTATATTGCTAAGAAATGACAATTATTTAATAATGCATGTAAATTTTGTTAAAATATGACATTTTTATATATACTGATTAATAAGTTGATTAATCAGTTACGTATCAATACTGATTAATCAGTTGTTATTCTTTTTTTTATCATGTTAGCATAGAACAAATGTGAATTTTTTAGTTCCTAAATACTTTTTCAGTACTTGGTTCTCGGGGTGCACGACTTGTGTCGGGGGCTACGTAAAGCCTGTGGCAGCACCTGCACATAATTAAAAGAATTTAGTTGTATTTATTTGATGGGAAAAAAAATTTTTGAATTATACACATTTGAGTCATTGCTTATTGACATGCTCAATTTTCAGATTCCATCCTAAATCTATGCAGTTTTTCAATCACTTTTTGGCTATTATCACTATGGATTTCCGTGTGTCTCTAAAAATTCTAATATATTTTAAAAGATATTATTACTATTCTTGAATTTTAGCAATCACTTTTTGACTTGCTTTATTTGTACCGATTTCAGCTAATGTCCAAATTACTTTTCAATCTTTTTTCGGTGATTATAGCTGTGGATTTGCATGTGCTTTTTTAAGTCCTAGTATTTTTAATATGATAGGATCACTATGCTTAAGTTTTGAATTTCACATCAAATAATCATTTCTTGGTGTTCTTTATGTATGCTTATTTCATTGTAAATCCCAGTTATCCTTCAACCCTTTTCTCGTATGTTAATTTGATGCATTATTGTTTTAAAATTTTTAATTTTGTAATACAATATTAATGTGAATTCAGAATTTTAATTGCATTTGAACAAACTCTTTTTGATGTGATTTATTTGAGCATATTTCATATTAAGTCTGTGTTACTTTTCAATTAGTTATTGCATCCCATTTCCATGTGGTTTTAAAAATTTATAATCCGATAATATTATTAAATACTACAAATTTTGAATTATACATTTTAATAGTTAGAATTCATTAAATTTTGACTTTTTACAATTTGTAATTTTGTTTCAAATTTTTTTGTGACTGTAAATGCTATTTTTGTTAATACAAATTTCCTAAAATTAAAGAAAATTCCCAACTTCTCTTATTTTGCTGTAATGTGGTTTTGTTTCAGTTTAAATAGTTTTTAGTCCTATTAATTTTTTTTATTTAAAGTAGGGGAATGTCGGGTACCCCCGCCCACTGTCAATTTCATATGTATAGAATATTTTTTCAAGTCAATAGGCCATCGGACATTAATTGTTATATTAAAAAAAGATTTTTTTCAAAGGTTCAAGAATTTATGCAGCTGGTAACACGGTAAACAATAGTTTACCGTGCTATATAAATATGTAATAAATGAAATAATTTTGTGATAAAAATGATAAATGAGGTTTTTCTATTGTCAATACATTGGTCATTTTCATTTATACCTGAAAAAAACAGTCAAAAAACATAATTTTTGTAACTATGCGGGGCTAACTGACACATTTTGAAAAGAGCTGAAAAACATGTTTTTTAAATTTCTATTTTTTTAAGTTAAACTATTCTTTTTTTGGTTTATTCTTTTTGCATTATTTAATTAGATGATAAAACAATAGAAACATACAAAATACTACTCATTATTTGGTTTTATACTGATCAAAAAATTCTTCTATGAATATTAAAGTTTTTCTACATAGCTGGAATTTAGTTTTAAATTATTTTTTTGTATCATATAATGTGAAAAAAATATTTCATTTTCCTTATGTTTATATAAATATATATAGATTTGTTTTTTTATAAGAAGGAAATATATTTTATAAAAGTATCAGCTTAGCAATTTTGAAGATGAATGAATTCTAACATGCAAAAGTATTTAATTTTATGCATACATGCCATTAAGTTAAGCTCCAAATAATTTAGTACCTAGAATACTGATGTTTATATAAATGTTACTCAACCTGCCGTGTCTGAATACTTAGGCGTGACTTCATTCATCAATTTGTTGTGCAAATAGCCCTTCATTTGAAAAGGTTGTGCTTCCCTAAGTTACTCTACATACTTACACCTTTTAATTAATTCTATCCTCGTTAGACTTTTCAGATGAAAATAGTATCAAAAAATGATGAAACTATGGAATTCGATATAGCTGGGTTGGGTCCACCAATAGTGAATGCAATAAGACGTATCCTGATAGCTGAAGTAAGTATCGTTATCATTTCCTAAGCATTAATTTTATTCAGTATGTTTGAAAAAATTTTTTTACAGGTACCTACTATGGCAATAGATAAAATTGAAATGTATAACAACACAACTATTTTACCTGATGAAGTTTTGGCTCATCGAATCGGCTTGATTCCTTTTAAAGTGGATCCTCGACTGTTTACCGAGAAAGCTCCAGGTTTGTATGATTGAAATGAGGTTATGTTTAATTCCAGGGATTTACAACTTCTGACCTGTGTGTGGCCAAGAAGTGGTAACTGAAGCCTTTTGATTTGACATCTGATTTACTCTTAATTATTAACAAAAAAAGTAGTAAAAAATTGTTCGGCTGTGCTCTGTAACAATAAACAGTTAGTTGCTGCTTTGATTTATCCTTTCTCGAAGTTTCAGATTACAACCATTTCATTTTACAAGTTTGATGTATTCAGTGTTATCAGGGAAATACCATGTTTATGAATTTGTGCAAAAATATTTAAAAGAAAAAGGAAGAAGAATTACTTAACTCTTTGATGGTTATAAATGGGTTCAGCTCGCGATCGAATCGTGCTTCATAATGCGCACAGCCGAGTTCCGCTCGGGAGCAAAATTGTTAGAAACGAGCACTTAGTGAAATTTTTACCCCAATGAGCGCTAACGAGCTGAGCACGTTTGCCATTATTATTCTGAATTGATTATGTTACAAACGAATCCTACTCGCGAAATTTAGTTAGTTTTACTGTCTACAGGTGGCAGTACAAGTTCCTTGAATTTCTTTTTTACCTTGTTCTTTTTATGCGTATTTTGGCACGTTTTTTTAGAGTGTTTGTAAAGAAAAAGGGCTAAAAAGCTAAAGTTAGATAAATATGATTATGATTGTGATACAGAAAGCTTATCAAGTATATCACCGTGTATACCTAGTATTAAAGTATATCACACACAAAAAGATTTTTCCGTAATTACTGTATTTAAATGTTTCATAAAGTTTTACATTAGTTGTATTTATTTTGTCTTTTCAATTTCATATTTGTCTTATAATTAACTATTATTATTTATATAATTGATTATAATCATTCATAATTTACTATTTAATAATTATCATTTATTAATTATTTTAAACTACGTGAAAACTGTTATTTATGTACTACAAATGCTTTAAGAAATTTTTAAAACGCGTGAGGCAAGCTATCTACAGGGGAACAGAGAAGGGTGACATTTTCGGAAGAAAGGTGGGGGAAAACAGCTGCCACTTTCGAATACTGTTTACTCTAATACTGCTCAAATTAAGTAAACTAAAACTGCTCATTTTCCTAGCCGTCAAAGGGTTAACTGGTACTAATTAATTGCAGTAACCAAAAAATAATAATAGATGGATGATAATTAATGTCAAATTTCATGATTTTTTTAGTCATTTCATGATATTTTATATGAAAACCAGTGAGATTTTTCAGAAGTATACTAACCTTGACTAAATTTTATTTCAGTACACAAAGTAAAAGAAAAAAAAACTTTACTGTAGTGGTAGAATATCCGTTCTGAGAAAAATAGCAAAAGACAGAAAAACATTTTACTGTTTGCGTTCAAACTTCTGACATTTCGTTATCCTTTATAACATCGGTTAAATGCAGAAACCCAACTTACTTTACATCAATCGATTTAAAAAATTGTTCTCTATCAAAATAAGATATGAAATTTATTATGAAGATTTATTTGATACTTTATGATTGTGGCCTCTAAAAAGTTGTATGGGTTTTGAATATTACATATCAAAAGTATATTTCCAAAGTTTCGAGTTTAATTTTGGAGAAAAGCCTTTAGAAACTCCCTTCGATAAACTTGATCTCCCTGGAGCAAAAATAGGAAAAGTAAATTTGCATAATTATTTGGGGTAGAAGTTATTAGTAGTTAAACAAAGTTGTTGTTTTTTTTTCCTTTGTGAACTTAATTTGCAAAAACAAGTTACATTTCTAAAAATTTTACAAAAGAAGCAAAGATTTCGCATGCAATTGCGTTTAAAATTGTAATTCTTTTTTTTTTCTTTTTTTTTTTTAATTCTTGCTGTTGTTCAATTAGTTAGCTATTTTATCAAAAAGAAGTTTGCAAAATTTCAATAAAATTTTTATAATGTGCATTAATTTTTAAAAAATGATTTTCAACACAAGGATACTTTTTCAAAGGTGTCACCGAAAATCAAATTTCAACAACAATATTTGGACTTTCATCTAAATTTTATGTTTTGTAATATTAATATATATTGAGTTTATAAATTTTATGTTTATAATATATTGATTGTAATGACTATATTCCATACAAATAATCACACCAGATTTTCATAATAATAAACTTAACTTCATAATAATAAACTGTTTTCTACTGTAGTATTTAGTATTTCTTTAACAAAGTCCGGATCGTCTAAGTATTCCTTGCTATTTTGCAACATATGTTTCAGCTCCGTTAATTTCAGTTCCAAACTGGCTTCTTCACCTATCTCTGACAAAACTGTCACCAAATCTTCTTTTCGTACGTTTTTGAACATTTTTCTCTCAGATCAGAATTCTCCAACTAACTTCTTATTCTACTTCCGAAATTGCTTTTCTATCGGTGCAAATCTCTGGTGTTCGAAACGAGAGCGTGTTGTAATGACTATATTCCATACAAATAATCACACCAGATTTTCATAATAATAAACTTAACTTTATTAAAAATTAAAAGAAACTAGTCATTATTTTTATATTCGAGCATCCAGCTCTTAAACAACCAAGGGAGACCCTCTCCCGATCAAGATAAACATACATCTACCTTTGATTCCTAGCATGCCTCCGAAGGGGTGACACAATGCGCCAAGTGCGCCTGAACGATCGCCAAACATTACACCTTTCCCCCTAAGATAATGATTATATTACAAATAATTAATCGTTAATCTGAAAATTAAAAAAAAAAAACTGTTTGCGATCAAAAAAAAAAATAATAATAATACAGAATGATACATACGATAAACATGATTATGCAATATTTCCAATGACAACATAATAGGAATATTAAACAGATGAGATATTCAAACTACTCATATATAAACTCAGTTATCATTAATTATACACTGTAACGTTAGTATCTACAATTCAATCCTATATAACCTTTTTTTTTTGCAAAAATAGTTATAAAATAATATCTAATACAAGAATAATTATCCACTTTAACTATAACCTACTGACACACAGTAATACTAATAATATTTAATACTCACATTATTAATTAAACAATTATTACTACAAACCAAAATAAAAAANTAATTTCGCTTTTTCTGTCTCTTCAGCTCTCTTCCTGTTTTCTACTGTAGTATTTAGTATTTCTTTAACAAAGTCCGGATCGTCTAAGTATTCCTTGCTATTTTGCAACATATGTTTCAGCTCCGTTAATTTCAGTTCCAAACTGGCTTCTTCACCGATCTCTGACAAAACTGTCACCAAATCTTCTTTTCGTACGTTTTTGAACATTTTTCTCTCAGATCAGAATTCTCCAACTAACTTCTTATTCTACTTCCGAAATTGCTTTTCTATCGGTGCAAATCTCTGGTGTTCGAAACGAGAGCGTGTTGTAATGACTATATTCCATACAAATAATCACACCAGATTTTCATAATAATAAACTTAACTTTATTAAAAATTAAAAGAAACTAGTCATTATTTTTATATTCGAGCATCCAGCTCTTAAACAACCAAGGGAGACCCTCTCCCGATCAAGATAAACATACATCTACCTTTGATTCCTAGCATGCCCCCGAAGGGGTGACACAATGCGCCAAGTGCGCCTGAACGATCGCCAAACAGTTGCCAAACATTACATTGATGATATTTGTTCTTTTCTTTTTTAAGTTTGAATTAAATAACTCTTTAAATATATTTTTGCTCATAAAGAATTTCTTCTTTCTGCTTAACTTATATTTGGATAACTCTGAGTTTATAAAATGCTTTTTTTTTTTCATGCATTGACAATTAAAATTTACTTTAAAAAATGAAATCTGTATATAAAACTTCTAATGTATTATAAAGGAATGTTGAATGTATTTTTTATTTTTGTGTTACAATAGAAAAATTTAGTGCGGGAAAGATGAAATGAATTTTTTTTTTTTTTCAATGATAGATGATGATCAAGGCACAGAAGAAGATACATTGACGTTTGAACTGAAAGTGAAGTGCACTAAAAAGCCTAATACACCTAAAGATATCCTCGTTGTTAATGAGACCACTTGTAATCACCCAGTTGGTACGTATCTATTACGTATAATATATATATATATACATACACAGTAGAGCGCTGATTATCCGAACGTCTAATTATCCAAACTATGTCTGAATTTTTTATTTATTTTTTTAAAGTTTAGAATACTTTTTAACTTATCAACAATTTTTCTAAATTTCTGAACCTTTCGGATGAAAAGATGCCAGGTTATGCAGCAGAAGAAATAGAAGACTGATGTCGAGACACGGAAAACGTCCCGGGATTTTAAATGATGATGAAACTGTTGCTGAAATTTTGAATGAAAATCGGAACTCCACAGACGAAGAGGAAAAGTAAATGATCAAGTTCAAGATAATGAATCTTCTCATATAGAAGCATGCAATTCATTAGATATTGCAATGAATTGGCTAGAACGTCAAAATGATGTTGTTCGAGTTCAGTTGATTTATTTAAAAGGAATAAGGGATATGGCTGCTAAAGAGCATCTTCTTTGAAACAAAAGTCTTTGATGGATTTCTTTTGCAATGGAAAATAAAGAAAAATGTGTTAAAGATCGTAATTGAAAAAGAGAATTACAAAAAGCTGAAATATGATTTAAAATATTCAAAATGAAAGAAAGTGAAAAAAAAAATATGCAAAAATTTAGGAAAAAAACTTTTAAACAGAGCTATTTTAGATAGTACTGCCAGTCCTAAACCGGCCCCGACCAGTTCGGATACTAGGCGCTCTACTGTATATATATATATTTTACATTTTGCTTTTTCGAGTTCTTTTTCTTTTTTTTCCTTTTGTAAACTCTGTTCTAGATTGAATTAAATTAAATTATCAAAAATTTTCATATGGACAATGTACTTGTTAAATCATATGCTTATAGTAAGTTTTTAAAAAAAATAGCTTAAACTAAAAACGAATTTTTTCATTGATATGAACATTTGAAATGAAATATATAACATAAAGTTTAATAAATTATAGATGCCATTGTTTCTGAAACATCTTAGACTTTTAGCTTAAACATCTGCTTATTTAAAAAAAAAATGTATACAGTGCCCGCCGTTTATTAAAATCACTTTCGTTTTATGTTCTTTTGATTTTATTAAGAGGTGATTCAACATTTGAAAAAAAAATAATAATTTTTACGATATATTCTAAATGCACACACTTTAAAAGCTGAAATAATGACAACATTAATGCTTTATTTCAACTAATTTAATTATTTTAATAAAGTAAAACCCTACATAAGATTAAATGTACAAAATTTTTGCAAAAAACTGAACAATGGTTGCTTGAGTTGCAGTATTTAAAATTAACTTTTCAACACATTTGAGAGTTTATAGAAGTTTTTATAGTTTTCGATATTTCCTCCTCTTTGTTCTAAAACTTGCTGCAATACATTAAGTGCTTTTCTGACTTCCATTGAAGATGGCACTAATGAATTTATTTCATCTTCTGAGTCTTGATTCCTCCATTTCTTGATTGGAAATAACTTTGCAATTTTTGATGTCTGTAACAATTTCAGAATCAGATGTTTCTCCTGATGTTTGCAGGTTATCGTTAATGGCTACGTAGCGTGAAAAATTCTTGTCCATTTCATTTTCTTCATTGCTGAGCATTTCTTCGAAACAGTTATCAACTCCATCGCCAGTGCTTAATCCACACTTTTTAAAGCAATTTGATATTGTTTGGGTTGAAACAATGTCCCATGAGTTACAAATCAAATGCATTGATTCCAAAATAGTAAGGGATTTCGATAGTTTGTTTGCAGTTAAGAGTTCCGAAGAGCTGTCACAGTCTATGTCATTAAGGATTTTTTGAACAACCATTTTTCTGTCATGAAACTTGAATGATCTTATGATTCTCTGATCAAGGAGTTGAATAATAGCTGTAGTGTTGGGTGGCAAAAACACTAATTTAATGTTTTTCAAACGCAAGTCCTCATCAGCGGGATGTGCAGAACAATTGTCTAAAATTAAGACGACCTTTTCTTTTCATTTTTCGCCTCCTTGTAAATTTTGTGAAGATGCTGGGTGTCATCCATGCGTTCAGGGGTCTGTCTAGGTTTTTCTGAAAGGTACCTATTTTGTGAAAATTTAGACATAATTTGTGAAAAATTAAAAATTATATTAAAAAATCAATACAAAAACATGGTAAAAATATAGATTTATTGTCTCTTAAGGGATACAAAAATAAAGTTTTAAGAAAAAGCATTTTGTGAAACTACCGTTTTTGCTAAAGTTGAATTTGTGAAACTACCGTTTTACCTAAAATTGAATTTGTGAAGGTACCGCTAAACGGTAGTAAATTCTGCCTGGACAGACCCCTGGCGTTATAGCTGTTGGCATAACTGGTGGGCAGGTGTTTTACTCCTTTAAAACATCGAGGTTTTAAACTCTTTCCTATCACTAACGGTTTTTTTTTTCACAGTTCCTGTCATGTTGCATGTTAGCAGCACGGTTAGTCTTTCCATTATTTTTTTACATCCACCAGTCGATTTATTTTTAAACAGCAGTGTGTGTTCAGGAAGCGCTTGGAAAAATAATCCTTTTTCATCTGTGTGGAAAATTTGCTCTGGTTTATAGTCTTTGATGAGTGTTGGAAACATGTTGTTTACCCAATCGGCGGCAGAGCTAAAATCAGCAGTTTGCTTTCCACCATGCAATTTGCAATAGACAATGTTGTTGCGGTCTTTCCATCGGGTTAGCCACCCATCTGTAGCTTTAAAATCAGAATCACCAAATAAGTTAGCATATTCCTATGCTTTGTGAAATAAAATTCCACGGGAAATTTGAATTATTCGTTCGCGTGCATTTTTGAACCATTCTAACAGAGCCATTTCAATTTCCTCCGATTTTCCTTCACGTTTACACTTTCTTGACAAATTTCCATTCTTTTTTATTTCCTCGGAAATATTTATCCTTTGTTTCGGAATGTTGAAAAGAGCAGTTTGGGAAATCCTAATTTAATTGAAGCTTCACGTTGACTACATTTAGGAAGCTTACCATAGTTTTGCAGATCTGCCAACTTGTACGGTTTCGCCGTACAGTGTATGGTATTTTACTCGATCGTACGGTTGTACGGACAAGCGTTAAAATCGTACGGTTGCGTAATCATTTATAGTTCGTTTTTTTTTTAAAAAAAATAAAGAAAAGAAAATTAACAGCATGCTTAAAGTCACAAATTCAAAGGTTTACAAGATTTTAAATACTAGTTAGGAAACTCATCACAAAAAAACGAAACCCTGACATGTTTTAATCTGGTTGGTATTGAGAGCCGATCACGTGACGCTAAAACAATCGTTAGCCAATGAGAGTGAGTATGCGCCTCGTTGAAATGAGCCAGTGGGAACGCTGATGTAGGAGATCACATGGCCGGTAATCACGGACTAAATTAAGAGCGCTTTTTGGCAACGGTAATGTTTTTGTTTACAATTTGTTGCTCATGGATTGCAGCGTGATTTTGTTTTATTTGTAAAAATTCCACCTAAAGTTTCAAATCCAGAAATTTTTGTTGTTGGCTGTCCTTGCCATTTAGTACACATTGCTGCTGAAAGAGGAGCTGCTGCTTTACCTATATCAGTTAGTGATGTTTTGGTTGATATTTTTTTTTACTTAGAGAAGAGTTCTAAAAAGAAACTTGAACTTAAAGCTTTGCAAATTTTACATGACGTTGATACACATAAAATTTTGAAACATACTTGCACAAAATGGCTCTCTTTGGGTAGATGCTTAATGAGACTTCTGGAACAATGGGATCCTCTGTGTAGCTTTTACAAGGATCAAATAAATCGAAAGAGCAAATGCCATAGTCTTAATGACTATTCCATAACATTAAAAATATCTGCAAATGACAACAAAGTGGAGAATGCACATATTAAAAAGAAAAGGCCTTTAGAAATAGAAAAATCTGTGAAGAAATTGAAGGTAGGTAATTTCTCTAATAGTTCATTAAAAACTTCTGAACAAAAATCAGAAATGGGAAATCCTGCAAAGAAATTAAAAGCTGGTAATTGTTCTAAAAATTCTTCACCGAAATCTTCTAAACAGGAATCTGTTTTGACTAGGGAAGAACAAATGCTTCTATTTCTTTCATCAGATATCTGTAAAGCTTATTGTTTGTTTCTAAATTATATCATCCCAGTTTTTGAAAGAAGCTTAATTACCTTACAATCTAATGAGCCAAAAATTCATATTTTGAATTCTTTATTATTAGATTTATTAAAAGATTTTGTCTCAAAATTTATAAGAGCAGACATTATTAAAGGTTCTTCCCTGATGGACATTAACTTAGTGTCAGAGAAGAATCATAAATTGGATGATGATATTATAATTGGTAGTGCTGCTTCCAAGTTAATATCAGTCTTAAAAATGGAAGATAAGCAACTCTTCTATAGTAATATAAAAAATTATTATATTGCTGTCTGCAACTATATACGGCAGAAATTTCCCTTGAATAGTGAGTTTTTATTATCCGCTGAAGTTGCAGATGTTGATAAATTACCTTCAAAAAGATTCAAGGATGTTGATTTCTTCTTGAAAAAATTTCCATCGATGTGGATTAATGACAATGTTGAAGAAACTGAAGATATGAAAAGAGATAAACTTTTAGAGGAATTTAGTGATTTGCAGATTACTGATTTACCTTCTGTGATTAAACAGGAAACAAGGATGGACAAAAAATGGGATTTCTAAAATAACATCCAATGATGGATGTTTCAAGAAGTACAGTAGAATAGCAAAAATCATGGTAGCTATATTAAGCATACCTCACAGTAATGCAGAATGTGAAAGGGTATTTAGCATAGTAAAAAAAAATAGAACACAGTTCAGAAATTCTTTGTCTGATAAATCTCTAGAGGACATTCTGATTGCCAAAACCACGCAAACTGGATGTTGTTATGAGCAGACCTTCGATAAAGGATTCTTAAAAGCAGCTAAGTCTGCTACATATGAACATTTAAAGCAATAATTGTTTTTAATTAAGTCTATTTAATTTTTTTCCTTTTTGTATTAATCTAGAAATTTAATTTTTAAATTGTGATTAAGTGTAAATATGTGTTTAAACAATTGTATAATAAAATACTCAAGATTTAAAAAATGTTTTTGTTATTGTTTTCACAATGAATTTTTAAAAAAAAATAATTTATTCAAAATTGACAAGTGTATTTAGTAACAGATCTTAATTTTGTGTAAAAAGGTCCTATAATAACACTTTCTGTATAACACTATGTCGAGTAAAACACTAACTCAGAATTGTAAGGTCATGCAGATTACAATGTTGGCAGGTCTGGTTTTGCAACGCTTCGAATTTGTCTTTAAGACTCAAATCCTTCCTTTTCGGCATGCTGATAAAATTTAATATCAAACAAGCTTAAAAATGATATGCGCTCTAACTATAATTTACTCAAACGGCTTAAACAATATGGAACATGAGCACAGGCAGTTTTTGGAAATCTATTCATATTCTCTATTAAGATGGATAACAAAAGAAACTTCTCTCCCCTCTATGGTTCATTCAACAAAAAGTAAGATAAGAATTAGACCCCTTGTTGAGTGAGGTAGGTTTCTCCAAACTTCATTCAAGTCAAGGAATTGACATCGATAAATTGATTTCTATGAACTCGCCGCTTACCACCCACATTTTTCCTTAACTCTTACACTATGTATATCGCAGGAAAGTGCTAACCACACCTGTTTCACAGGTTTGTGAGTAACTGTTGCTTCTTCTAAAAAAATCTTTAAACTTCGAAAAAATAAAATTTTATAAATAAGAACAAAAAAAGCTGAAATATTGCACTTTTGATTTATTATGTAGTCAAAATTTTGATTTTAAAAAGCGGCGGCATTGATTTTATTAAAGGATGTTTTTAACTTTTATTAATATTGTAACGATTCGGTTCTTGCCGATTTGATTTTATAAAGCGACTGATTTTATAATCTGGTGATTTTATTAGCGGCTAGCACTGTATAACTTTTTTTCTCTCCAAATATAGCATCTGTCCCCAGATCATTCTTGAAACCAACCTTTTCTGTGAACTTGGATGATCTCATCACTTGTATTTTTTAGTTTTTTTCATGCTTCAATTCTTTTTTCGGATCAGTTATTATTATCTTATTTATTTTTAGATGATATTTGATTTAAAAATTTTCTTTATGTAATTTCATAAGAGCAAAACGTTGTTTTACTACTTTCCATTCAATAGCATGTTGGCCCCTCAAAAGTTTTGAATTTTTGTAGATCTCTGAAAGAGATTTTTGTATAGGGATGGAAAAAAAATTTCTAAAAGTTTTCCTCGATTAAAATTGTATGATCAATATCTTTAAAGCTTATCTAAATCTTGATTTCTCTGCAGAAATTCTGTTGATCTGCAGTAACTTGAAATATCATTGAAAAGAAAAATGTATCAATTTATTGTAAATTTAACTAAATGAAAATTGAATATAATGGGTCACATTATAAAAACAGGTAAAAGATTATTCAAAACAAAAAATACAAAATATATTAGGTAGCTAAATTAATTGCATTTTTCGAAATATATTCTAACAAGATTAGAATATTTTGAACTAAAGTAGAAATCTCTTACAAAATTAGCATATGTTTCAATGATGTGTGTTTATGTATCAAACTTTTGTTTAATACTCGGCATTCTATTTAACATATCTCTTAAAACAGAAGAATTCCATGAAGTAAAAAATAATCATTTCATTGCTCTGAAAGGAAAATTATATTTTTGGAGATGCAGTGGTTAGGTATGAAAAAAATGTGCTCTTCACTCTGTTCACAAACTTGCCTCAGTCTGTGCTATTCCAAGGTTATAAAAAATTAAAGGAAAGAAAAATGTTTTTTGCTTTCTCATCGTTGAATTTTTCAGTAATAATGGTCAAAATTCTGATTAATCATTTTGTGAGAGTTGTAGTTTTAAAGAAGGGAGAGAAAAAAATTGACTTACAAAGGACATTTATTGTTTAGGAGATAAAAATTCCTTAGTATTAATGACAAATTAGGCTTAAAGAATTTTTCAATAGTAATGGGGGGGGGAATTTTGCCGATAGTTTTGTAATGATTTCGAAATCCATAAATTAACAAAAAAAAATTTACAGAAGTTTAATAGTTGTATTTAATCTCTTTCTTAAAACAATTTTACTGTCTTTGATCAAATAAAACATATTTAAATTTTTCTAATAAAAATAGATCAAGTCACATATTTCTATTCCAAGGGGATTGACAGAAAAAAAGGTTGTAGATTTCAAAAAATTTTGCAGAATTTATTTCTTTAAAAGTAAAATTCTTATAAAAGACTAATTTTTATGAAATTTGAATTTTTATTTCCAAAATTTACTTATGACTTACTAAAATTTTTTAATTGCCTTGAAACTTTTATTTTGGATTATGATTTGACAAATATTAATTTATTGATTTGCGTAACTTTTTTATTTACAGTGTATTCAAGAGACTTTAAATTTATCCCCATCAAGAATCAGAAAGAAATGGTAATAATTCATTTACTTTTCTCAAATAACCTAAATAGTTCTTATGTATAGTTATCACTAATTATTATTAAACATATTGATATAATTTAAACTCTCTAGCGCTGTTGATGTTAAATTTAAGAGTTTTAATATATGAGTATCACTAATTAATATAAGAGTTTCTCTGTGTTGACATTCTCAATTACTTACTCTTCATAATTATATTTTATATTATTTTTTATACATTTATAGTATGGGGATATTAGACCTGTCTGTGATGATATTATGATTTCGAAAATGAAACCTGGACATGTGAGTATATTTTTACATAAATTTCTTTATTATTAATTGTGTCACATTAAAGAGGGAAAACGGAATTCTATTGTTAATTTCTTTTTTTAATAATTTTGCTCCTACGTTTTAACTGTCTCGGATCAGTTATTTGAATTCTTATCGCTAATTGTGAGTGAAGCTAGTTATAAATGCTAAAAAGTTTTTAGACCAGTTTAAATTTAATCTCAAAAAATAAAGCCAGTAAATGACATAAATTTGTAAATAGTACTGCTATTTATAGTAAAGCTTTATTCATATTATATTATTTTTAAAACAAGTTCAAAATTTTGTCTTCTTTTTTTTTTATATAGAGTTTATTGCTATCTCAGTGTCGCAAGAAAAATGATTTTTTTTTTTTTTAATTAAATGTATGAGCATTTCTTATTAGAGCCAGTATGGCTCTTACATGCGAAATTTTCTTATAGCATAATTAGAGGGAAAATAGGTGTTTTAGCAGGAAAAACAACAGGCAAAAGAATGCTTTTAGATGTATTTAAATACACTGTTGGTTATGTAATAATTTTTATTCATTTATTTTTGCTGTGTATGGGATATCGAATGATCAATCGAGAATAATGTTATTGAAGGGATTTAATGCTTACATAGTGTTTGAATTTTTCACAAAGATTCAGTTGATCTGGATAAATTTTTTTAGCCACTGGTTAGTGTTTAATACATGAAAATTTAATTTTTATTTCATAAAAAAAAATACTAGTTTTTAGCATTTTCATTAAAAGGAGATTATAATGTTTTATCTTTTGTTATTTTTAAACTTTGTCATAAGAGTTTTTAAAAGTTACAGTGTTTTGGAAAATGGATAATCGAGTAGAAAATAGGGGAAATAATTTGAGTAAAGGCAGAGAAACATTTCTTAAATAATTAATTAGCTGTTAACTTTTGAATATGTGACTTTAATATTATATTCTTAATTTTATTATTTTGTTTTTTTAAAAAAAATAGGAAATTGATTTGAAAGCCTACTGTTATAAAAATATTGGAAGAGAACATGCCAAGTTTTCCCCTGTTTGTATGTAAAACTTTAATACTTTCTTTTTTATTAGTTTTCTTAAACTTTTTCATTTCCTTTCTTATCTGAACAACTTTTTTATTTGCATAGCAATTGCATCCTATCGACTTCTCCCTGAGCTTCGACTGCTTGAAGAGATATGTGGTGATAGAGCATATAAATTAGCTAGCTGTTTTCCTAAAGGTGTCATTAAAATATCAAATAAGAAAGGTAATTTTTTCTCCTTTTTTATTGTTGTCTGGCAGGTAACCTTTATTACCTACTAACCATTTTATTACAATATTATCAAATTGTTATAAGTTATTTAATTTCTTAACTCATTTTTACTATTAAAAAAATATTTTTTTTTTTTACTTTTTACTAGTATCTACTTAATATTAAAATTACTACTTATGTCATGTAAAGAAATGGTAAAATTTAATGCAATATTTATCACATTAAAGGTTGCCTATAATCTTACTACTTTTGAAAGAATTAACACCCTTTAAAAACTCCTTAATTTTTATTTTAAAAACTAATAGTAAGTAAAAGAAGGGTGTCTGTAATCTTACTACTTTTTACAGAATAATCACCTTTTAAAAACTCCTTAATTTTTATTTTAAAAACTAAAGATACTTAATTATGGCTCAGGGTTCTTGAAAAGTGTTTGATTTTCACAGTTGCTAGTTGATGTGCACAATTTAATATTTAAAAATACATTAAATAAAATTTAGTTTTTTAAAAAAACTGAACATTGCTATAATACGTAAGTACAACCATACCAGTACTTCTTGCTATGTATTTTAAGAAAAGTAGTAATTGGCTTCTTTTCCGTGCAGTAACTGCATTTACATGCATATTTGATGATAAATAATTATATTTTTATGGTTCTTAATTTTTATTTTGTTGAAAGAGTGTCTAACATTGATTTCTATTTTGCTAACTTATGGAATTAATGTAGACAAAGATTTATTCTTACCAACTTCAAATCACATTATATCTGTTCATATAATTTATTGAAGTTCATGTTACAGTTTTAACCTTTGCACTGAAATTATTTTTATGCTATGAATTGGTAAAAAACATTTGTGCAATCACTGCTGCTAGTGTTTAAAAAAAACAACCTATTAATGCATGGGTAAAAAGTGACCACTACTCTACTTCATGTTTTGGTACGACCCTTTGTGTGTGGTGGGTTTAGTGTTCATACATCGTAGCCTCACTGGAGTTTTATTTCCCTTGCTAAAGGCTGTTTTTTCTCTTATCGCATCTCAAATTTTCAGAATCCACTCTAATGTAATGTCCACAGAAGTTTCAAAGCTAAAAGTTCACACATGATTGGGGAGTTTGTTGCAATAGCTAAATGATTAGTACCACCTTCTATCCTCTAATCTAAATTAGGCAGACTAGTGAATAAATGTACCAGTATTTTTTCAAACATAATTAAAATTGATTACCAGATTGTCATCAATAGTCAACTAGTATAGCTCTAATGTGACATTACCAATAATATTTTGGTATTTTATGAATTTTCCAAATTGAAAAATAAAAATAATTACTATGAAGAAGCAGCGCTTCGAAATGTTTAAGTATGTACTTATTTTCCAACATAATTTTTTTAAAATAGATATCTATGATTTGTTTACACATTATTATCCGTTTGAAAATATTTTACTCAAACACCAATTAATAGTCAATCGAGGCTTCGTGTATCTCATTTGACTGACAAAATTATTGTTTTAAGTAATAAAATAATATTTTTCTTATGAATTTGTGCGAAGCAAGTGATAAAGGTGTCTATGTCCTTTTTTATTTTAGGTAGAGAAGTCGCTAAAGTTGTAAATTCTCGAAATATTACATGCAGCAGAAATGTGTTATGCCATGAAGATCTAAAAGATGCTGTTGAGATTGTCAAATTAAAAGAACATTATATTTGTAAGTTATATTTTAGTTTTCCTTTCAAATGTTTAGTGACTATATTTTTCTGATATCTTGTTAGTTGTAATGTTCTGTTTCTTTGAGTTTAAAGAGCTAATTTTTAGGTTGAGAATTAATTTTAATTATTTTCAACTAGGTTTTAACAATTCATTCTCAACTAAATTACAGGCTGCAAGGAATTTTTGGAGAATTTAAATTTTGTTTTTTACCTATTTGAATCTTGTATATAAATATCATTTTTTTTTAAAAAATTTATTTATTTTTTTGTATGAAATAATAGTTCTTACTTTTCTTTTACTGTTACTGACATACAAATTTTAAATTTGTAGTAAACCAGCAAAAAAAGAAATTTGTTTTCTTGGGTTTTACATTTAAGTGTGTCAATTAACCCTAAATTGCTCTTTCTCAAAGTAAAAATAATGTTAGTATTATTATTTCTGTGATCCAATTTATCACGTTTGTTATCCAGTTTTACTCCAAATCTTGCTTCAACTGTTCGTAAATTCTGTCCTAGTTAGATTTCATATAAGTTCCATTTAAGCAATACTGAAAATTTGCAATTAGCAACTTATCAATAAACATTGATTAAATATTCGTAGGTGCGTTAAAAATACATCTGGTAAAAGCAATTGAATTAAATTTAACCTGATTGCAGTGTAGTTTAATATTCAACTTTTGTACTGATTGAATAATGTAAATGTGTATATTTATTACAAGTATTATTAAAAAAATTATAATAGTAATTTTCTTATTATTTTCATCATGAACTATTCCTTTAAAAATTCAAACAGCTTTCTTTTGTACAAAGCTAAAAAGAGCATAAATAATACCACATAAACATATTACAGTTTTGATTCTGTAATGAAGAACCTTCTTCAGGGCGAAACAAAATGAAAGATGGAACCTCAGTTTTCCTTTTTTATATTTTGTTCGCAATTTTTTACTCTATTTTCGTGTTTCTATCTTTTATTCTGTATATTGTTACTAAAAAATATTTTTCATTATAGAAGTGAAGATATAGTGTGAATGCTTTTGTGGCCTTAATTTGGCTTGTATGTAGCACAAAGTTAACCCTTTCTTTACTCTGAACCTTTCTTTTATATTTAGTTACAGTTGAAACCACTGGAGCTCTTCCTCCTGAGCAACTTGTCAAAGAAGCAATTAACATCTTGAAAGAGAAGTGTCGATGTTTTTTGAATGAACTCAAAAAATTGGAAATGTAGCCATGTATATCATTCATTTATGTACAATCATGAAATGGATGTATTTTGAATACTTTTTATCCATGTGCATTGTTCTAAATTCGACAAAGTATTTTATTCATGTACCATACATTGTAAATATAAAGGTATTGAACATTTTCTATGATTTGTACATAATTAAAATATTTTTTTGTTTACTTGTTTCTTTGTATTTATTGTAAAGATTAGCATCTTAACCGAGCATTAATTTTTATGTAGCTTTATGCATTTATACAGCAAATAATAATTTTTTTTTTTTTGGCACAAGGGAAAATTACCTGCAATAATGCTAACTCTATTGCTTAAATTCTAATAAGTGCAAATTGGTGGTTGTTGTAAAGTAGTATTTACAATAAAAATTTCATATTTAAATTTCAATCTATCTTTCGAAAAGAAATTAATTAATAGTAACAAATAGAAAAGTGGGTAACAAAAGATTTTTCTTAGCTAAATTTGGAGTTCTTTGATAGCAATAGGTAACAAAGGAAATGAAGGCCATAGTTAGTTTCCATCTTTTAAGCTAGCAATTAGTTCTAAAAAAGACTAGTCATTAGCAAATACAATTACCAGGTGACCACTGAACAGTGAAAAAATAGGGAATTACATTATAAAAAGTCAGAAAATGAACTAACTTGAATTTAAGATGTATTTAAAGTTCAAAATTTTTTCCTGAAAATTGGCCTTGTAGTAATTTTTTAAAATTCTAAAAGCAGATACAAGTGTTTTGCCTGGTAGCTAATTTTAGGGAGTGAATCTTCAGCACTATCTTCGTAAATCCAAATTTGTCTGCTACTTTAAAGATTATTATTATTGTAAAAATTCAGCGTAATCTAATATAAATGTAGCAAAATTTTCAAATGTAAGGTCCTTAAAAGCTATACTTTAAAATTTTAAGATGTTTCAACTTAAGTTGAATTTAACGCAATACTAGAAAATGGAATAAAACCTTATACAGTCAAGTCTCTAATAAAGTAACTTAATTTTTTCCTCAAATGAGTAATTAAAATAAAAGCAAACAAACAAATATTTATTTGCTTTTAAAAATAATAGCCACTTAAATGAAATAGAATCTGCAGATGCTGTTATAAACTTCTGCATCATTCAGCTTGCTGGAGGTTTTATGCTTCTGGAGTGCTCCCTTATATATATTATCTATAAGAACAAAGTAAAACCGAAAAATTTATAATAAAATTTGTTATATTTCAAAAATCGGGCAATTTTTTTCTGAATGTTCGTCGCCACCCAGAATAAACAGAAACAGTTGCTTCATTCTACTTTCAAAGGGGTTTTTTAAATTCTACTATAAATAAAAATTTGTCTGTCATATTCAACTAGTATTATTAAAAAAAAATTATATTAAGCTTCTATATTTGAAATGTATACTTGTGTTAATTGTGTCATTTTTCTTTAAATTTTGTGACAAAAATTTTACATATTTTTTGAGGTCCTTTGCAAAATATTCTTTTAATTGTAGCGAATTAAAGCAGAAACGGCTAGACTTTTTTTAAAAATTTTAACAGAACTTAACACGACATTTCATAGATCATAATGCTAAAATTATTTGCAAATACATTTGCCTTTGTTCCCACTGGAGAAATATTTTCTGAAACAGGAGGGTATGGTATTTTGCTGAAAAAGTCATTTACACTAGTTTTCATTCCAACTATTTGTTTTTAATAAAATATTTACAATTTCTTTACAAAAGGAAAGGATAACAATTTTTGTATAATTTGGCAATTATTCAGGAAACAGATTATCACTGGCATGTTTTGATTTGTGCATTTGCTTGTTTCCTTTTATTGGCTTGATTTTCAATTTGTATTGCTAAATATATTTAGCCTATCTTTATTGTAAAATGAGTTCCGCTAGTTCTTCTGTTTATGTTTCTATTAAAGTTTCTGAGCACACTGTTTACTGCATTGTAAAAGGGCGGTCTGGTGCCTCTCAAAGATGAGTCATATGAATCTGCATAGATTTCTGCACAATTTGCTATTCTGGCATCACATCTACATGCCGCTGGTCCACATCCGTAATTACCCTTACCTAAAATAAACATAAAAAAGACAGCAAAGTACCATCTTTCTATAAGATAAACCTGCTGGAAATTTTAATCCATTGATGCTGAAGCTGCAATTTTTTGGTAATGTTTTGTATTACTAAAGATTGTGAAATAAATTGGAAATTTTTTTAAAGAATTCTGCTTTAAAACTTTGTATATTAATTCAGGGTGGCACAGAGATATGCCAAATTATGAAATAATCTAATTTAAATAAATAAATTTAGGAAAAATATTTTTCTAGTTTTAAGTACATGTATATAGTATGCTATTTATATTTCTTCTACAAATTGTCTATTGTTTAAAGGTGACATCAGAAAGATGACTCATTCAAACAATCGGCTTGTATGCACAGCAAGGTGTACGTTAAATCTGTCATTACTGAAATTCCTCTTGGGTTAATTGTGGTATGAAAGTTAGGAGAGAAGGGTACCAGCTCAAGTGCTGTCCACGTCATCTGACTAGGGTGACAATTACGCGGCATTCCTACCATAGCCGTTAAAAGATAGAGCCATAAAAATGGGTTTGGGTGATGATGTGAACTTTTCATTCTAATAGTTTGTAATGTAAACTCTAAAACGCTTGGTGTAGCACATGTCTCCAGTGTCATTTTCGCGAAATAGAGACAGTTTGTGACATTTAATTACAAAAACATGTCAATAATCTCCATTTAATAAAATTTTTTTAGAAATGTATTGAAAAATAGTGTATTACTACTTACATTTGTATATTATTTTTTTTCGAAAAGATACAAACATGTTTTCAAACTACTTCTCTTTTATAAATATATATTTTTTCTATTTCTCTCAAAATAAAGAGTACTAATTTCACTTTTGTATAACAACAGGGTGCGTAGCGTTTTTAAAAAGTGCTTATTTTCATTGGATGTTTTTAAAAAGTGCTTAATTTTCCTTTTTCCAAAATGAGATTTTTTTCATTACCATATCAATTTTTGCCTCGAATTACCCAAAAAGCATGTTTTCATAATTCATTCAACCACAATCTATTTGGACATACCATTTATCTGTAGTGTATGAAAGCGCCAATCATTTTATTAAATACTTGTGGGTTCGAATACTGAGCTGGATTCGGTGGGAAGGATTCATGCATTCTCATGAGCAACTCTGCTGCATTTTGCAAGAGAAATAATTGTTAAATTAATTATTTATAATTTTGAATAATTTTTTTACAGAATTGGGTATACTATGGCCTACGTCACGGATCGTGTTATTCCCATATATGGCAGTACTTTTACTTTCGTTACTTGTACCGCCGGAACAAGTAAAAAGTACGTACTTTTACTTGTACTTCGTTACTTTTTAAATTTAGTACTTTTACTTGTACTTTCGTTACTTTTTTAGGGAAAAAGTACAAGTATTTGTAACGGAAATGTCGAATAAAATCGTTACTTTTTCTGAAACTCGGTAAGCTTCCTAAAAAAAAATTTTATTAAAAAAAATGCTTATGTTTCTTTAATTTATAAAATTAATTTGCAATATATATGCATTCACAGCTAACTTCGTGTTTAAATACCTTGACCTTTTAAAATTGTCATTCCTGAAAGGGAAAAGACGGCGCTTTTGATCTTTTTTTGACTGTAAATATCATTGTGAATGTGATGTTCTCCAGAATTGTGTGTCCAGAATATTCATCTTCTGAAAATTGCCTGTGATAAAGGATGACATGAATAGCAAAAGTTTTGAATACCAGTGGTTATCGTCTCAAGGGGGTTGGAATGAACAAATGCCCATATGAATACTGCAGGGACTAATATAGGGAATAACTAATATAGGGAATTTATATCTATGGAATACTGTTATCACTGCATGTGATGGAATGCTTTTTTTCCTCTTAAATAGTTTTGTCTAAATAACAAATGAACTGTATCTTTGATGTCTTATTGACACAAAGATGATTTTTTTTGGTTTTTGCTACTCCTCCAAAAAGTAACCATAAAGAAGAAAAGAAAAAAACGTTTCTCTTTTTATTCGCGGAGACCTATACTAATGTGCATAGTTTCTCTTTTCGAGTTTAATTAATTCCAATGGGTTATGAAATACACCGAAGATTTATCTAAACTATTAGTGAATTTATCATTTTTCTCGTTTTCTTGAGAAACAGGAAAACTACTCAATAACCACAAAGGAATAAGTAACAGCAAAAATATATTATAACATGTGATATACAGGACAAAAGGCTACATTCAAAAGGCGTAGATATCTCTCTTTTTAACAATATCTTTTTACAGTTGCGGTTACAATTTAATTTACAATAAACGCTGCCATCTATCGGCGGTTCAACAAGTATTTCTACACATAGATTGAGAATCCTTATTTATGAAACTTTGCTTTAAGAAGGCTCAGTAGCCCCCATCCCTCCCAAGCTCTTGGGCGCATTCTTGGGTAAATTCGAAATTCCCCCCCCCAAACTATTCGTTTTACTTAGTGTAAAAATTCCCCCCCCCCCAAGCTTTAAGTGGGCGCATCGTGCGCCCACCTTCCCCCCTGATGGGGGCCCCTGAGAAGACTTCATCTTTTTTGAAAAAAGTAAGTAATATTTTAATATCTAATTATTCTCTATTTATAAAATAACATTTAATATTAATTTGAATCATTTTTCATTCATTTAAATATGCTAGTTAAAAATTTTGTTAACATTGTGTGCGCATTGGATGCTTTTTTAAATAATTTAAATCACTAATTTCATATTACTATTGCAAAAAATTTTGNAAAAGTTTATAAAATCTGATGAAGCGCTTTTATGAATTACAGTGGAACCTGTCTAAATTGACCACCCTCGGGACCAAGTCAAATGGTCACATAGAAGTGGTCACTTTATGAAGACTCTTTAAAAAGGACTCATTAAATAAAACTTTCAGAAAATGGTCACCTTACTCAGGTGCTCACTTTACCCAGGTGGTCACTTTTGCAGGTTCCACTGTATATCTGTCCCGATTTAGCAATCGAATTATTATTTTTTTTTTTTATTCCATGATGTAAATATTATGGAATTATACAAAAATATAGGGGGTTCTTTAGCAGTCGCATAAAGGTTAAATGCTGTTATTATTAATACTTTCAAGTGATACATTATAAATATAAAATAATTTGAATTTGTAGAAATAAATTTGCCTAAAACAAATTCTGTATTTAAATTGCATAAAGTTTTGTTAAAAGTGTTGTTTGAAACTCGCCAAGAAAATAAACTGCTGTTTGCTTGTCTTTAATTAAAAAAGAATTGACGGAACTTAAAAACGAAAAACCTATGTTTAACAGATTATCGTATTAATGCAATACATTTATAACTGAAATAAAACAAAAATTAACTTTATTCTCTTTTGTAGTGGTTCTCAGAAAAATCTCTACTATGTGGCATCACTGTGAGCTGTTTTGCAAGAACGTGAACTATTTGGGAATAACTGCAGTAATTTTAAACATTTTTATTGCATGGAAAAATGTTAGGAACTACTGCTGTAATTCTTAACATTTTTATTGCAGGGAAAAATGTTAGGAACTACTGCTGTAATTCTTAACATTTTTATTGCAGAGAAAAATGTTAGGAACTACTGCTGTAATTCTTAACATTTTTCCATGCAATAAAAATGTTTAAAATTACTGCAGTAATTTTAAACATTTTTATTGCCTGGAAAAATGTTAGGAACTACTGCAGTAATTTTAAACATTTTTATTGCATGGAAAAATGTTAGGAACTACTGCAGTAATTCTTAACATTTTTATTGCAGGGAAAAATGTTAGGAATTATTGCAGTAATTCTTAAATTTTTTTTCATGATAAAATATTAGGAATTACTACCATAATTCTTAAAGTTTTGATTGCATAGAAAATTGTTAGAAACTTTCAGTTGTGGTGATTTTCCTGTAATGTTCTTACCCAGTGTGGGTACCTTTGTTAATTGGAAATGCTCCCCTCTAATAAGAGCATAAATTAGAATAGTTAAATCTTCTGTGTAAGGCTTTTCAAAAGCTTAAGTTAAAACTTATCGTGGAAATCTCCAACAGATCCAAATTACGAACGCATTCCGTGTGTCGAGCGAACAATTCACGACAGAAAATAGCTGCATTTATAAACTTAATTTAGAAGTTCTTAGAGTAACTTTCAATAAATAAGTCCATTTATTTATTATTAGATTACCTGTCAATGTGATCCAGTGGAATTCCACTCCCTCCAAGTCCGCACCAATTTCCGTAGTTGACGAAATCTAAAGGATTTCTATTAGTTTTAAGAGACATCATTTTTCCCAAATCTAAAACCGTCGCATTTACTGCTGCAAAAGAAATAATTTTGGATATTATATTATTTTCAATTTCTTAAAACAAAGTTTTCATTCAAACACTTATCATTATTTTCTTAAGAATGAAAACAATGTCTATTATAAAGCGTTTTATAAGGTTTTGTTTTATAAAATTCTTGAGTTCCGCAGTGGACAGATCCTTAAGACACGGTTCCCAGCAGATCACCAAAGTCAAGAATCACTGGCTGCGGGTGGGTGACCACTTGGATTATTCTGCGTAGGGACCGGGGGTGTGCGGTATGGGTCCTCGTTAAATTGTTCTACGGTAAAGTGCTCGACTTCGCATGCTACCGAACGGGGGTGCCATCCCCTCTGCAGAGGATCAAAATTGTGATGGCATGTCTTCGGATCATCCTCAGGGATGTTTCCCAGACAGTCGCTAATAGCCCATTGTGCAGCTCTAGTGCGACGTAAATGAACTATAACAATACAATTCTTAAACATCGATTCTGTTTTATTATTTTGTGGTTTTTTGCTTACAGCATGTGTTTTTTCCAGCGCTAGGTGTCCCGCAGTGGCCTGATCGTTAAGACACGGTTCCCAGCAGATCACCGAAGTCAAGCATCACTGGCTGCTGTCAGTGTGCGGGTGGGTGACCACTTGGATCAGTCTGCGTAGGGACTGAGGGTGAGCGTTATTGGTCCTCTTAAAACTGTTCTACCGTAAAGTGCTCGCTTTCGCGTGCAGGTCGTCGGGCTACCGAAGCAGGGGTGCCATCCCCTCTGCAGAGGATCAAAATTGTGATGGCATGTCTTCGGATCATCCTCAGGGATGTTTAGACGACCGTCGCCAATAGCCCATTGTGCAGCTCTAGTGCGACGTAAATGAACTACAACAACAACTTCCAGCGCTAGGTAATACCTCAGCCACAAAATGCTTATTTCTGGAAACCATTCCAAATTACTAATCTTCTTAAATACTTTAACAACTACCTAAATTGCTTGACAAAAGCTTACTTGAAGTGTTGCTGCTTTATTAATACCTGCTATAAGTAACAAACAAACATATAATTGATTAAATATTTAAAGGCTGTCACTTATTAAGACTTTCTATTTCATTCTCGTTATTTTTTGCTTATGCATATGAGAAATATAATTATAAGCCTCATATTGCGAATTGATCTAGAGAGTGTTTTTGGAGAAAACACCACGATTTCCATGCAGGCAATTAGCTCTTAATGTGTATTGTACCGTTATCTAGTAGAAATTCTGAAAACTTGTTAAGTACCTATCTAAATCCAATACTTTCGAAGTAAAAATGTCACCTTTGGAAAAAGTATGACTTTATTATCATTACATTATCCAAAGCTCTCCATTTTTAATATTCACGAAGACAGATTGTGTGTCAGTGAAACCGTTGTTTTCAAAACGTCATAACTTTGCATAAACTTTTTCTACAAAAAATTTCAGAAAATGTAACGAACATTCTTTTTCCAGAAATCAGTTTCAAGTGAATTCGCGCGCAGTGAATTCAAAAGTTGTCTGGCAGACGATACCAAATAATCAGATTCCATTACCTATATAAAGCAAACTTGTCAGGAATGAAATTTTTTTCAAAGTGTTCGATAAATAATTCTAGACATATGTACAAAGCACAAATTCCGACTGTCTAAAGCACACAAAAAAAGAAGGAAAAAAACAGAATAACTTTCAATTTAATGGTCGGATTGTTACGTACTGGTACTCAATCTTAATGGCTCCAGTGGGTGACCTCATATATGCTAATTAGTAAGGAAAGACGATATTTTGAGTTACTAAATCAGGCACAATAACGTACTTTCAGTGAATAAACATAATTTTTTTCTGCGGGTTTGTATTTCTGACTTTTAAACTACAGGGAAGAACTGCATTTTTTTAATAGCCGTCGTTCAACAGCAGACCCAAATTTTGGGTTTACGACTACTAATGTTCAATGCAGTAGCTTTGTAATCTTGAACCCAATCCAGAAGACAAGGGAACTCCGTTATGGGAGAAATTTTCCTTCCAGGAAGACTTCTTAATGGACATTTGCTTTACATGTAGAGGAAGACTACGAGAACCTTCCACAGTTAGTATGACGCAAAGGGACTTTAACCCATGATCCATCTGCCACTGAGGATATTTCACGTCGGCACCGTGGTCGGTGCAAGCCGGATGCGGATTTGTATCGACCAACCATCGCCCGGACTCGAACCCGGTTCACCTCATTGGAAGACGAATGCTCTATCCTGTAGCCGCAGTTTTATTTTATTTTACAACCGTCGTTGAACAGCCGACCCAATTTTTGGATTTACGACTACTAATGTTCAACTCCGTTGCCTTGTAATTTTGAACCCAATCCAGAAGACAAGGGAACTCCTGGATAAAGTAATGGGAGAAACTTTGGCTTCGTGGAGGACTTTTAGATGGAACCAACTCGCATTTGCGTTACATAGAGAGGAAGACCACGAGAGCCACCCACGGTTAGCCTGACGGCAAGGAGACTCTAACCCATGATCCGTTTACCACTGAGGATATTTCGTGTCAGCACTGTGGTCGGTGCAAGCCGGATGCGGAATTCGTATCGACTGGGATTCGAACCCTGTTCGCCTCATTGGAAGGCGAACGCTCTATCCCCTGAACCATCGCGGTTTTGCAGCAGCAGTTTGGAATATATCGCTGATTCAAAACTAAAACGACACATCTGCAGGCATTGCACGTTTGCACATGTGTCGTTTAAGTTTTGAACCAGCGATATAGTCCTAATAGTTTGGTCAGGAGAGCAGTCCAAAATGTGAACTCCTTAAAGTTAATTTTAATTTTTGCGAATTTCCCCATACCTCGAGAATTTTTTAAGCGAATTAAAAATAAGATTGTACATAATTATAAATTTGTTAGCCCAAAGATAATACCGGAAGTAAAATAAGTTTTAATAATTTTTTGTTTTATTTAGAAATAATAGAAAAATTTTGAATTATAAGGTATATAAATTTTTACATCAATTTAAAGAATAATAGTTTCTGAGAAATCAAGTTATGAAAAATGTTGACTTATTTAAGTGGAAATGAAAAGATGAAGTCGAAAAAGTTATTCAAAATGCTAGTTTTTCCTTTTCTTTTTTTTTTTCACTGAACGTATAGCGTTAAATTTGCACGTTCGGAATAGCAAATTTTAATTATTCAAAGTTTAATTCAATTACAATAATTATGTAATTTGCTCCTATTTATTTAGAAAAATTAACATTTTTCACCTAAGATAAATAGATAAACTTTCTATAATGTAATGAAGCACTTAACTCTTTTTTTACGGTTAGATATGGAAGGAAATTAAATGCGATGTACAAAAACTTAAAAATAATCAAGAAAAGAGAAGAAGAAGAAAAATGGAGGTCGTTTTATGAGAAAAACAATAAAAATTTCATTTCAGAACTTTCGATATAAGGAAACTTCAATCACGTGAACTATTTTCCTTTAAAATCGCAAAACTAATTTTTATGATACTTTAAAATAGCAAGACAGGAAAAATATTGTATATATAAAAATTAGTTCTAACATAATTTTCTACTTACAGCTCATTTTCTCAGTTTTTATTTTATAAAAAGGTTACTATAAGTATCTTTTTAGTGTTCAAAATTATTGCTTTAAGTTTGAAAAAGGAATTCATTTGCTGGGGTCTATGGATGTAGTGAATCGTATTCTAATTTTCGTTTTTGAAATTTTGCTGCCAATGTTAGCATATTAAGACACGCTTTAAGAATGCAAATTATTTTGCAGAAATTGATTGCGGTAAGTGCAGAAGTTAAAAACGCCTTTTTAACAAAGCTGTGTAAACGGCAAATGAAATGTCCGACACATACCGATAATATTCCACAAAATTAAAGGAAAGAACCAACATTATTAATTTTTAATTTCAAATTCGATTCCTTCTTTTTTTTTAATTCATACAATTAAAGTAAAAGGTACTTTATTAAAATTAAGTTTTGTATTATAATATAATAGTTGAAGAATTTCAAAAAATTCATTTTTACAAAATATTGAATATGTATAAAACGATTTCAATCATTTCCCACGAACACTCCCACATTTATTTGAAAATTTTGTGAAAAAAAATTGTATAGTGGATACTCATGAACTAAGGAACTATTACGAATTCATTCGCATATTTTTCAATTAACTTAGTAAATTTGCTAAATAAATTTTGTTTTGGGATTATTGCGTTAAAAGATAACATGTTATTAATTCATTTATTAATCTTGATTTTTCAATTGTTTCATTGCTTTTCAGTGTTCTTTTTCAAAAGTTCGCTTAAACATAAATTATTTCAAATGTGATTAATTAAGTTTCTGATAACTAATAATTTAAATAATTGTTATTATAACCATTCGAGTCATAGTATAATAATATATTCAAATAAAAGTTTCGTTTAGATAATTACAAATAATGTTCGCTCATAAGATCAACATCTTTTTTCCCCCAAATATTTAGCTAACCGGAGTCGAGCAATTTTTCAAACTCCAATTCCTGCAAAATTTTTATCGTTTTCGACTCCACGGCCCTACATTTTAACTAACACAAACAGCAAAAAATTCATAAACATATTTTTTATTTATTTTAGGTACCCGATTACCTTCATTGATAAAATTTTGAAATTTTAAATTTATTATTTTTTATTTGGACTTATGTGTGTGTTGTACTTAAACATGATATCCATACAAAAAAATATTAATTTTTTTTTAAAAGAAATGGGGGAAACTGGTCAAAAAAGATAAAATTAGACCTTTTTTTCAAAATCATAAAACTTTGCCAAAATTTATAATTTTCTTCATTATTCTTGGTTTATATTACTCATAAAAACTCAACTTAGGGAATAGACTAAACATTTGACATAATATTAATATTTCGATATTTTAAAAAAAATGTCGAATCTTATTTGGCAAAATAGGCCAAATATAGCAACTGATTATTTTTATTTTGGCTATAAAATATGAAATAATCCTTTAATTATTTAATCCATATTCTATTCTCTAGACATATGTATAGGAAGCATTCATACAAAATTTCAAGTAATTTGAACTAAAATATTTGAAGATATTACATTTTAGAATGAAGGAAAATAACCAAAAAATTAGTTACGAGAAAAAGCACAAAAGAGACATAACTGGGTACTTGCAACTCGAGAAGAAGTGAAGTAATTAT